GTGAAAATCCGCAAAATTGCGTAAAATTTGTGAAAATCCGCAAAATTGCGTAAAATTCGCAAAAATCCGCGAAATTGTGTAAAATTCGTGAAAGTCCGCATAATTGCGTCAAATCACGTGCCATGACAAAAAAACCTGAGGATCCGCTCGTGAATAAATGTCATAAAAATTACTCATAGTTGGGAAAAAAAAATCGGGCGCAAAAGTTCAAAGTCCGCAAAATGTTGTCAATTGAAATGCGATGAGATCAGCAACAATTTTCCCTAAATTTAGACCCGCTTACTAATACGCGACGAAATCAGAAATTTTTTTGGCGAAACGCGCTAATACGACGTGCGTGCGCGATGTCCGCAAAATGTCGTCAAATGAGGTGTGACATTTTGATAGACGATCTTATTTCGAGTTGATAGCGGAAAAAAAAGCAACTCGGACTAATCCCAATTATAAATAGCTGCTCATGGGAGTGTGTGAGTTTGAGCTTCTCCTCTCACACAACGGCTTAATCTTTTCATGGAAATCTCGCGAGTCGCGAATCGGACAAAACAAAAATTTATTGGCACAATTGGTTTTGAATTATGGAGCTCTTCGGACGGCATTCGCGAGTCCCGAAAAATTTATCACCGGGTTTTGACCTTTTCCGAATTTAATTTTTTTCTCGTCTAACGGAAATTCGAATTGGTCTCGAAGAGACTCGTCGGATTTGCAGAAAATGTCAACTTTTGGTGCAAACACGATTTTTGATGGCTATGCGCCTTTAAATTGGTTGCACTACACCTTTAAACAATAATAAATTCGACGATGCGCCTTTAAATTGGTTCAACTCCTTTCAAAGACACTCTTTGCCAGCTATGCGCCTTTAAATAGCGCCCAACCCTTTAAATAACAATTTTTTGAATATGCGCCTTTAAATGGGGGACCACACGATTTTCTCCAAAATGCTACTCATTTTCGTCTCAGGACCACACAAAACTTGAATTGTCTCCAAATTACTCATATTTCCCATGCGCCTTTAAACCCAAATTTCTCGCTTCGAGACCCAATGCGAATAATCGAACTTTGCACCATTCCACATTCAGAAATTGGCGCATGCGCCTTTAAGAATCAAAATTGTTGGTTTGTGTCGTGCGCCATTAAAATTCAATTTTCATGGCCATCAAAAATTTGCAATGCGTCTTTTTCATCGTCAATTCGATGCTCCTTTAAAAACGGGTCCCATCCCACTCAAAAAAAAGAAAAAAAAAAAGATGAAGCGCGAAATTGGCTCCACTCAATGTTTCAGCGTCCAAATATGGCCAATTTTGGCTTCCGTATTTGCCGAGGTGACGTAGATCAACGACACGTGAGACGCGACCACCCATTATTAGCTTATCATCCAATTATTCGTTTAAAGAAGAAGCTGAGCTTTCTAAGAAGATTTTTTGTCAAGAAAACAAACAACACACAATTATTGAGGCGCACACACGTATATCGAGTGTCCCCTCAATCCGTTGATGGCACAGTTGGCAAATGCTTTGCAATTTGGCACTAGCGCGCGAGGGGTCAAGTGTTCGACACCACCTCAGTGACAAAAGTTTTATTTGTGACTTTTGCTCGACCAACCCCAATCATTTTCGAATGATGTGGGTTATTGAACTAAACCCAAAACCCAACTTCAAGCATCAAGTGTCACAACTGAAAACAATAAAAAAAGTCGTTTCGCAAATAATCTCGAATTTCAGAAGATGAGTGAATGCGACTAAAGTCTAGGAATTTCGCCACGCATAATTAATGAATGAAATTATTTTGCTACCACATATGTTTTTGGAAGAACAGAGGAAGACGACAAAAAAAAATTTTTGTGAATGTGGCGGAAGTATCAGCTGCTGCGCGCAAATAATTGAATGGAAGCCGCCCGACGCAAAATCTGAAGATTTTCTCGAATATTATTTTAATACCATGCGCCCACTTAACACAAATTCAATTTCAATTATTTATGTGGGAATATTAATGCATAGTTCAATGTTGCAAGTTTTCATGAAATTTTGAAAAAAAAAAATGTTCTGTGTGTATTATGATTTGCAGCGAGCACAACACACCTATAGGCAAATCAACAGGCCGACGGTAGAGTGTCGCATGGCGCAGTCGTCCGCTCGTCGGGCTGGGAAGCGGGGCGTCGATTTTGCCGCGCGCGGGTTCGTGTCCCGCCCGCGGTCACCATTGGTTTTTGCACCAGAAGTCTCGTACTAATGATGTCATAATTAAAATAATTATCGTGTTTGTTGTTCTTTGCGAATTGGTGCGAGTAGGGATGCGCGGGTGGCGTGTGGTTCGCATCATTTAAAAGAAGAGCACACCGCGGACGTCAGAATCTTGGGGCGAAAGACGAACAAGACGACGGAGGAGATGATGACGTTGACGCGCGATTATTGCGTAAACATTTCAATTATCAAAATTTTCGAAACCAGGCCGTCTAGAGTGTGTCGAGTTTGATCTTTTTCCATGAATGGGAGTTTCGACGGAAGGTCTCGAATCCTCAACAGTGATTCCAAAAATAAATTGTTATTTTGCAAAAATTTTCAAGAAATACCAACTCGGCAATTTAATAAAATCAGGATGCGGACAAATTCCGGGAAAACGCAATTTTTTTGAAATGTTCTACTTTCGACAATTTTTGGCCGAAAAGTAGGGCACGCTCAACTCCACAATTTAACAATTTTGAGCTGCGGACAATTCCCTGGCATATTTGCAATATTCAAAAAATGCCTGTTGGCGGCAATTTTTCACAAATTCCATCTGCGGACACTGGTCGAGGCCCCGCCCTGCATCCATTAATAATTTCCACATTACTCAATATGATATCATGGGTTTTTTTCGAGAAAAAAACAAAACCTCAAACATGCTAAATTCGTTTTAATAATAGATGACCGCGCGGCACGAAAATGTGGGACGACGATGATCGCAAAAATTGGCGAACACGCGGACCGACAAAAATTTGTTGGCTAATTGGCGAAAAAACAAATTTTCGCTTTTTTTCTCCGGCTCAACGAAATTTCGAAAGCACACCAGATGGCCGAGCCGAGCCATCCGAGCAGTTCAAAAGAATGCCGACGCGGTCGGTGTGAATCGGCAACAATTTGTGATTTAAAGGCGCATTCGACAAAATTTCGACGGGGATCCTGAACTTCTCACTAATCATTCACTCTCGAAACGCTATGCTCCTTTAATTAGCGTTTGAGAGCTACAGTAATCCGAAAAAGAGAAACTACAGTAGTCCTGTAGTTTAATGTTTTTCTGAGAGCTACAGTAACCCAAATAGGTCTCAATTACTGTCCTCATTGATTTAAAGGCGCATGCCTCTGGAGCTCAAACCCCTATGCTCCTTTAATTTCGAAATTGATTCGATTTAAAGGCGCAGAAAGAATGCTACAATAAAAATCGTTGATTTAAAGGCGCATGAAATAATTCTGGAAGAATTTGGAGAATTTCAGAAAATCAATGCAATTACTGTAATTAATTAATTTTTTTTGAAAAATTCCAAAATTCAAAATTCGTCATTTTTTTGCAATTCGAAAAATTTGAATTACCGCCAATTTTTTTATCTGAGCACAATTTTTGAGACGATTGCCAAACACTGTGGTCTCGAAGCGATGCGCCTTTAATCAATCTAAGCTTTCGCGCCGAGACCTCAACCAAATTTTTTCGCCAAAAATTGATCTGCCTCGCTTTTTAATTAGAAAATCAAATGTTTTTTATCATTACCGTATAATTCGCTTCGAGACCCAAATGAAATCGAGTAATTCGCACAATTCGTTCGAGCTTCCACTCAATTCCTAAAAATCGTAAGTAGAAAATTACGGACCATTAAAAACAATAAAAGCGATGTCCGCCAAAAATTCATATTAAAGGCGCGTGCTTCGAGACCAAAAAAAATTATATTTTTGTGTACCCCAAAAACAAAAAAGAATCGCGTCCTTCGGCGATTTTTCAAGGCCGCCCGTGTTTGGCAAAAAAAAGGATTGGCCTCTTTTAAAACCAACAAAAAGTTTGTTCTATTTTTCACAAAAAAAACCATGTGTGGGCGTGGCCTTGTACTGTAATCTACCGTAATCGCGAAAAAATATATTTAAAAAAAAAAAAAACTTTTTTTGTCTATGCGCCTTTAAATTGGTTCTACGCCTTTTAAAAAATTCACTATTTTTCAAATGCGCCTTTAAATGTGGTCTAACCCTTTAAACATCACCATTTTGACTGAAAGACATTCTTTTCCGGCTATGCGCCTTTAAATAACACTTGTTGAATATGCGCCTTTAAATGGGACCCACACGTTTAAAACACTTCTCCAATATTGCCCTATGCTACTCATTTTCGCCTCAGGACCACACAAAAATTGAATTGTCGCCGTACAGTAATCCACAGTAATCGCGGAGAGAGAAAAACACACGAAATAAAATTTTATAAACTGAAACAAGAGCTGCCCGCAATGGTTAAACATGGAGACAAAACGAAAATGAAATAAAAAGCATTTTCAACATTTTGCGACAAGCTTGGGGGATAATACAACGATATGTCATGCAATTTTCGTCGAATTCATGCGAAAAATGGAAACATTCAAGGAAAGGCACCTAAAACATCGACTAGATAAATTATTAAATAAAATCTTTTCTTTTTTGGTGCTGGTCTCAACATTTCGGAATGCTAAAACAAAATCGTTGGGAGCGTTTTTTTTTTGGGACAAAATGAGGCATGAACCGTTTTCGCAAGAAGCATATATTCAAATAATAATTAGTAGTAATACATAATTATAGTTAATTGGGGTACCCGAATGTTTAATCGAAGACTAATTTGGTGCAAAAAAAGAGAAAAAAAAGACACAGGGTTGGATGTTGTTTTTTTTTTCTTCGGGGCGTGCCGAGTACGCAAACACACGCGACGCAAAAGTGCACAATATAAAAAAAAAACAATTTCAATTCGCAGGCAAGCACATAACAAGTCGAGTTTCAGCATCAATCGCCGATTGTCGCCTACTGCGACGTGTTCTCATCATCATCATCATCGTCCTCGTCGCTTAGATGGCGCCGCGATTGGCGCGGCGAGCACGAGCCAACGCACGTCGACGACATCGTCTCGAGAACGTCGCGCGCGCGTCGCCACAATCGTCGCGGTGTTCGTTGACGCGACGACGCGTCGCGCTCATCGTCGTCGTCGTCTTTGAGCAACGCGATCGGCGGCGAGCATCGCGTCGCTTCCATCGTCGCCTACAAACAAACTGAGAACTCATCGTCAGCGCTCGAAATGTGACGGCAGCTCACCGCACCTTACGCTGCTTCGTCGCCCGTATCGTGTTGTTGTTGAGCGCGCTGCACTCGAACCCCGGCAGCGTCGTCTGCGCTTCAATATCGTAACCGTCGTACATGTGGCCGAATTCATCAGGCGACGCCAAATACGCCACTCTTCCGTTCACCTTCAAATCGACCCTTTTCGAGGCGATGTCGGCGATCGTCGGATTAATGGCTCGAACGCGCTCGAAAACCTAAAAAAAAGAAACCGGGGTTACTGTAGTAAGTGTGCACCCGACCAACCTTCTTCTCAATCTCCTCGTCCCTCAAATAGTCAAGCTCTTTGAGCGTCGTCGGATCCACACGGCTCATCTCCTCGTGAAGCGCCTGCCAGCAGACGCGATTCGCGCATATCGACTCGTACGTCGATTTGCCATCGGGAATCACCTCCGACAACATTCTAAAAGCGCAACAGCAAATTTCAATGTCTGACATTCACGTGACTCACTTGAACACCGGCAATCCGATGGTGTCGAGAAACTCGATTTGGACTTGCGGCACGAACGCCTTATGGCGATCCATCATCTCCAATGGTGTGACGCCGATCTCGTTCTCAAGATCGCCTTGCGCGAAGAACTCCGTGTAGATGTTTTCGGCGATCAGTTTCGCGTTGTGGAAGTTCTTCGATTGATCCGAAAGATCCGAAGCGGTCATGATGAGACTCGACAGCATGTAGTGGTCGACTATCGACGATTTTCGAAAGCCGGCTGCAATCAAATGTTAATAGTAGAAAAATCGAACGCTCAAAAAAAAGCACCTTTGACCATCTTCTGAATTTGCGCCACTTTTTTGAGATGGGCGGCGATGTCGGTGGCGAGAATCACCTCGCGAATGTTCGACAAAATCGATCGATACTGGCCGGCCGGCAAATGGCTGAGAATATCGCATTCGGGCGTCTGCTGAAATTGGACCCCCAAAAAAATCATGTTGAAGCGACACCCGTCGTCACCTACCGTCAGAATCGACACCGTCTGCGCGTAGTGGTGCCGCTCCAACACACTTCCCTCGCTGCTGTACAACTGAGCCAGTGGGGTCTTCTGGAAACCGAAAAATGAAAATCACAATTGAAAGGGGGGGGGGGCTCGCCGAGCAGCTCACCGATTGCAGTTGAAACGAGTTGGTGGTGCCGCGATGGTCGATATCGTGGCACAGGCAAGCGATGAGCAACGACAATCGCTCGACGTCGTCGAGATTCTGTTTGCACGCGTCGGTGCGAAGCACGAGCCAACAGAAATGCGCGACGGCGAACGCGTGCGACCAATTGTGATAGGGCACCGGACGGTAGCCGGCCGAAATGCGCAACACCAAATATGACAGCTTGCGTTTGTTGATGCGAAACTGATAGGTGAAGCCGAGATCCTCGAAGAACGTCATCGACGCTTTGTGGAAGTGATTCTCGCCGATCGAGCGCGGCGCAAACGCGAAATCATCGAAATAGTCGTTGAAGTAGCGCCAATCGCGTCGCGGATCCGTCACAAGACGCTGAATGTCGTCGTCGGGAATCTGGAAGCAACAGAAGGACGCCATCCTTTTCTTTTGGCTCTCGAGAAAATTTTTCAGCAATTTATCGGCCACAATTCCAATTCAGGTAAATCAAACAAAATATTTTGAGATTCATTGAGAAACTAACGTGTCTCTATAATATTTTAGAATTTTCTCAATCAATTTTAGAATTTAATGAGATAGTTTAGAATTTGCTCAATAAATTTTAGAAAATCTTATGAGATTAAAAAAAAATTTTTTAAGTTTATTGAGTCTCAATAAGTTTTCGAAAGTATCAATAAACTTTAGAATTTCTCAAAATATTTTATTTGATTTGTCTGAGAAGTTTTACATGATTAATTGGCCAATCAAGGCAAATTTTATCAAAAAAAATCGCTTACTACGACATTGACACCCTGCACCATCATCTCCGTCGCCATATGGCTCTTCAAATAGGTCTCCTGGATCTTTTTGTAGAAGATACTCTGAAAATTGGGCGTCTCGTGAAACGAGCAAACGAAAAAAAAAACTCGGCAACGAACATGAGCGATGCACGTGGCACAGTGGATTCCGAAATTTTTGGCGAATTTCTCGTCGCGTCGCGAGAAACCCGTCTCCAGCGAGTCCTTCTTGTTGCAAATCTCGGCGACGCCGACCATCAGACCCGAATTGTCGATGACGGGAAAACACAGAATGTTCTTGGTGCGGAAGCCCGTCGTCTGATCGACGTTTGGATAGAAGAATGGGCATCTGAACGAATTTTTATTCAGAAAACAATTTTTTCTTGCAAATATTTCTTCCGTGAAAATCTACTGTAAACTTTGCTTGACAAACCGACCGACGAAATTCTTTTTTTTTTCAAAACGCTCACATATCAATTGAAAGGGCTTTGATAGCGTTATCTCAAAGAGAATACGATTTTTAATTAAATGAAAAAAAAAAAACAATTTTTTTTGGAATTCGAATGACTCACCGCTGCGCATTGCGAATGTTCATCAGGGTTCGTGTGAGCGCCACACGACCAACGACACCATGGCCGAATGGAACGCGAAGCTCGTCTTGACTCTCGGGACCGTTGTCGAATATTTTGGCGACGAGCTCTTTCGTGACTTCGTCGAGAATGAATATCGCGCATCTGAAAGACGAAATTGTGAATAATTCGAAAAATCCCGCAGTTATTCTCATTTTCTTAGGGAAAATTGAAAGATTTTCATCGAAATTTCAATTATAATATCAAAAATAAATTAATTTTGCTAATTTTTATTGAAATAACGAAAAGAATAGGCAGAAAATTGGAGAAAATGGCGAACAACAAAAAATGACTACCGTAGCCGAATTAAAGGCGCAATGAGTAATCGAAAAATTGTCTCGCCACGCGTTGTACTGTACTCAATTTTTTACGCTCAATTTTTCAGCACAAAATTCGCAAAAAATTGAGGCGACTAGCTAAAATTCAGCCAAAATTCATGATTCCCATTGGAAATTAGTCATTTCCCAATGACGCGTTTTAATTTAAAAAAAAAAGCCTCACAATTTCAAATAATTCGCTCAATTTGCCCATTTCGCCTCATCAATTGACGCAACATTTTGATTATTTTTATTAATATTAATATTAATGCTAATCCTGGATATTCGCATGAGGCGATTATAGTCATTTCTGCTCACAATATGTGATTTTAGGCGAGTTTCGGCCATAATTCGATTCTGAATACCACCAAAATGCACTTCAGCGCGAAATTCGCCATGATCAGCGGGCAAAAAATTGAAGATAGCAATATTTTTCAATGTCAAACTTTGAAAATTTTGTACCAAAAATGCTTTAAATATGCAATTATTTCGAAATTTTCATTATGCATTTTGATATTTGAGTAGTCTGGAGCCATTTCGCTGCAAGATCTCCTAGCTCCATGCTCCTTTAATAAGAGGCATATATGAAAATGGTATTAATCGTATGGATTAAAGGCGCATAACGCGGAGCAAAAAAAACAATGGAAAAATCGAAACTCACGCTTCCGCGTTCAGACTCCTCTTCGCTTCATCAATGATGTCGCGCACGAGCAATTGTAGATCATCGGTGAGGCTCATGAATCGCAAATAGGTTGTCGGCGAGACGGGCGGCGTCGAGCCGCCGTCGCTCGACAACGAATCGTCGTCATCGGCGGCGCCGAATTGATTCAGATACGATGTGGGCGTGTCCTGAAAATCAGCACGTTTAAAGGGAGGTAAGGGGGGCGGGGGGTCTCGAATGGAACCCGAAAAACCCACATCGATGTCGTATCGAATCGACGCGCCCCAATCGTCCTTCGTGCCGCGATTGCGAAGTTGCAATTGCAGATTGCGATTGCGCATCTCGTGATTGTGCGACGTCAACGGCGGATGCGACGTCTTCCGCCACACGTACGGCATCGTCGACGTCGTCGTCGTCGACATCGACGTCGATCGAACGATGCCGGTCATCGTCATCGAGAACGACGACGACGACGACGACGACGACGATGACGGCTTCGAAACGATTGGCTGCGCCAGTGAGCTCGAGCCTACAATTTGTGTCTGTGTGTTTTTTTTTTTTCTTCGAGATATGCGCCTTTAAATATTGCCTTTAAACGAACCAATATTTCCATAAAATATATTATTGCTTCAAGGGAGGCTATGCGCCTTTAAACGATTCCCGCAAAACCAAAATGAAAGGCTTAATATCTCAAATCAATAGAAACCCCCCGATGTTGGGTCTCGCCGTGTAGGCCGAAGTAGAATGGGTCTCGCCGCGATTCTTTTTTGTTTTGTTCTGTGAGAATCTTTAAAGGCGCACACCCCAATGTCAAATTGCTTTTTTTTAAAGGCGCATTGTCTCGAAACCAACCTTGCGTTTGAGCAATCTCGCTTCTCGTCAACACTTCAATTTTCAGCTGATCGGCGTCGAACTGCGTCGGCAACAATCCGACCATGGAACAGCGCGCGATCGGCAATTCTTCCAAATCGTGTGTCGCTCTCTCTCTCGCACACAACACGAAGACGACGAGCCCTGAAGCGAGCAGCTGGTGTTCATTGGAAGACAGAGAGAGAGAGAGAGAGAGAGAGAGAGAGAGAGAGAAACGACAACGACGACGACACCGGAAATTGATTTCGATTCGACGTTTTTTTTTTCCATTCTGTCGACTCTCGTCGCGTGGCGAGCGAGAGAGCACGAGAAATCGAGAGGGCGCCAGACGAGAAATCGCCGATGATTTTTGAAATTTGCTACGTCTATTTTTTCGTATTCAACAAGCATTTGTCAACTAGTTGATTTTGTTAAAGGCGCATGGGTCTCGAGTGGAATTCGAGAATTTCGCAAATACCATGTACATTTGGTCGAATCACACGTCGTTTAAAGGCGCATGCCGATTGCGTTTGAGATTGGTTTAAAGGAGCACATAGACGTGTGAGAGGATGCGTGCAAGCTTTAAAGGCGCCATCGGCCAAAATTTGAAGCGGTTTAAAGGCGCACACCAGCGACATTTAAATTTGGTGGATTTTAAGGAGATTGAAGGAGCAAAATGAAACGATGAGGTTTAAAGGCGCATGAACGAGCTAATAATTCGAAAACGGTTTCAAAAATGCGGAAATGGCGATGAAAACTGGGTTGGCTTTTTTTTCTCTTTTGGAGGAGGGGAAGGAGAGGATGGTGGGGTGTGGAAGGAAGGGAGGAAGGAAGCGAAGAAAAACACACACACGCGATTCAGAAGGGAGAAGAAGAAGAGGGGGGGGTCTCGTCGAAGTGACACCAAACGCACATGGATTTTTCATAGAAAAATAGAAGCGCGAGACACCACAGCGAGAGAGTGAGAGAGCGCAGACGACGAGAGGAAGGCGTCAGAGACGCAGAGGGTTCGGCACGCGCCAGCCGCCGCCGTCGCGAGAGAGATTAATTGAGTTTTGATGATGAATGAATTATACACACTCTCTCTCTCTCTCTTTCTCTCTCTCTCTCTCTCTCTCTCTCTCTCTCTTCCTCTGCGTCTCTGCCATCGCTCTTCGTTGCCCCCCCCCCCACAACACTTTATTCGCGAGGCGCGTTCGACGAATCGAATTCGGCGTTCCACGCACGCATTGTTTTTTTTTTCTTTGGGGTCCTGACTGGAAAATGGGATCTTGACTGCGCCTTTAAAATGTATAAGCGGTTTGTTTTATTGTTTGAATGTTTTTTTCGCTTCTAACTTCAAATCCGATTAGCTCTTTCCAAGCTTATCATTTAATCCGATGATTGACCGAATCCATGCCGTCTACCGTATCCTCTCTTGAAAGGCGTAGATCAAACTGAAATCCGAAATCGAAGATTGGACTTTTGTGGAGGGCTTAGTGCAAATTTATAATCATGGGCTTTATTGGTTACGGTAGCATTAATAATTTTTGAATGGAAAAGATAATTGTGATTGAAAGAAACTGGCATGCGCCTTTAAATTGTGATACTGTAGACATTGTGGAAGGGGGGGGGGGCGGGAGCGCACGCGCAACACTTGTCTGCCAACCGGGCTCGTTTGAAAGGGTGCGCAATTGGCGCGTTGCTTCCACTTTTCGCTAGCGCGCGGAAGGTGCCGGGATCAACACCTCACTGAGCCAATTTACGTTTTGCGAGCATTTGAATCACTAATCCGAGTTTGATAGACTCCAAAATTGGGACGAATTACATTTTTTGATAAAAAAAATGCGTAAGGCAGCATGTGGGAAAAAATTGTGATAAAAAGAAAATGAAGAGCCAAAAACCAATGACGGATAGTGAGGAAAAAACTATGCAAATTTTTTTCGATCATGAAAAAAAAACGACTATGGGAGGGGTGAATGGAACGGGAATTAAAACCTAATCATCATCCAGGGTATAATTAACCAATAAAAGACATTTTCAGATAACTATATATATGGTATAATCCCGTTTGATATCAATTAAACACGAGAGACGCAGGCGACATGAGAAGCCGTGAGAAAATCGGGCGGTCATGCGCCTTTAAATTGTTCGTTGGCCGACATTCACACACGAGCGAGATAAAATGCCGATTTTCACTTTGAAAAATTCGAAGGGACGGAAATGATTAATTACGAACGTACATGACGTGAAGACATACCGGAATCGGTATCACTAAAAAAAATGAAAGAGAGAAAACGAACTATGAAGAATTCGAATACGTCATTCGATTCAACGCGTTTTGCGTCATGTTTGCACTTGAAATGCAGTCGGCCGCCGGCCGCGCAATCAAAACTGGATTACATTGTGATCAGCTTGTTCGCAAAACACAATTCGGTTGTGCGCGGTGTCGAACCCGCCACCTTTCGTGCGCCAGCGCAAAACGCAAGCTGCTTACTACGATGACAACTATGCGACGTTACGCGAATGACGTATACGTGTTGCGCCTTCTCCACTCTCCTTTCCACGTTTTCGAAACTCCCAAATTTTGACGTGAGCGGAGAAATCGCAAAAATTGCCTTATCAATTGCCGACATTTTTCGGAAACCGTCTTAACTGACCGTTTTTCATATTGACAACTGTTCAAGGAATTTGCCGCAAAAAAGTTTCAATTTAATTAAAAAAGAATGCATTCAATTTAATTTTGAAATTTGAAATTGAATTAAATTTTTTTCAAAAAATTTCAATTTAATTTTTCAATATATCGTTTTTGAAAATGTCTCATTTTCCGATTGAATCGATTCAAAAAATTTTGACAATTTTTCCCAAAAATTGCATTAATATTCCAAATCTACAGTTATGGATTACTGTAGTTAAAATTAAAACAAAAAATTTTATTTTGAATAGCGAAACAATTTGCTGGTGAATTTAAGCTCTGAAAATGGCTGAAAACAGCGATTTTCGATAAATTGAGCGATGAAAATCGAAAAATTGATAAAAAATTGCATAAAAATGGCAAATTTCAAAATTTCGTTACTGTAGCTACAATTTCAAGCCTAAAAATTGAAAAGCAAAAAAATTGGTTTTTTTTTGTTGTAAAAACCTCAATCAAGGCAGAAAAAAACGTGAAAAATTTACAATTAAAAAAAATTTCCGATAAAAAAAAAATCAGAATGATAAAATTTCAGACACCAAAAAAAATTGTTTTCATTTTTCTATTCTTTTAAAAAATATTTTTTAAAATCTGAAATTTTTCACCAACAATGGGTTGTTTTCCAAGAACAAAAAACGAATTTTAACATTTGTTTTGTTTGACAAAAAATAAGGCCAACATTTTTGGGCTCAACTGAAATGGAAAATGAGCGGAAATGAAAATTTGAAATGCTCCATTCAAACGATTACTGTATTTTCAGGCATGCGTGTAAACACCGAGACGTAGAGTTGCGGGATTTGTGCCATGGATTACTGTGGAGGTCAACGCTAGAGCAGAAATTGATAATCGCGTCGAGACCCATGATTAATCGGTTGATTTATCGACGCGAATCGCTCTCGCCGTCTGCGTCTCTCACATCGACACCGTCTCTCGCCATCACAATAATATCACCCAAATCACCATTTTGCGATCAAAAACCGACAATGTAAGTTGATTCTTTTTTTTTTTGAGGCGAGGGGGGTTCGAGTTCAAAAAAAAATTGAGAATTCATTGAATTTTAGCGAATTTTCGAAGTGGGCGGGCCCAAAAAACGCGATTTTTCGGCGATTCAAAATTCTCAAAAAAAAGTTATTTGAAAAAAAAAAAAACAAACAAAAATGTTGCGCCAAGGGACCATCTAGAGCAAAACGAAAACGTCTAAAATGATGGTCCCCTGTGGGACGGCGAATGATTGATATTTGAATGGGGGGGGTTCCCATTTTTGGGCAAGAGAGGACGACGAGACGACAAGAGCAACCCTCTCTCTCTCTCTCTTTGGGTCTCGCGCCGAAAATCGATAAAACGCGTCTTGCGGCGAAAAAATGACAAATTTTCAGATGGCCGATGAGCACGACGACGGCACATATTTGGGCATCGATTTGAGCACTCAACAGGTTTTGTTTGGCGTTTGGCAGGCCGAAAAAAAAGAACAAACAAACAAGAAACCCTCCATCTATATGCGCCTTTAAAGAAATAGAAAAAAAATCGACAGTAATCCTGGCATTGAATTTTCTTTGCCAGCGTATGCGCCTTTAAATGTTTCACCCAGACAAATTCTACAGTAATCGAAAAATGCAAATTAAAAATGTCTGGAGAAAAAGTGCTACCGTAACCCTTGCATGAGCTTATAAATATTTACCAAAAATTCTACCGTAACCGCCTAATGCGCCTTTAAACTGTTTTACGCAAAAATCCTACGCTGATCGCAAAATGCGCCTTTTAATTTTCTCGAAAAACAGCAACAGCTACGGTAACCGCCTAATGCGCCTTTAAAATTTTCATGCAAAAATTACACTCATCGCAAAATGCGCCTTTAAGTATTTCCGAAAAAACAGCAACAGCTACCGTAACCGATTAATGCGCCTTTAAATTTTTTATGCAAAAATGCTACGTTGACTGCGCAAAATGCGCCTTTAAATTTTCCCGAAAAACAGCATCAACTACCGTAATCGCCTAATGCGCCTTTAAACTGTTTTGCTCAAAAATCCTACGCTGACTGCGCAAAATGCGCCTTTAAATTTTCCCGAGAAAACAGCAACAACTACCGTAACCGCCTAATGCGCCTTTAAACGTTCGCCAAAAAAAAAACGACTCTCGAGTTTCTTCGTCAAATCTCATCCTCATTTCTCGCCCACAGATGAAATGTGTGATTCTCGACGCGAACGCGACCGTAATCCATCGCGAGTGTGTCAAATTCGACGATTTCGGGTAAGCCGAACCACTCGATTCCATTCGATCTGCTCATTATCCGTCAGCACCGAAAACGGTGTGCTCATCGGCGGCGACGACGGTCGAACGGCGACGTCGCCGGTTCGAATGTGGCTGCGCTCGCTGGATCGCCTCATGTCGCGTCTCGTCGATTCGCGTCGCGATCTGCTCGTCCGCCTACGCGCCGTCTCCGGCGGCGCTCAACAACACGGCACCGTCTATTGGCGACGCGGCAACTCGCTGAGAACGCTGAACGCCGACGCATCGTTGGAGGACCAACTCAAGGTTTGCCGAATCTGCGTCGCCAATCTTCTCAATTTCATCTCGCAGAACGCATTCACAATCGAGAACAGCCCGATTTGGATGGACTCGAGCACACAGGCCGAATGCGAGGCGCTCGAGCGTCTCGTCGGCGGCGATCAGCGACTGTGCGAGTTGAGCGGCTCGCGAGCGCATCATCGCTTCAGCGCCGCCCAAATCATGAAGATCGTCGATCGCCATCCGCAAGCGTGGAACGACACCGACGTTTGTTTGAACGGCCATCACATCATCCAATCAATCGGTGTTCCAGCGCGTCTCGCTGATCTCATCGTTCGTCGCCTCGCTGCTCATCGGCGACTACGCGCCGATCGACTACACCGACGGCAGCGGAACCAATCTGATGGACGTTCGCGCCAACGTTTGGCTCAAGGAGCTCGTCGATTCGATCAGTCCCGATCTCGAGCGAAAGTTGGGACCACTAGCGGATCCGACAATTCCGTTGGGCACCGTGGGCGACTATTTTCAGCAGCGCTACGGCATCCCGCGCGAATGCCTCGTGCTGCCGTTCGTCGGCGACAATCCGGGTAAGGCCGACGACGGCGACGCCGCGCCAAACATAATTCATCGTGTTGAGCTTCACTGGCCGGCTTATGCCTTCAGCCAACCGACATCGGCGTCTCGTTGGGAACCAGCGATACCGTATTCTTTGCCACTCGATCGTTTCGACCGTGCGTCGACGCGCACGTCTTCGCCCATTTCGACACGAACGCGCACGCGTTTATGCCGCTTGTGTGGTGGGTGTTGATCTTTTCGCGTCGGGACCCGCAATCATTTTTTTTCTCGGGGGCTCTCAATAACAAACAAAAATCGCGTCGGGTGTCCCGACATTTTGGCATTTTTCGTGCTAGGACCCTCGCTCCCACCGGGGCCTAGTAAATCGACATCACGTAGAGATTAACTCTTGCGACATTTTCGTGACAGGAGCCCTGCCCTCGTAAATCGAGAACTATGAAATTTTCGTGGCAGGACCTCGTCAAAAAATTTCAAAAAATTTTTTTTCGCGCTCCGTAAATCGACAACTATGAAATTTTAGTGGCAGGACCTCGCCATTATTTTCGCATTCCGTAAATCGACATCGATGAAAATTTTCGTGGCAGGACCTCATTATTATTTTCGCACTCCGTAAATCGACAACTATGAAATTTTCGTGGCAGGACCTCGCCATTATTTTCGCACTCCGTAAATCGACAACTATGAAATTTTCGTGGCAGGACCTCGCCATTATTTTCGCATTCCGTAAATCGACATCGATGAAAATTTTCGTGGCAGGACCTCATTATTATTTTCGCACTCCGTAAATCGAAAACTATGAAATTTTCGTGGCAGGACCTCATTATTATTTTCGTACTCCGTAAATCGACAACTATGAAATTTTCGTGGCAGGACCTCGCCAAAAAATGCCTCCCCAATTCGGAATCGTCGACGTTTCAGCTTCAAAAACGGCTCGTTGACGCGTGAGCGCGCGCGACACCTCGCCAACTCATCGTCGTGGCGCGAGTTCGACGCGATTCTCGACGCGACGCCGCCGGGCAACTCGGGACGCGTCGGACTGTTCTTCGACGGCGACGAGATCGCGCCGCGCGTCTCACGCGGCGATTATTTCATCGACGAGGCGCGTCCGACGACCGTCGCCGAGTTGTGTCGCACCGTGCTCGAATCGCAGTGCTACCTGAAACGCTTCTACACGTCGCTGATGATGTCCGACGATGTGGAGCGCGTCGTCGTCACCGGCGGTGCGTCGGTCAACGTCGCGCTCCTTCAGATGCTCGCCGACGTCTTCAATTGCAACGTCTACACCATCGATGTCGAGGATTCGGCGGCGTTGGGCGCCGCGATGCGCGCCAGATACGGTAATCAGACTACCGTATACTACAGTAATCCAAATATTCACAATACAAAAAAAACCAAAGGTTACAAGCCGATGTTCGAAAATTCGTCTTGCAGCGACGTCCAACTCGTCGGTCGCGTTCAACACGTTCTACAGCTCGCGGAGCCGATCCCACATGAAGCACTCGGCGTCGCCGAACGCCGTCAACCACGCGAAGCACGCGGCGACGTTCGAAACGTTCAAGACGCTTCTACAACAAATTTCATTCAATTAATTGTCAAAAAAAACAAAAAAAATTTGAAAATACATATATAAATATATGATGGGACCTTTTTCATAAAATTGAGAATAACAATCCATTTTTCACACGAAAAAAAAGCGTCCGATGAACAGGTCCGTATATAAGTGAGGCGAAAAGAGAGGGGAACAAATTGGCGGACAACGATTAACCCAATCACATTTTTTTTCTTTTTTTTTAGCACAAAGAAGCTCTGCACAAGTGAAATATTGCGGTGAGATGGAGGTGTCTACAAAAGTGGGCGGAGACTAGACAAAATAATTCAATGAGGGGGGGGGCTTTTTACAAATATGATACACGAAGAAAATGAATTGAGAAGAAAAAAAAACAAACGACGAAGAAGAAAAATGAAAACCACTAGGGATCGGGTTGTGAGAACGATTGAATAATTGCGTGAACGTTCGCGTAGAGGCCGGCGACAATCGCGAAGCAGCCGATCGATATCACGACGCAGTTGATCGCGATTTTGGTGACGCGTTGACGATGGGTGAGAAGTCCCTGGAAGAAAAGCAAATCATCAATAGTTCGTTTCGGGACCATTCAAACAAAAATTTGTTCCACACTTTGCCATATTTGTCGATGTCAAATGATTGTACAGTGCTCCACAAAATTATATACCCACCCTAATTTTGTCGAATAACTCGAAAACGCGAATAGCTCCAGAAATGGTTTCAATTAGAAAAATATGCGCAAAAATTTTTTCTACTTTTTCGTGAAAATGACGAAATTTTTAAAATTGTTATTTTTTGTTGAATTTTGTGAATGTAACATGAAACTAATAATAAATGCGCATATTTTTCTAATTGAAACCATTTCTGGAGCTATTCGCGTTTTCCAGTTATTCGACAAAATTAGGATGGGTATATAATTTTGTGAAGCACTGTACAGTGCGCGTCATCAAGATACCCCAACCCCTCAAATTTTTCAGTTTCGAGAAATTCATATAAATAATGGTGATTAGACAATTGCATTTTCGACTTCAGGACCATTGAAAACGTATACGTGCGTATCATTATGACGCCCTTCGAAATCCAACTTTTTTTGGACTGTGCGGATACGGATCAACGGACCCTCATGAAAATACGCACATATAGGTTTTCAATGGTCCTGAATTCGAAAATGAAATTTTCTTGTCACCAATTTATATGGTTTTCTTGAAACTGCAAAATTTGGGGGATAGATCAACACATTCCGAATCCGTCTTTTTCTCGAAATTCCCCTCCAAAAACCAAATCGCGTTTTTCGGATTCTGCTAATGGGCGGGGTTTTGGAGAGTTGGCAATGGTTTATTGGGTAAGATCATCAACAGGGACCATTGCAATTTTTTGTTCAGCTCGATTTGAACCAAATTTTCACCAAAATAATGCATCGGAGGCTCTCATGTTCTTCGTGATATTTTGCGGAATCTCACAGCGCCAATTTTTGAAGAACCGAATCACCTTCCAATCCGTCCAAAACGTGATCATCTCGAACAGCGGCGGGTAGATCAATGCGCAGAGTGTTCCGCTGGTGACACCGACCAACGGAATCATGATTTCGAGTTTCGGTATGAGCACCGCCATCAAATAGGTGACCATCACCCAAAACACGCGGAAGCCCTACAAGCAAAAGCAGATTGAGGACGATAATTGGCGGGCGTTATAAACAACAAAAAAAAACACAAACCTTATCCGACAGCCATTTCGGGCAATTCGGGAATCGCGCACCGAACTTGCGGCGGAATCCGTTGAAGAACATGTCGTAGACGACGTACATCGCTATCGAGTTGCCGAGAAGCGATTGGAGCATGAGGAAGACGTTGACGGTCGAGTAGAGACTAGAAAATGAAAAAATCAAACAACACAAAAGTGCTCAATTTCGATGGTCCTTTGGTCAGACCACCACATAAAGTAATCTATCAGTCCAATAGATCTAAATCGTCAAAAATTCCGATTTTTCAGTTTTCAATGGTCCACTACAATAATTTCGAAGGGATTGACATTTTCTTGGACGGTATGTAAACCAAAAATTTTGTTCGAGAATTTCGATGGTCCCCAGTCAAAAAAGAAATTGTATTGGGACCAAAAACGCCAGAAAGAAGTCTAGAAATACAAGGGGTCAATGTCCACTTTTAGGTACTCCTTGTCAGTCAAGAAAAAAAAATTCGAGGAATCAAAGTTAAAATGGTCCATTGGCAAAAATCTCGAAGTTCAATTATCAATGTCCAATTTTTGATTGGACAAAATTGAGCCAATTCAATGGTCCCTGGCGTTGAGGACCAAAAAAATTTAGAAAAAAAAAACAATCCAACTTTGGGCTCTGAAAAAAAAATAATTTCAATGGTCCTTGCGCTAGGAAAGAAATCGCATCGAGATTTGAAAAAAAAAATCAATTTTGGAAAATCTAGAAATCCAAAAGGGGTCAAAGTCCAAATTTTGGGTTGAATGCGATTCCCGAAAAAAGAAAAGTGGTCAAATTTTTTCGGACCATATAGATAGTATCAAAAATGAAATGTCTCAATCGTCTCCTCACCCCTCTTTCGGCACATTGGTGGTGATGGTTGGCGCAATCGCGTCGCCGAATCCCGTGTAGCCGAAGAAGCCCAATCCGGTCATGAACGCCGTGCAAATCATCATCGTCGTCGGCAGAACGCCGAACGGCGCGAGAAATGCGCTCGGATCGTCGAGTTTGTTCTCGATCGGCAATATCATCGTTTGGCCCTCGAACGCGTACATACTCATGCCGATCATCGTGATCGTGCCGGTGAAGTTCGTCGCCGCCGGCAAGTTGTCCCATTGGTTTGGTTGTCTGACAAAAAAAAATATCAATTCCGATTTTTTCGTTCAATCATTGAAGCTGGTTTTTCCGGGGGGGGGGGAACCCGATTACAAATCCTTCATATCGATTTTCATGAAGAAAACAATTATCAGATGGAATAATTCAGATTTCACCAAAAAAAAGACGCACCCCCAAAAAATTGCTATCAATTTCCATTTTTTGCCGATTTTTTCGATTTCCTATCTAGTTTCTATGACATTTTTTTGTGATTTCTGAGCTTACCCTTCTTCAAATCGATTTTTGTTCCACTTTCCTTTATAGTCGGCGTCCGGCGACTGACTGCTGTATGCGGGTAGATTTACGGAGACGCGTCTTTCGAAATGGTCTCGCAAGGACTAACAGATTATTTGAAATTTTATGGGCCGGTTCGATAATTTTTTGGAAAATTCAAAGAAATGCGAAACTCATCAAGAAAAATGAAGTAGTTCACGTGAAAACAACAAAATAAGCGTTCACGCGTGGCGAGACCTTTTCAAGGCGCACGCGCGTAAATCTACCCGCGTACATCAGTCGCCGGACGCCGACTGTATCCGAATTCGATGTGAACAAGAAAATTGTGAATTTTCGCACAGAAATGTTTCAATTTCTCGCATTTTCTGTCAAATCAAGTTTTAAAAAAAACAATGGGATGATTTTTTAAACATTTTTTGATCGAAATTCAAAAATTGGCGTAAAATATGCAAAGGTGTTGAATTTTTAATCGATTAATTGCAATAAAAAAAAAGAACCAAAGTGTTTTGCCGTTTTTTTTTTTAATTTCACCGAAATCCGCGCAACCTTGCTGCGGACATCGTTGCGGGACACAAAAATTGAAAATTTCAAAAAAAAAAACGAAAATCGACAATTTCGATTGAAATTCCAAAAGCTTTTCAGAAATCTAACCAAAAATCGCCCCCATTTTGAAGTTGGTTTGTTTTTTTGGCCACAAAAGACAAGCACTCACTGAACCGTGTATTGCATGATGACGGCGGCGCCGAACACGAAAAACACCGACGAGATGAGCGCGAAAAACGAGACGATATTCATTTCGGTGAACATGTTGGTGATCATGATGAACACCAACGCGATCGTCGCCATCAACACCATTTGTTGGTGTCGGGTGCCGCCCAAATGGTCGCCGACGAGATTCACCAAATTGTCCGAAATGAACAGAATCGCGACGCTGCACATGCCGAGCTGATAGAACAGAATTGTGATATTCACCGCGTACCTGAATTCTCTCGGCATTTTCTTTCAAAAAAAAAATCCATCTTTTTCCAATATTTCATTAAAAAATGACAAAAAACGATTAAAAATCGATTTTCCCTTGCCGAAATCTCAAATCTCTTGCCGAAATCCCGTTTTTTCCCGTAATTTTTTTTCCAGTGAGAAATTCTCGCAAAATGTTTTTTTTTTTTTCAAGTATTTCGTGAATTGTTTTAAAATTACAATTTTTAGATTTTTTTTTATTAAAATTCACGGTTCTTCAAAAATTTGCGACCAAAGTTCAGATTTTCGGCAAAATTTCAGAAAAAAAAAACTTTTAAAAATCGTTTTTTTGTTTTTTTGACACAATTTTCAGATTTCGAATAAAAATTGTATCAATAATGATTTCAAAAACCCATTTTTCAAAATTTTTACCAAAATCTCGGCCAATTTCACAAAAAAAAAATAGAGAAATTCAAAATTTTGAATTTCCAAGTCCAAAAGAAAAATAATTTCTTAGGATCATTCAAAAAATCGTTAATTCCTTTTAGCAATCAGCTTAAAATTCAAATTTTCACCAAAAAATCACATTTCTCCGCCAAAATGTTGACAAAATTCAACATTTTTCACCAAAATTTTCAAATGGTCAACTTTTCCATAAAAAACCCATCTTTTTTCGCTCAATTTTACAACCAACAAAATTGATGAGCGGGAAATTCAAAAATTTTCCGGCAATCCTCAATTTGGCCAAAAAAAAATGGAATAAAAATGAAGAAAAAAAAAAGACAAAAATCTTCTCTTACATGACACCTTTGCTATTATTCCTCAAAAATCGAATGTCGCTGTAATCGCACACCTTCTTCGCGAAATGCCCATAGTCGAGTGCGCCGCGATCGGACCTACAAATTGTGTGCGAATCGGATATCGACGCCGACCATCGCATGACACCCACTTTTTCGCCAAATGCTGACTGGCTCGCACCAACACGTGATTGCCATACCAATTGAGGCCGGCAATCGCGAACGACATGAAAAACGAGACCTGCAATCACATTCGAATCGCGTCCGCAAAATGTCGTCGCGGTGTACGAGCATACCCAAAGGCCACCCAGCTTCCACGCGTACGGTAGTGAGAAGCAGCCGGCGTTGAACATCGACTTCGACAGTGTTAGAACGGCACGAGTCGGACTGCAACATTTTTTTTTGATTGTTAATTGGCCAATTAGGCTAATTGGCTAACCAAATCGCAAAAAAGGAATTGTTTTTAATTACCCATAATTAGTTGAAATTTTTCAGGCCCAAGGCAATTTTCGCAAAAAAAAATTAAGCGCAATAAACATTCTTTTAAATGAGCTAATTGCCCCATAATTAGCCTTAAAATGTTCAATTTTCAAAAAAAAAAGCCAGAAAAATCTAGAAACTTTTTTTGAAAAATATGTTAATTACCCTTTAATTAATCCCAAAATCGGGTCCTTTCGACAGAATATTTCATCATAATTCGTATCGATCTCAATTTTTCAAAAAATTCACAAAGGAAAACAAATTTGATTGGAAAAATCGCCTAAATTCTGTCATTGAGTTTCAAATTCAAAAAGAAAACTAGGCAAAATCTCAAATTTCCAAAATTTCCAATGAAAAATGTTTTTAAAAAAATCCGAAAGCTAATTAAATTTAGTCTCAAATAATTGATTTTTTCTCAATTTTTCATTCTCACTGTCGAAAAATAATCCATTCCCAACCTTATCACATCGCCGCTTCTCTGCGCCGTCTGCACCAACGCCCTTCCATCATTCATCGCCTCCGGATCACCGTCAACAGTTTGGCTTCGTTCCCTGGGTTCCTCGTCCATCTAAAACAAAATCAATCGAATCGCATCGAAATGCACAAAACCATTGAAATATTGAGGAATTTCGAAAATCCAATCAAAAAATCGAATAACAACTCGCAAAAAATTCATTTTTATTCATTCAAGCGGTCAAGAAAAACGCGTTTTCCACTACAAAATGTCGATTTGACGTTGATGTCGTCGTCGATGAGCACAAAATCCGCCAATCTGCCCACACCCAAAACGCCCTTCTCGTTGTCAATTCCAAGGAGGCGAGCTGAACAAAAAATCGGCAATTTCACATACAAAATATCATAAATGGCCAATCATTTTTCGATTTCAAAGAAGAAAATTGGTCAAAATTTCATCTCAAAATTGTTTAATTGTCCTCCTAATTAATGGTAATTATGTTACAATTTTCATACATAATTATTGCAAAAATCGATACGTATTTTTTCAATCTCATCAAAATTTTCAAATTCTCAGATAATTCGAATTTTTCGCTTTTCTAATTACGCTTAATTAGTCCGAAAAGTTTTTTTTTCAACATCGAAAATTCTTCTCAATAACCTTCTTAAGTCTGGTAATTATCAATAACACATAACCTAATTATCGCAATGAGCAATTAAATCTTAAAATTGGCTTTTCCGCTGCACAATTCAGAGGGTTAATCGAGAATTCCGTCACTTTCGTCAAAAAATTTACCAATTCTCAGATAATTAGAGGCTAATTATCATTACTTAGTCTAAAACATTTCCAAAATCTGAAAAAAAAATCTTGCAAATTTGATTAATTGCTCTAATTTGGACTAATTATTGGTGGCAATCAACTCTCTCACCTGGTTTCTCCGTCGCACAAATAAGGGCATCTTTGATCGAGCATCCCGTCGCCTTGATCAAGTGTCGAATGCAATACGGCATACTAGCAACGCTAAAAATATAAACATAATTGCGTGCGCCTAATTTAAGACTAATTAACCTGCCAGCCGTCGTGTTGGTGCCGTCGAGTATCGCGTGAAGACCATTGACAATGATCGTCTGCTCGCCGAGCCGATGAACGCCGTCGTGCATTCCCAATGCGGCGATCGCGTCCGTCACGAGTATCATCCCTTCCGGATTCGTTCTGAATGACACCAATTTGGTGTGTGTGTGTGGGTGACAATTTTTGAAAAAGCGAAAAAAAAACAATTAGCCGCGAAATTGCCGAAAATCGATTAAATCGAAGATTTCGATGATTTCAAATACAGTACCGTGCAGTAAGATATACAATTTCACTTTTTTAATCATAACTTTCTGAAAAGTTGACCAATCGATCTGAAATTTTTGGACAAAACAGATAGTGTGTTCCCAAACATAATTTATTCATTTTAGGGTACTATAGACGCAATTTTTGTGTTTTGGACCTTTTTTTGCGTATTTTCAAAAATGCGATTTTTTTTAATTTTTAAGTTTTTTCGATTTTTTTAGATTTTCAATGTTAACATCAGTTTTTTTTATTTGTTTTAGCAGAAGACGATCAAAATGATCAAAAAACATTCTATCAGAGGTTTTAAAGCAATCAAGGATGATCGAGCACTAGTTCTTTTCATCCAATGTCTATCACACCAGTTGAACTCATCAACTTGGACCATTCGTGTATGTTTGAAACCTCGATCGGATTCCAAACCACTTGGAAATCCTTCCAAAACATCCCCGGCAATCAATCGAACAATTGTAAGAATCAGCAAGAGCAACCCACGTCTATCCGCTTCCGAGATTAATCGGCAACTGAGTCAGTTCTATGATGTCAACGTAGATTTTTCCGAAAAACAATGACTTTTTCTTCACCAAAAGTCACATACAGATCAGCGTTGATACTGTCAAGCGTCGTCTACGTGGTTCTGGATTATTTGGACGTCGGTCTGTCAAAAAATCTCTCCTTTCGGAGAAGAAACGCCGCGCCCGTTTGATGTGGGATAAGGAGCTTTTGAATTGGAGGTTTCGACAATAGTCAAAGGTCGTATCGAGTGATGAATCGAAGTATATCTTGCTCGGAACGGATGGTATTACCTTTGTGAGGTGTTCGGACGGCAAAAGATTCGATCCAAAGCATCAATTACCAACAGTGAAACATGGAAGAGGAAGCGTGATAGTTTGGGGATGTTTTACTGCTTCTGGAGCTGGCCTACTTCATCGAATCGAAGGAAATATGGATCGATTTGAGTATAAAGACATTCTCGAGAACCATATGCTTCCGTTTGCAAAGTCTTTGCTCGGTGTGGATACTTATTTCAGCAGAATAATGATCCTAAACTTTTCTCTCGCTACATCAAAGAGTGGTTCTAGCAGCGTCGGGTGGCCGTCATGGTCTGACCAAGCCACTCACCTGTCTTGAACCCCATTGAACATTTGCAGGATGATCTTGGTAGACGTCTTGGTGGTCAAACTGTACAAAATGTGTCGAAATGATCGAGCAGCTGAGAAGATCATGGATGGATATTCCAATTTCAACACTCCCGAAGTTGACGAGGCCATGGGTCTCCGATATCAAACTGTGATCGATGCAAATGACATGTCAACAAGATATTGAGTTGTTTTAAGCATCCTGACAGATAATTGTGGTTTTCCATTTCATTTCAAGTCGTACCGGTATCAAGATTATTAAAGTCGGTTTTTCGCTATTATGGATTTTCTGATTTTTTGCCAATAAAATTTTTCCCAATGTGTTTTACACCTTCTAATTTTGTTACATAATCACTCTATCGATGCTTAAAGTTGTCCAAAAATTTCAGATCGATTGGTCAACTTTTCAGAAAGTTATGATAAAAAAAGTGAAATTGTATATCTTACTGCACGGTACTGTAACTTTTTTTCCCAAACCTATACGCAATCCTCAACGCCGAATCATGCGTATGAATGCCATCGGAGATGATTCCATAATGGATTTTGCTCTCAATCTTCTCCGACGTCAACAATCCAATTAATCCCGGGTTTCGATGGTGATACTGAAAACCCAAATCATCGGTGTCATGCAAATTTTGATCAAACCGATTGCATCGCGTTGAACAAATGCGTGATCATTCGCGCTCCGTTGTTCACCGCCGTTTCGCCGTGCTCGAGATTCGACGATGAGTGTCCGACGGAAACGACGACGCCGCGCTCGGCGAGCGTTTTGATCGCCTCGCGCGCGCCCTCCAATTCCGGCGCCAGCGTCACAATCGCCACATTTTTTGTGCATCCATAGGTCTGCAATTCAATGTTTGAATTTGTGATCCCCCCCTCAAACGCTCCCAAAAAATTGCTATCAATTTCCAATTTTTTGCCGATTTTTTCGATTTCCTATCTAGTCTCTATGACATTTTTTGTGATTTCTGAGCTTACCCTTCTTCAAATCGATTTTTGTTCCACTTTCCTTTATAGTCGGCGTCCGGCTGACTGCTGTATGCGGGTAGATTTACGGAGACGCGTCTTTCGAAATGGTCTCGCAAGGACTAACAGATTATTTCAAATTTTATGGAGCAGTTCGATAATTTTTTTTTAATCGAATGACCCTGGAAATTCGAGGAAATGCAAATCTCATCGCATTGCGAGACCTTTTCAAGGCGCATGCGCGTAAATCTACACAGTCGCCGGACGCCGACTATATTCAAGAGATCCGGCATTTTTTAAATTCAAACATAATCAAAAAAAGTTGAGATTTCTTCGATTCCCAAAAAAAATTGCATTTCGTTTGCACTTGCCTAATATGCCCAAAAACCGAGTGTTCCGGCGATGCGCCGGTTGAGCAAACAACCGGCAAATATCGACAGATTTCGAAATTTGCAATGATTTTTGGGAAAGAAAAATCAATGGAGACTATAAAAATCCCAATTTTTTGAGAGGGGGGTGAGCTGGTTCTGGCCATTTTCCAAGCATTTAAAAATAATATTATCTCACAAAAAAATTCCAAAAATCTATTGGCGAAGGGATGCCATTTAAATGGGAATTGGCGATTTTTCTCAAAAAAGACAATGGCTCATATTATGCTCAAAAAAATCTCCAATCGACTCGCATTATTTTAAATCGAAAAATTTTCGGCAAATCACTTTAAATTTAATTTACACAGACTGATTTTTTCAACAAAAATTGCTGAAAATAATTTTTTTAAATTTATTGAAATTCAAGACTGCATTTTCAAATTTCTCATTTGCGATGACAAAAAAACAAAAATTATATACATTTTAATCCTTTGAAAACCTCACTTTCAATTCAAAAATGCAGTTTTTAAAAAACAAAAATCCAACAATAATGACAAACCTCTTGAATAACCTTGACCGGTTGGCTTCCAAATGAGGACACAACCAAATGCGGCGGATGACATCCGCGTTTCTCCTTCGAGATGAATGGTCCCTCTAAATGCGCTCCTAAATCACCAACATATGCGGTTTTTTTTGTTTAAAGGCGCATACCGAGAATGCCAGCGCCGACGTCCGATGCATTTGTCGGTTTGAGCAATGGGAGAATCTGAAAGACACATCAGCTGAGGTGGGATGAGGGAAACGAAGGGAAACGACAAAGATCAAACGACTATTTGAACTGGGACTGAACGAATAGGCGGGCGGGCGCGGCGGCGCGAAAAAAAAAGTGAACCAATGAGCGAGAGTGTGTGTGGCATTTTGAGAGACGGCAGAGAAACACGCGAACGCACCCGCTGGTCAGTTTTTGTTTATTTTTTTCCGTTCTTCAAATATTTTTATTGATTTTTTTGGAATAAAAGACGAAAATGGAATTAATTCTGGATTTTTGACCTTCAATTTCTAATAAAATACTTTTTTTTTGAGAATTTCACCAAAATTGTCAATTTTTGGCAAAAATACATTTTTTTATACTTCTGAGCCATTTTTTTTAGAAATTTATTATAAATTTATTTTTATATGGCAAAAAGATTACAATCAGATTAAATTTTCATCGAAATTTATTTTCGTTCTTCGACTTTTCATTAAAAAATCGATAATCGAATCAGATATTCATAGATTTTTTCAATTTTCGAAAAAAAAATAAACCAAAAAAAGGGGGAGAATTAAAAATCAAAATTTCCCTAATAATTTCTCTCTCAAAAAATCAGAAATAAATGAAAATTTTTAGGCCAAATAATTGAAAATTATCAGCAAATGGGTGTTATCAAAAGATATTGGCAAACCTTGTGATAAATGCTCGGCGCGCTTGTAATCACGGTTGGCGCGAAACTCGTCACACCATGCGCCAATAGGTTTTTCGCCACGTGCGCCAAATTTTGCGAATATTCCACGTCATTCGAGTTGTACGTTGAGAAATCGACGCCGAAACCGCCTAGAAATGTGAGAAATTGGGTGAAAATGGCAAACAATGGAAATAACCATTCAATTGAACATCAATAAAGCCTGGAGATAGTATTAGACCGCAGCAATCGATCTGGAAATTATAGATGAACACTGGAAACTGGTTTTTTTCTCTTTAGATAGAGAGTGGGGGCTGGGTGTTCGATTTCGTAATTTAGGAAAATGACTCACGATTTTCAACTAAATTTCTACTTAATTTGAAACGTTTCGTTTTTTAAAAGCTTTCCAGGAAAAAAGTATGGGAAATTTTTAGCAATGACACTTTTCTGACAAAAAAAAATTAAAATTAAATTTTCAATTAAAAAGTCCAATTTTTCTCTAGTTACTATTAAAACCTACTTGAACGTCCGCATGTTTCTTCTCACCGAAGAAAATATCCTCCTCAGACAGGATTTTACCATCACGAATCTAAAATGAATGAAAAAAAAATTTTATTTAAAAAATTATTTAAAAAAAACAAATTACAGTAACATTTTCGCTAAAAGACAATTATTTAAAATCAGCGTGTTCCTTTAAGCACATTACTGTACAATTATTTTTTTTTGAAAAAAAAAAAACAAAAATTACCCATAAATGATTGAATTTTAGCGAATCATTTTGAAGAATTCGACAATTGAAAAGCTGCACGAGTTTGCCATCAATATCAATCTCATCAAGAGCCGGTGAATCATAGCGAATATTGAGCATGTTCGAAGCAGGAAAAAAAAGTGTGCGATCGTATGAGCCGACCACGTCCGTTTCGCGTATCTTATCAATAAACCGAGCCCCAATAACACTTCATGATAATATAAAATATTTGGGGCAATTAATGTTTATTAATTGTAATAATAAACAATAATTATTGAGTAGCACGTGAAGATCGATATCGATGATCGTCGAAAAGCGCATTCGCCATTTTGTGAGCATTTAGTCAAAAATGTCCGACGAAGAGGAGGATGATCTAAATTTCAAACCGGTGAGCGTTCGAAAATGCGAGATTCTTCTTGATGTGTTCTTCTTAGGGAGCAGAGATCTCAAGCAGCAAAACGACATATACGGTTAGCAAATTACTCGGCGAAGGAGGTTTTGGAGCAGTCTATCGGTTTATTTTTTAATTTTGCTCTTTCCCTTATTTGGAAATTGTTCGAAATTATAGGGTAAAAGATAACAAGACGGGAATGCACTATGCGATGAAGGTCGAAAGGAAAATGGAGAAGCGAAAGCATTCGAAGCTTAAAATGGAAATTGCGATTCTCAAACTCGTCTCCAACGGCCGCCATTTCACATCGATTGTTGATCGCGGCAAAAAGGACAAAGAGGGCTATTTCTTTTTGGTGATGGAGCTCGTCGGCAAGAGTTTGGCCGATTTGAAGCTTGAGCGCGATAACAAAGTGTTCTCGTACAATACGGGCCTCGGCGTTTCGAAGCAATGCTTGGAAGCTTGCGAGGATCTCCACAAGCATGGATTCATTCATCGCGATTTGAAGCCGCAAAATTATGCGTGTGGTCTTGAGACGAAAAAACATTTGGTAGCGAATCAAATATATTGTCGGAGTCAAACGACTTGGCGAAATTAAAAAAAAATAATAATTGGCTATGTGCATTGAATTATAGTGTACGCGCATTTAATACTCAGTCAACGATTAATCTAAATCTACACTGATTTCGCGAATTTGAAGGCTCCACCTCCCTTCAGACGTTTGACGTCGACAATATTTTTAAAAAAATTGTTGTGAAGTGTGCACTTTGATGCCTCGGTGTACCACGTACTTTGTCAAATACCGTACCACTCCACTAAAAATTAAATTTCTTTTCGACTTTTTTCTTATTTTGCTAATTGTATTTTATATTTTTTCGGTTTTTGTTGTTATGAATCATTAGGCAAATTTAAACGAGTGAATTTATAAAGTAGTCTGAAGCAAGCCGTTTTGCGGAAAAATCAAAATTGTTGTTTTTTTTTGCCCCAATTAATTATCCGAGAACGAGAAAATCGTGCATTTTTATTCAGATCTACATTCTCGATTTCGGCATTGCGAGGAAGTTTCTAAACGAGAAAAATGAGTTGAAGACACCGCGCGAGAGCGTCGGCTTCAAAGGCACCATCCGATTCGCGCCGCTCGCGTGTCATCGCGGCATCGAGTTGGGTCCCAAAGATGATTGCGAGAGCTGGTTCTACTTGCTATTAGATTTAATAGTCGCTCCTGGTTTGTCGAAATATTAAAAGGCAACAAGAGATTGTCGAGTTAAGGGCTTCCATGGCGAAAAATCAGCGACAAGAACGAAGTGATGAAATGCAAAGAAGAATGCCGAAAGGAAAAGAAGGACCTACTCTTCATTGGACTCAAGCAGACATCGGAGCTGAATCGCATCCTCGAATACATCGACAAACTCAAGTATCACGATCACGTCGATTATGAGTTCATTTACAAAACGCTTGATGAGGCATGCACGCAGGCCGGCGGAAAAATCGACGCGCCGTATGATTGGGAATACGACGCTCCGAATAACTAACAAAGATGGCCTTAATAAATTTATTGGAAAAAAGAATGAAAGAAAAATTATTTAATATGACGGGCAGCTCGGTCATAAGAAGCATCAACCGCCTAAAAGTTGGCCAATTGGCAGGTAATTTAGTGGGGTAATTAACCTTGGAAACTTCTCGAATTGTCGTCAATGATCGTTTAAACGGTTTATCCGTGCTCGCTTTGGGATGAATGATAACCGTTTCGACATGCTGATCAATGCATCCCGACAGCTTCTTGTCCAAAATCATTCTCGCCACCGCCTTCTCCACAATATGCACAGGCATGCCGATGACGCGGGCAATGTAAGGAAGGCCAATTTCCGAATAGGGCTCGATGACTCGCGAGATCTCCTTCTCAACCATTCGCTTTTCCAAATTGTGCGAGTGCACCGCGACGACTTTGTCCTCAACAAGCTCGCTCTTGTAGTTTCGCAACGCCTCTTGAAACGATTTCAGGCAGCGGATGCGAAACGCGTCGGACATTGCGCGAATCGCGTCGATCTCTCGTCCCTTCATCGACGCCATCTCTTTGGTGGCAAGAAGCGCCGGAATCTGATCGCTTTCATTGAGCATTATCTTCAAATTTAGTCTTGAAATGAGTTTTAACACAACTATCGTATACCTTTGCTAGAATCATGTATTTCACAGCGCGAATCGCATTCGCCTTGTCATTGACGCCATTGTAGCCTTCAAACGCCTCATAGAAATATGAAAATGAGGTTTTGAAGTCTTTTTCATCGGCGGAATACAGAATTCCGGATTGGAGGTCGATGGAAGCCTTCAATATATATATTTTTAATGATATATAAATTTAATAGTTTTTAATTACCTGAAGACTTGGCGTCACAAAAGCGGCGTTTGCGTTGGTCTTGGCTGTCACCAATGCGCACTTGGCCTTGGTGAAATTATTCAAATAAAACGCGCTTTTCGATTCTTCTAGAGAAAGCTCGATGAGCAGCTCGCGATCCTCCATCTTCTTGAGCTCAATTCCGAGCTCATGAGCTGAAAATTTGAATTTGAAATAATTTTGATGAAAAATCGTGAGCACCTAGTTTCAATGCTTCTGTGTATTCGCGAACATCGTTGTAAAGGCGAGCTAGACGAGCCTTGAGGTTTCTTCGAAGAAATTCGCGATGATTCTCCGTCGCCCAGTCAATGCAGTGTTTCAGAAGAGCTATCTTAATTGAGTACCATTTTTTGAAATATTGAAATTTAGTACTTTTTCATCTTTGGCCTGCTCAATAGACAATGAGCATTCAACGAGTTCTCGAATCAATTTACTAGCTCTCGCCTTTCCGACAACATCGTAGAACGGTCTTATAGCGATCAAAAGATTTTGAATTCCTAAAAACCTTAAATTTTAGGCATCATCTAAAAAATTACCTGCGGCGTCTTTTTCAGCGGCTAATTGCTTGGCAAATGTGATAATTTGATATTCGCACGATTTTACATCATCCTCACTCGACTTTTCATTTTGAAGTGATACTAAAAAATAAAAAAGAAAAGTGCTGAAAAAAAGTAAAAAATAAAAATTACAGTAGTGCTGCTCCGTATGAGACCCCAATGGTTAAAGCGACGCGCGCCTTTAACGTATTACGGTAATATTTCAAATTTCTCCGAAAAAAAGTCATTTTTTCGCGCCTTTATTGATTTTTGCACGTTTTCAATTTGACCAAAACTTCATCATTCAAACAGTCGCACATTTTATTGAATTTTCAATATCATTTTCAACTAAAACTTTTCCAAAATATTCAAATAATCATTGTGCTCTCATTTCTATCAATTTCAATTAATTTTGTTATATACCTTGATGTTGAACAGCTTTCAAGGATAGTGCCGTAGCCGACATTTTGTCGAATAAAATTAATATGAAAATGGGCTCTCGAAACGCCGTTGATTCGCCACGTGGATCACGGGCTGGGTCACGTGAAAATGATTTAATTAATTTTTCTGTTTGATTTCAGCGTATGGACGCAGGCAATGAAGGGCAAACCGTTAAAAAGTACAACGCGGCGAAAATCCAATGGAAGCTCGTTGAGGAGCGAAAAAAGCAATTTTTCGATGGCGACACCGGCTTCGATCTACCCGGCGACGACTACGACGACAAACCGTTTCGATATGTCACACTGCCGAAACTATTCACGCGCGCCTCCAATACAGAGCTATTCAATTGGAAATGGAGCCCGTGCGGTCGATATGGTGCCGATATGCCGGTGAGCAAAAAAAATAAGGCCAACAATCACAATCAACTGAATTTCAGGGCGGTCGCGATCAGGTGAAAATCGACACCGTCGATAAAATCGCCGTGTTCGACATTCATATGCTCTCATGGAGCCTCTACGACGTCCGCAACTATCAATTCAGCGTATGATGATTTCTCGTTTAAAGGCGCAAAACCAAAAAATGAAACATCATTCTAGATACCGCGCGTCGCTTTCATGTATTGGATTTCGAAGACGATGCTGGTTTGCGTGTCGTTGGAGCTCACCGAGGAGATTCGCGACGATTCCGCCGACGTGCCGTTCGTCTTCCGACAAACGATGTTCAGCGTTGATCACGACATGGAAGAGATGATACCACTGCAATCCGTGTATGACTTTTTCCCAATAATCTTAATACCTCCACTTATACATATTTGGTATTATATAATCTAGGTTTTACTTCACGGATCGCTACATCTCGATTCCCACGTGGTATCACATATTTCATGATCGCGTCGGGGAGCCTTTCATCGATCATAATCAAGGTGGGTGGTGTCTGGGTCTCTGATGTTGTTTCGCTGTCTCTCGGTGTGTGGGGTTTCTTCTACAACCTTCGACGTCGTCGCCGACGTGCCCGGTTAGCTCAGTCGGTAGAGCACCAGACTCTTAATCTGGCTGTCGCGGGTTCGAGCCCCGCATCGGGCTGATGCGTTTTTTTTTCTTTTTTTCCCACATTTCTAATTTCAGACAAGTGGCTCGTCTTCTCGAACACTGTCGATTCGTTGATTTTGATCCCATACGTGCCTGGAAATGACATCAAATACGTTTCATTTGACATGAACGATATTATGAGTAGTATTCTTGGTAAGGAATTGCAAAATATACAATAAAGGGAGAATGAATTGCAGGCGAAAATTGTGAAGTCGACTCATTCCCATCATCCCATTTTGTGCCATACGTTCACGATCAATTTATACATTTTTTCATTCGCATCGATAAAGAAACGTTCCGCAAGTTACATAATAATGGGTATCTGGCTAGACGAAGGCCCGAACTTGATGGGATCTACCAGATTCAGGTGGATCTGCGGCGAGTGCTCAACACTGATGATGTACACGAGTTTTTAAGAACTAACAATCGTATTAATAAAGGTAGAAGATTTAATTTTGGGAATTCATGTTCTCGTTTTTTGTCGCCAAAAGAAAATCGCCGATTTTACAGAGGACGTGATTTTCCATCGAAAAGTGATCGACGAGATCGAGGATCATCGCGTCGTTTACACGCAAAACGGCCGACGCTTGATTCTCGCCAACATTGTGCCGAATCTGACGATGACCGCTTCGCAGAAGCGAATGAAGGCCTCTGATGTAAGATGTTTGAAGATTCGCATCAAACAAATGACATCTCTTTTTTTTTGCCAGTGGGTCTTTTTGAAAGAGTTCATCTCGTGGAAATATCGCGAATCGGTCGAAAACGTCTATTTTATAAGCATTGATTTGCACACCGGAGAGCTTCGACGATTTTATTGCCTGCTGCTCGAGTTTGTCGAAATTTTTCGCAACTAATTGGCTTCTGTTGAATCATTTCAGATCTGACGTGATTTCGCCGCATCCGTCAGGCGCTGTGTTGATGTTCAGATATCGAGAAGACTATTGTGAGTTTGAAGATTTGTTTTAAAATTGCAAAAATCAAATTGTCCTTTTCGTTTCGCGAAAATTATTCTAATTGTAGATTTGCGAGAAAAATTATCCCAATTAAAAAAAATTATTTTACGTTTTCACCAAAATTTCTTGACTTTATGCTTTTATTTTGAATTGGATTTGTTTTTTTTTGTGAAAAAAAAATTAAAAAATTTCAGTTTTTTGAAGGAATCTGAAAACTATTATTTTAATGAAGCAATTTCGCTATGGGCTAAATGAATGAGCAACGCGATTCCGACGCATACCCTCAATTTCGGATCTCGACGCGCAGATTATCTTTTTTGTTGGAAAAAAAATTAAAATTTCAAGAAATTTGTACGAATAAAAATGGTGTTTAAAAGAAAAATACTGTAGGCTTTCTGGCCGCGGCCGAGATATTTGGATTTTTTTTCTGCAATCTGCATTGCGATTTTTTTTTAGTTAATTCCCCCCCCCTTCCCTTATAAAGGCTAATTCGAATAATTGCAATTTTGTCGAGAAAATTTGTCAAAAATTGGTCGCTTCTCGCAAAATGCTCACCAAATTTCGCTCAACACCTCCGAACAATTGGCCGTCGTGATTGCAGCGATGCGAATCGGCGAGATGCCGTGCTTTTCGCCACTACCACTAACAATTCTGTGCCGGCACGTGCTGAATGACGTCATCGACATAGATCCGAAATTCATTCAGGACAAATTGGCCGAGAAAGAGTTGAGTTTGAATTTTTTTGCGCCGCTACTTACAGTATTCTCGATTACAGTATTCACCTGAAACTCGTGCTCGGCGTGCCGAACAAACGTCGCCGACGAACACTGTGATCTACTAACTAATAATAAAGCCGTCGACCCGTCCAACGGGTACTCCCCCAACCCAATCAAAGAAAAAAAATACACACACACACAAATTGATTTATGCAGACTTCTACGCGGATCTCGTAATTAATAATATATTGTAATAAGTTGAAATATTTGGCTATTAAACGAATTATTATTGTCGTCTAATTTGATTATTTTGTGAGCCTTTTGAGCGAAACACAGAGAATTCAAGAGAACTAATAAACCGCAGTTTTTTGGTGTTCGACTTCATTAAAACAAACCGTAGATATACACAAGAAGTGGAAGAATTGAATAAATTAGATCACCCATAGGTTTAAAAATATTCGTTTTGATTTGTTCTTTTTTTCTTATTAACATGGGCACTGGTAGCCTTGAGACTCGACGGCGATTTTTGGCGGTCCCGTGATCACAATATTCTCTGGAAATTGTGAGTTTTCGAGATTTTCGACTCGCAATTTTGCGCTTACGCGTCTCGGCCGCCTCTTCTTTGACCATTCCCGGAAGAGCGGTGGCGATTTTGCGGAAAAGCTGCAAGGCAACACGATTTTTTGTTGTGATTTTGGCATTAATCGAGGAACGAAATTTGAATTTTCCGCCGAAAATTGTAAACGCGGAGTGTCGAAATCAATTATAGTCGATTGCTGAAGAAAAAACGCGGCTAACACGAGATTAAATCCCAAAAAAAATACTGTGCGCCTTTAATTACCGTATCCAACGTGAACCATTACTCAAATTGTGTTAAAAATTGCCAATCTTTTCATATTTTCTAAAACAAAATAAAGTTGAAGAAAATTTAAAGGCGCATAACGCGCTTGGGTCTCACTTATTTGTTCTTCTCAAAAACTTACTTCCATTTTCAATTAATTTTATTCACTTTTCTCATTAATGAAAAAAAAAACCTGTTTGACATTGTAGCCAGCTTTTGCCGATGTCTCGATGAACATCACATTGAGATCGCGAGCTTTTTGCTCGCCGTCTTCAGTGGTGACCTGCCTGAAAACAGTGATCGTGTCGGGACCTCAAAACGTTCATTTCAAAAACCAAATTTTGCGATTTCTGTTAACGGCGTCAAACGACTGAATAAAATTATTGGAAAATAATTATATGTATATATTTTGTCGGAGTCAAAATTTAAAAAAAATTATTGGCTGTGCGTCAATGTACAGCGAGAATGACGCAAGACGGCATACATTGCATTATAGTGTACGCGCATTTAATACTCAGTCAACAATTAATTTAAATCTACACTGATTTCGCGAATTTGAAGGTCCCGCCTCTATATATATATATATATATATATATATATATATATATATATATATATATATATCTGCCAAGAAATCTACATTGCATTCGAAAAAAGTAAGCGTGGCGTGACCTTGGTGAAAAACGCCAAAAAATGTCCATTTGAAGGCTGCAAATTCTCGCATTTCAAAAAATCTACCGTTTGTCGGCCAAATCCGTCTTGTTGCCAACGAGCACAATGATAACATCATTTCCGCGTTCAGTGCGAACATCATCCACCCATTTGGTGGTTTGGTGGAACGAATTGGCATCTGAAAATCGAATTTTCAGCCGAACCCTGGCCGAACTCCCTACTAGTAATGTCATAGACCACAATCGCGACGCTCGAGTCTCGAATATACGACGGGATGAGGGAGCGAAAACGCTCCTGGCCGGCAGTATCCCATAATTGTAAGCGAATCTGTCAACAATATTTTTTGCTAATATTTTAAGCAATTCTCAACTGTCCGATCCTCCAAATACATTGTTTTACTGAGGAAATCGATTCCGATCGTTGCTTGATAGGTGTTATCGAATGAATCATACATAAATCTCGTGATAATCGACGTTTTTCCAACTGAAATTCCGAATGAAAATAATTCGATTGTTTGTGAGCGCTCACCGCTTTGTTCTCCAAGAAAAACGAGCTTGAATTTCTTCATCGGACTCGCAAAATCGGACGTCATTCTAAACGCAATACTGCAAATTTTGTCGATAAGCGCAACATTTTATCAATTCTATTGTGAAATAATGTCGAAATATTGGACGAGGCAAATAAAAACTATAAAATATATGAAGAAAAAACGGCAAAAAAAAACGAGTGGCGAAAAAAATGGAAAACGCGTCTGCAATGACATCACTCGGTGTACCACACAGACAGTCATCTACAGTAACTCAAAATTTTTTTTAATGTGATTTTTGCCGCTTGAAAATGTGCAAATCGCGTGGAGCTTCAACTAAACAGAAAAAAGGAAGAATAATGGGACGTCGTACCACATTTCAAAAAAAGCGAACGAGGCGGCTAGCAGCGATGGAAAAAAAAAATAAATTTTTGAAGAAGAGACACCAGACGAAACGGGCGTATGTTTGCCGTCCCGTCCACACTGTGATAATCAAATGCACAAACTATACTATTTATCATACAAATATTAACACACACAATAACTGCGAAGATATGAATTATCCGCAGCATCCGGCGACTTTCGGGTCGAGACCCGATCGTTTCGTTATTGTGAGCTTCACAAATTCCTCGGCCGCGCACGGATGGATCGCAATCGTGTGTCGAACGTCGTCAAGTGTGATTCCTTTGCGGAACGCCACCGCAAATCCTGAAAAAAAAAATGTCAACAAAATTCACAAACCGCTATGAATATGCGCTACCCTGCATGACTTCGGCGGCATTCGGCCCAACAAAATGGAGGCCGAGCACCGTATTTGGAGCATTCCGCAAGCAAATGAGCTAAAATCGCGAATTTTTTGAAAATTTTTCATCAAAAGAAAAAAAAAGCACCTTTACATAGCAATCGGCGGCGTCGGGCTTCTGCGGCACCACAAACTCAAACGGCGTGAAATACGAATGGTACACCTTGAACAATTGCCACCGTAATCCATCATCAAGCTCCTTTAAATACCTCAATCTGATCCTCGCCGTGAAGTCGAATCGCGTCGTCTTCATTGAGTCCAACTGTGCTCAATTCAAGTGGTGTGAACACCTAAATAATAATAAATAAATAAAAAACAAAATCCGGCATGCGCCTTTAAAGACCTACCGTCGTGCCGACTTTCTCATATTGCACAATTTGTTTCGAGTTGGCGAACAGACGATTCGCCAAAAATTGGCCCGCTTGAATTGCGAGTGGCGTCAGTTCGGCGCGATTCTGAAATTGAAAAAAAAATAGCAAAACTCGCGAAATGTCTCGAATCTCGAACCTCGACAACATCGCCGATCGCATAAATTCCATCCGTCGACGTTCGATCAAACTCGTCCGCCAAAATTTTGCCGCTTTTCGCCGACAACGCGATTCCAGCCGCCTTATGATCCAAACTTGCCATATTTGGCTCTCGTCCCATCGCCCAGATTACGGTATCATAAGTTCCAATCGGGTTCGAGGCGGTAGCCAGCCGATCGGTCGACGTGAATTGCACCTAAAACACATTTGAAAAAATTATTTTTTTTTAAATAATGAACAAAAAAACAACCAATTTTTTGCCATTATCGATGTCAACTCGTTCAACTTCTTGTCGCCATCGAATTTTCACACCATGCCTTTCCAAGTTATTCACAATTTTGTTGACGCAATCCTCAAGGCAATTCAAATTCAAAATTCAAATTCTCAAAGAATAATGAAACCCGATCAAATCCTTTCAACGGTATCGAGCGAATCAGTAGTTCGACTTCCATTCCGAGTCCGGCGAGGAGTCCAGCGGTCTCAAGGGCAACATAGCCGGCTGAAAATTGTTTTTTAATGTCTCAAATTTTTGGCAAACTTTTTTTTGTCGCCCCCAAAATTTTTAAGCCAAATCGATTTTTGTTTTCAATTCCCCCCCCCCCTAAAATCAAAACCTCCAACAACCAGCGTTTTTCCAGGCGGCTTCGGAAGCGAAAACAGATCGTCCGATGTGATGCCGTGCTCTTTTCCGTGACATTTCGGGTATTTTGGGCGTAGTCCCGTTGAAATCACAATATTTTTCGCTTTCAAAATATTCTAAAATCAATGTGTTGAATTGGCCAAACAAATCAATAAAGAATCAAACCTGCGTTTTTTTCGCATCACATCCGGTGAGTCGCAATGTGCTCGAATCGATGAATTGCGCAAACGCATTATAATATTTGACGCGTTTCTCGTTCAGTTGCACTCGATAAATCCAATTGTTCGCTTTGATGCGATCATTCACAATTTTCACCAACGCCGACCAGTCGTGTCGAGCGTTTCGAACGCCATTCCACCCATATTTGTCGGCATATTTGAGCTGAAAATGAAAAAAATTTTTTTTTGAGTTGCGTGTGACATTTGGGTGACGGTGTTTGCACACATCCCAAAATACAGTAACGCCAATTTTCATTCAAATGTCGACCGCACACCAACCTCATTGCCGACGATCGCCGCGTGATGCATTAGCTTTTTCGGAATACACCCAACGTTGGCGCACGTGCCACCAATGCCCCATGTGACGCCCGATGGTGTCGGCGCGACGGCGTCGATCAACGCCACGCTGGCGCCAAGTGTCGCCGCCGTTTTCGAGCACGACAAACCGCCCGAACCGCCGCCAATCACCACCAAATCGTATTCGGATGGCGACGACGAGAATTGGCGAACGCGTTGGTGTAGCAAAGCCCGTAATATCATGAATCTGTAAACCAATTTTTTTTCGAGCAAAAGCGAAACATCGAAAAATCATGAATTCTTTTTTGACACCTGTTTCCAACCGTCTGACTTCTCTCGCCCCTCTCTCTCTCTCTCTAAATTTTTATTTTCGAATCAAATTTGCTAAATTTAAAGGCGCATAGGGTGTTTCTAATCGAATTCAATCATTAAATACTTTCCTTTGTTTCAATTTAAAGGTACATTGAGTTCACTAAAGGCGCATTCCCACTTAGTTTTGAATGAACGCCACAAAAAAAAACATCAAACTCAAAAAAATTAAAGGCGCATGACTAGCAAAAAAGGTTCAAATTAAAGGCGCATGACTAGCAAAAAAAAGGTCTCATCGCGAATAGGCTGCTTCCCAGCCCAAAAATAAACAGCTACCGTAATTTTTCAATGCGGTCAGACGCGCTGCGGTTCACGTGCGTTCCCGCCTTTTTTTTTCGAAATTCTACATGTCCAAACTACAAGGTCTTACAGCGAGAATTTCTGATTTCCGTGTTTTCTTTGGTTAAACGCACTTAATGATTTCAAAAATATATATATAAATATGCAGAAAATCACACCAAGCACCAACAACACCAAAAAAAACCCAAACATGAGGGCTCTAGTTCAACATTTATTCTCTCGGCGATGCTGGAAAAAAAGTGTCCCAATTGTGCAAAAAAAGCCATTAATCATCATAATAAATAATAAATAAATATCAAAAAAGGGGAAAAATTAAATAAATACATTCTAAAGAGAGAGTAGAATAAAAATGCATTCGGCAATTATCCAAATAAGGAAGCAAGCAGAATATTTTTTTAAAAGGAATACTAATCAATTTCGAAAGAGCATCTCTATACACAAACACAATTTTTTTTTGTTTAGTTTTCTCGGCAACACAACGACGATGACTATGTTCAAATATGGGCAATGAAGATGAAGAAGAAAGCGAATGAATTCAAAAATGGAATAATTGAATTGAAAATGAGAAAACAAAAAAGAAGAAGAAGAAGAAGAAGACGACGATGAAAATAAATCAACTAAATTGTAATCAATTTGCGCATTTTCTTTTGGGACACGCTCGCGCCATTTAGAGAGCCTCCTCAGCTTCACGCTCTTCGGCGAGAATCTTCTCGAACGAGAATGGCGCGAATTCGTAGCCATGTCCTCCGTAGAATTTCGATTGGAATTCCACCCTGAAATTTGTTTTTAAATCAATGAAGGCATCGTCCCGAAAATACACACAAATTTGATAAAGCTAGAGTCCGCAAAATGGCGTCAAAGCATTTGCAGACGCTCGAATTATACTTCCTAATTATAATTTAAAGGAGCATCGTAACTTTTGGCCTATTAAGAACCATCCGACTTTTTAACAACCCTCCACACTTTTCATTTTCCGGTTTAATGTTTCACCTCGAATTTTTCAAATTTAATTTTTTTTTTCGTTGACAATATTTTCAATTTTCTGTCAACACTTTGACGCAATTCCACAGAATTTTCATTTTGACTCAAGCGAGTCGGCAAAAAACGACAAATCTCTTACCAATGAAGGCGAAGCGCGTGCAAAAACGCCGAGAGTCCCTCCATCAGAACCAAAATGAACACCGACAGTGTGCCGAACGCGAAGAACAACACGTAAGTGGCGACGGCGCCAAAGTAGCCATCGGCAGCGAACGATTGCCGAAACACCATACTCCAAAGGACATCCGAGAGTTCTGAAACACAGAAAAACAAACAATCATCATGATGAGATCGACACAATCAAGGGCTTACGCGCATGCGCCAACGAAAGCGCCCAAAGACGAAGGTAGGACGCCGTGTGCGAAACGCATCCCAACACGAATTCAATGGTGTGAATCGCCTGGTACACCATCGTGTCGCCCATATCCAACTGAAAAAAGAAAACCAAATTGGATGGAAATTGATCAGTATCGTACCGGTCCGTCGCCATGGCCATGCCCGCCAGCGGGCTTCGGCTGATGCTCGGGAGCATGAACCACTTCCGCGTCGTCTCCATTCATATCGGCACGGACGCTCTGAAAAAAATGAATCAGATGATGAAAAACAGTTATGGACCTATTCATGCAATAAAAAAACGTGTGTTAAAAAATTTACACATTTTTCCGACGCAGGTTTCCAAAAAATCCAGATTTAATGCAATTTTGGATATTTTTTTGTAAAAAAAATTTCATGAATAGGTCCAATGAGAAAACCCCTTCACCCAATCTACGGATAATCCGCTGACAAAAAAAACAATCCAACAACAACACCAACAAAAAAAATCAGCGTGCATTGGTTGCGCGTTACCTGTCGGTCATCGGTCAGCGTCTGATATCTCGCTTGCCGTTTCGCGCGCTTATACAAAAAGTACGGTTTGCCGAACAACATGATCGGCACTTGGAGGATGGCGACAATCACCAGAATCGTTTCGACGGTCGCCTTAATTTTACATCAGCCTCGCTCGATTGTCGTCGACAGGTGGTGCCGTCCGTCGACCGCTTCGTTCGATGAGATTCGTGCACAATAACAACAACAACAACAAAATAATCACGTTATCATGCCAATTATGAGTTACGGGTGCTTTTGCCAGTATAGTGCGCGTCAAGGGACCATCACCATCACCATACTAAGTGAACACGAGTTATTTAATGCGGGAAGAGATATCCGGAGAAAAAAAAATGCAGTACTAGTTTAAAGGATCATTCAAAGTTATTTCGCAAGGTTCTCATAGTGAAAATGCCAAAAAAAGACAAACAAACAAACAACGAATTTCGATGAATTTCCTCCAGACATAACACCCCACCAAGGTTGTCTCTATCACGCCAACAACACCAACACTCCTCACCAATTGGGCGTGGCCAGCGGCGCGGCGCTCTTTATCCGCTTTCCAAAGCATATACGGTTTGCCGAAGAGCATGACGGGCACACACGCGATCGCGATCAGCACAAATACGGTCTCGAAGAACGACTAAAATGTTTGGTTCGTTTTATTTATTATTATTAATTTGTTTCTCTCTCTCTCTCTCTTTCGCTCTCAATTTGTTGAAATTGTTGCCGCGAACGAATCGCATCGAGTCGCAGTCTGGCGCAACGCCATCGCCGCCGCCGCCGCCTACCTGTCCCGGATACCATGTGCTCAAATAGCATTGATCATAGGCGACGCCGTCGTCGTTCACGAATCCCGCGTTCCTCTCCTTCATCATGAACATGTTGATGAGGCCGATGAGAAGCGACGGAGCGCAATTCGAGCCCGGATAATGATAGCCAAACACGCTGTTCTCCTAAAAAACCATTTTTTTTTAAATAATAAAGAATAGTGTGACGCTCAATACGATCATCGTGACCTACCCCAGCCGTGAAGAACAACCACTTGACGAGAATCTGAAGGCAGAGATAGATGAATATCGATGATAGGAACACCATTTGCGGTATGAACATGTACTTGATATCCAAATCCGAGTTGAAGTATCTAAAAATCGAATTCAGAGGTGAGGGACGAAGCTAAAGACGATCATTACTTATGATTGTGGTACGACAGAATCACACCAAACGTCATTTGGGCGATTCCGAGAAGGACGGACATTTTCATTTTCATCGAGTTCAAAAACGAGAGCTTGTTGCCTTCGGCCAAATTCCAGACGGGATCGACGCCAATCGGGTAAGGCGATCCCTGAAAACCAAAAAGCGATGAAGGGAAAATTGATTCGATGATTTCGCGAAGGAAAAGCTTAATTCGATAAATTTCGGGACCATTTTTTTTTCTTGCAAATCGCGACATAGCTCATTCGATTCAGAATTTCAAATACAACAAAATGAGCCAATTTTTTCATTAATTGAAATTCTCGAAAAACCGTTCCAAAAAGAAAAATAGAGCTCATACATCAAACGCCTGCTCGGGAATGAGCATTCGGTCCTCTTCCAAATTGATAAATTTGCCATTCTCGGTTCTCAGCGCGATTTCCGACAACGGCACACTATTGACCCACGACGAGCCGAACAAATTGATGCTCTTCGAGAATATGTCGTTGTAGAGGAAGCCGGTGTAAATCGAGAAGGCGCCCATCAAAAATATCAAGTAGCGGCCGCCAAAAAAGGTCTGGAATATCTCGTCGCGAATTCGCGCCGCCTCCAATTGTTTCTCTTTGAGAATGAAAAACAACGCGGCAAGCAGCATTATCGCGCCGTGACCCATGTCGCCGAACATGACGGCGAACAAGAACGGAAACGAGATCATCGTGTACGGCGCCGGATTGATTTCGCGATACGTCGCGATTCCATAAGCGTCCACAATATTCTGGAAGCCCTTCGTGAATTTGTTCGTCTTGTTATACGTCGGCGGCGCTTCGTGGGTGTCCATTCGATTCAGAATCGACGGCACTTGACTTCCGCTCTCGTCCTACAAAACAAAAATCCAATAAAACCACCGGCGGCGATTCCCAAATCAATCGATTACCGTTCCGCGCTTCAACGCCATCTTGATCCTATCCAATTCCGCCACCGGACACCACACTTCGGCAATCAAACATTTTTGCGTGACGTCGATGTTGAACAAATTGAGCGTGTGATAGATCGACTTGATTTTGCGCACTTTCGTCAACCACATGCGCACATTCTTCGACGCCGCCACAAGAACACGATGGCGATGATCTTGCGTTTGACCCAAGACCGTCTTCAGATCCTCAATGCGCGTCATCACGCCGATCGACATCTCGCGACGCTCTTGCGGCGTGTCGGGACATGGGTAGAGTGTGGCGCGGAATCTGAATAAATAATGAATGGCAAGCGTACGGTAACACTAGTTTCAGACGTGCTCATACCCTTCGCAAATCTTCTTCACTTTCGTCTTCAGCTGCTCTCCTTGGAAGAAGATGATAAAAACGCATTTGTTAACGGGTTCGCCCTAAAAAATATTTTTTTCTTAATTTTAAAATGAATGCGTTTCTACAAAATTCAAATGTCGCGCCAAAATTTTTTTGGCTAGTTTTCGCCCGGCAATTCAAAAATTTCTAGGAACTCGTCTTTGGCGATGTGTTTAAAGAAATAGACAAAATTTCAAAAACTGGAAAAAGGGAAAAGAGGATTTTTTGTTTTCAATTTCTCTGCTTTGTCCCTTTAAAAAATTTTTCACGGCCTTCTAGTCCTACAAAACTGAAAAAATGGGTTGAAATTGGGCGTTTGCCGATAAAAAAATGAATTTCGAAAAAAGAACCTCCCCAGAGGAGAAATCATGATTTTCGGCTCAACAAAAAATTCCTACCGTAACCGTGTCGCTGAGAACATCATCGATCTCGCTGGTCCGCAAAAACACATTACCGCGACACGCGCGCCATAAAAGACGCTCAAACGCGGGTAGTCGTACGCGTTGAATCACACCGGCGACAAACCTAAACAATTCAATGTCGTCGGGGCGAACAAAAGTCGGTTGAATGCCAAATGATGCGCTCATGACAATCAATAGAACAAAATCAGATTGGTGTTGTGTCGGCGAGAAAAAAAGAAAGAGAAACGAACAATCACGGAGATACAACAAGGTGGGACCACAATAGTGTACATACCGGAGTTGAAGCTTCAATGGCGACATGGCGTCGCTGAGCCGCATCGCCACCTCGTCATCCTCGATGTCGATCATATCGCTGATGCCGGTGTTTTCGGCCGATTGCGCGATGAGATCCTCGTGCTGCAGAGACCACAAAATAATCACAACAACAACAACAACAACAACAAATAAACAATTTCAGTTTTCATTCGCATTTTTTTGTTTTGGTTCGTTTTTCGATCGGGTGTAGGAAGGGTGTGAAGGAGATGGTGAAATCATCATGCAACAACAACAACAACACCAATTGCAACGTCTCACCCAAAATTGGCGAACATCGCGCCGCCCGGCTGCATGTTCTGGGTTAGTTCCAGCGCTTCTTCGCCGTCAAGATTTGTCGTCGTCGTCGTCGCGCCCGCCGCCGCCGGCATCATATTCTCACCATGTCCCGCCTAAGTACCATTTGAGCTTATTTACACAGAGAGAGAGAGAGAGAGAAATGTGTTGTTGATGATGATTAAAGGGACATGAGGAACGAGTGAGGGGGAGGGGAGAAGAAGCCAGCCTAATAAGGAAGAGAAGAAAGAGCAAGCGATAGAGAGAGAGAGAAGTAGAGAAAAAGAATGTGATTCAAAGGGACACGAGAACGAGCACAAAAATTCCAAGAAGCCCCAAAACAACGGAAATCGGTTTTTTATTTTTCCAAAAAAATGGTTAAATCGTTTTTGTGAATGATCACTCGAAAAACTCTTTAAAAAAAATTTTTTTTCTAAGGTTTTTTAAAAAATTTTCTTTCAGAAATTCAAATTTCAAGCCAACTTTTTACGCATATAATCAACTTTGGCACCATTTCAGACAAAATACCATAAAGGATATGCATTTTTTTATATTCAAATAATATTTTTATAGAAAAATTATAATTCTGTTGCAGAAAAAAATTCTTTTTCTATTTTTCCTACAACCACAGCGAAATAGAGCATTATGTAGATAAACTTTTTCTTTGATTTTAGTTTAAAAGAAAAATCCAAAAAATAAGCTTCAATCTATTTTTTGGAATGTGCATTTCAGGCAAAAATTTTTCCGAGTAATATTTTTGGGAAAATTTCAGCTTTATGCAGTTTTCCATGAAAAAAAATGCACGCGCATCTAGAGATGCTAATCAATGACTGAAACCGGTTTTCCGTAGAACACGTCATTAAAGTTTCTTGGAATTCGGCCAACACTTACACAACACAACATTCGAATCAATATTGTCGTGAACGCATCGGTCAAAGAAAAAAAATTTAGAAGAGAGCCTACCCTAGACGAAGCATGCTCATCGTGAGCGTCGGATTCAGAAGCCCAAAGTCGCCAGCTTCATCTCCGACGTCGATAAGGGGCCGCTCATCGTCGGGAACAGTGCGTCGGCGACCGCCACCACCACCACCACCTTCAAGGATCCGCCAACGATCGTGATCGACCTAGGAGAAGTCGCACTACACAAAATCAAACAAACAAGCAAGCAACTATCGAATGAGAGAAAATGGAAGCAAAAAAGCGGTCAATGAGCGAAAAATAATAAAATTGTAAGAGAATGATCATCAAATAATGGAAATGCGAACGAAAAACTACAAAATGTGTCAGTGGCATGCTTCAAACGTAACTACCTCTTCGAAGAATGTCTGCGTTTTGCGGAGAATATGCTTGAGCTCGGTGAGCTCCGAAAAGTTCTTTTTAAGCGTTTCCTCGTTCTTGTTCACTTCGCGAAGCTCGTTTTCAAGTTTTTCGAATGTCGCCTAAAAATCGAGGCGTTTTTAAAGGTGGCTTGATGATGAGACGACCTCGAGATCGATCATTTCTCTCGGCAATGGCGCGTCGGGATTCTCGCCGGTGTCGAGCATCGGTATCGCGTCCTTCTTGATCTCGCGCTCCAGAAACCTTAGCTTACGCTCCATTTCGTCGCAACGACGCACTTCGTTCACGTATTTCCGTTGGAATGAGCTGACATCGGGGTTCAGCTGGAATTTTGAAGCTAATGCGATATAATTTAAGCTAGCTTACATCTCTGAATTGCACAAGTCCCAGCTCACCGAGCTCGGCGACACACTGATAAGCGGCGTCGGATTGGAGATAAAGCTGCGATAGACACATCTGCTCACTTCGATAAATGCCGGGTTGCGGTGGCTCCTCGCCGGGCGCCACATAATCACCCATTCTGTTTTTTGATGGTCTGAAAATATAGGCGAAAATTGATTTTGGCTAGTGCGCGAGAAGTAGAAGAACAAGGCCAAATACGGAGAGAAGAGCCAAAGACCATTTATTGAGCGAGCCGGAGCAACGAAAGCGAGGAATGGAGAAAGAGTGTGGAGCGCGAGGAGGTGGTGTTGCTCGGCGAGGCATGTGAATGCACCACAACAAAAAAGTGCTGAATAAACAAAAAATCCTCTATTTTTTTCCAATAATTGTATGAATCATTTGCCTTGCATTTTTCCCAATTTTGGGCATACAATTATTGTTTGGATTGATAGCGATTATTGATAAGGGTCATCGAAACGCCTTTTTTGGGAAAATTATGACGAAAGAAACCGGTTTTTTTTTGAGCGAACGAACGCTTGGGCAAGTTTTCATCTTTGAAAGATGGAGAATTGAGAAAGGCAACATTGATTGAGAATTCTTACCAAGTATTTTTTGGAGATAGATTTTTTTCGAGCAATATTTATTAGAAATGATATTGTTGACGGCACGTGGCCCTTCCAATCCAATTTTTATAATGATAAGAAGAAGAAAGAGAAGAAATTCGATATTTTCTTTTCGGGGAGCGCCGATGCCGCTGCCCGGATGACACATCGCCGAAAATCGAGAGAGAGAAGACACGAAAATCGCACACACAATTCGCCGCCTACCGTAGTGCGAGTGCAGCGTGCAGCGTCATCGTGCCAAGACCTCCCACGTGTTTGAATTTGGCTCTCAATATACCGGCAGTTCGAATTTTTTTCTTTCGCCCCGTTTTTTGTCAGCTTTCCAAATTTTCCCAATTTTTCTTTGATGACTGTATAAAATGAATTTTGCTTTATTCAAACGCACTACTAGCGAATTGTGATATTTAGGTGATATTCCTGATTAACCGAAAAAAAAAACATCTGCGGGTTGAATGTCGCCGACGAGTCGAAGTCCACGAAAACGATTATTGGAAAATGGTGTGAAATCGGTACGTTTTTCAATTTTTGCCATTGGTTTTTGTAAACGCATAACTATCGGCTGTTGTTCCAGGAGAAATCAATGTCGCCGTATCGATTGCGCGAGACGTCCAAACTGCCATCAAGATATCGAGACGACGAGAATTTCGAGGTGACCACGCCGAAATCCAAGAAAACGCCGAAAAAGTCGACAAATGAGTTGAGAAATTGAAGGGGAACTTGTGAAAATTTTGCAGATCGCCACATAAACGAAGTGTCGGAAAAGAGTCGCCCCCGGTAAATTACAACAATTATTTGGTCAAAGTACAGCCAATTTTCGTCAACGTTTTGAGTAATTGGCAATACATTTTTGAAGCATGAGAATGAGGATCAATCGACGTCGAGCTCCGGCTCTGAGCGCCTTCATCACGAGGAGAAGCGTTCCGTGGCTCGAAGAGCACTTCACGTTTCTCCGAAAAAAGAGGCGATGCCCTATTTGGTGCCATCGCAAAATATTATCGTTGGCGAAGAGGAGGAAGTCGGGCTTGAGAAGAATGTCGGCGGCGATATTACGGTGAGCGATGACCTTGAAATTTTTAGAAATAGTTGTGGGTAACCAATTTTGAAACATTTTTTTAATCAATTTGACGATTGGAAGCAGAGATGGAAGCATAAAATTAGGGGAAAATGTAATAAATGAAAAATTTAACATTTTTTAGTTAAAATTAGCACCTCAAACTAGCGAATGGATGGATATGCAGAGTTTTTATGGATTGTTCTCAACGGATACTGAAAGAGACGCGATTATAGACAAATTCTCCAGGTAGCGTTGACAAGTAGAAATGAATAAAATAATTTTATCTAATTTTCCGTTAGAAAATTCTGAAAATCATTGAAAGGAGATGTTGAGACGAAATTCGCTTTACGAACATTGAATTTCAAAAATTAGCTCATTTTTGAGAAATAAAATTAAGGAAAAGCTGGAATTTTTTATCGTGTTATGGTTTAAGAAAATCAAATTTCTCTATTTTTTTTTAGCTTTTCTATAATTTTGAAGCTTTTAAATTAAAACCGAAATATTTTTATTATCAAAAAACGAACTTATTGCTTAAATTCTGCGCATAGAAGCAATTTGAACGAAAGCAATGGTTTTTCTTTGGCAATTTTTTAAATGTTTAGCTTCTCGAACTAAAATCTTTATCTGATTCGAATTTGAGAAAAGTTTTCATAATTGTTCGACACTAAATTTATCGTCGTGAAAATTTCCAAAATAATTTCTCAAACCGCTGAATTTTCATTGATTTTTCGTTTTTCCTCAACATTAACTTGATTTTTTGCGCAATTTAAAGATTGACTGTTCAGATATAAAACGGAGCACTCACTCGGCGAAATAATGCGAATCAATTTGAAAAAAATGCACAATATGTTGCGATATCGCAAAACGCGTCAATGGATTCATTGCGAGTTCTTCTATTCGGGTGTCGACGAGCAAATATTTCTCGGTGAAAACGAGTTTGTCAATATTCTAAAAGACATGTTCCCAAATCTGAAAACCTATCTTCTCAATAAAACCGAATGGCGGACGATTCGGCGATTAATGGGTAGGCTAGCTTTTTCTTTTTAGAAAAAAAGTTTGAAATTCGTATAAGGGGAATTTTAGGCAAACCGCGTCGATGCTCCGACACGTTTTTCGAGGAAGAACGACAGTATTTGGAGATGAAGCGCTCCAGAATTCGAAGTGTCTACGCTGGAACGTATTTGAATGTAAGAAAAAGCGGATTTAAAAAAAATTTATGTGATTGAAAAGGTTTAAAATGAATGAAACTTGAAGAAAAAGGAATTCTATTGAAAATTTGTGATTCAAAATGTGATTTTATGAATTTTCATGGAGATCAATCATTTTTTTGATTGTTTGAATTTAATACTTGCAAATTTTTAATAGGAAAAACTTTAGAAAAAAAAATGGGAAATCCAACTTTTTTTTGTTGTCAGCTGAAAATTTCAGCAACCTTTTGTCTCCAATATGATTGATTTCGGTTTAGGACCCAACCATTGATCTCAAAGATCTTCCATCGAAGCTTCCGAGGCCATTGATTGTCGGCAATCGAGTTTACGCTCGAGTTCGGAATCCGAGAGACGGCATCTATATTGGAACGATTGACGCGCTGCTGCCGAAAGGCTATCGTGTGGTTTTCGATAATGTGAGTTTCGTTGAAAGTTTTTGATTCGTTCGTTATCAGTTATTCGAAAATTTTGATAAGAAATTTGAACTTTTAAAATGATGATTATGAAATTTGGGGACGAAATTGTAGAGAAAATGATTTTTTTTTAATAAAAAAATGTTCTTTTACGCGAAAATGAGCTTATTTTTGTTATTTTTTGGTGTTTAAAAAAAAATTTAAAATAAACTGAATTTTTCATTTCAGCGCGATGTGCCGCCTACAATCATTCCTGATCATGAGGTCATGCTCGACGGCGAGCCTGAACTTTGGAGTATTGCTTATTTCATCGAGCAGGCCAACTCGAAGCTTCCTAACGGGGTCCGGCCGTTTGGTACGTTGAAATAAGTTTTTAAAATATTTTTTTTTAAATTATTTTCTGGAATTCAATATATATTCATATATAAGACAATTCTAGTTTCGGCAGTTCGAGACATCAATCGTCCGAATTTGCTCAAAGATGAGCTTGTGGCTCGATCGCACGCCGAATTTAATGGTCCGTTGGAGGGTCCTGACGATTTTCGACTTGTCAATAAAAAATCGGGTAGGAAATTGAATGGAAAATTGACGAAATGTGTTAATTTTGGTGTTTTTTTTGTAGAAATGGTTGGAAATTTTCCGCTAAAATTTCTAGTCATTTTGATGAAACTAACGAAATTGGTGGAGCTCAAAAAGAATCTTGTGAAGCAGCTATCGGATTTGAACACGGACGCCGAAGTTGGCAATCTGCATACGTCGAAATATCCGCAGGCGTTTAAGGTAGATCAAAAAATCGTTTTTTTTTCTTTGGTTTTTTTTTGTTGTTAAGTTTATAAGTGAATTTTTATTGAGAATTGTGTTGCAGGAAAAATACGCGCAAGTGATTATTGATTTGGAGCACATCAATCAGCACATTGATACGAATTTGCAAGGAATTCAGGAGCATAGCACATATTATATGGCATCAAATGAGGTATTTTGGCGAGAAATTGATTAATTTTTTGTTTAAATCGTTTTCCTTTTTTTAATTTTCCACTTTCAGCTCCTTAATGTTGGGCCTGAGGCCGTTCGGAGGATGTGTTTACAGCACGCTGGACGTTTTGTGGAGCATTGTAATCAAGGTGAGAAATTGAGTAGAAATCGCAAGACATTTTTTTAAGGTGTAGACCTTAATTAACTATTAGTGGGCACTTTCATGAGTTTTTTTTTTGTGGTCCAAACTTGATAGAAATTTGAAAAATGATCATTTTTGTGTTGTGTGACTGCGGTAAAGAGGTCTTGACGCGACGCGCCTTTAATTTATCTTCTAGTGCTGCGGTCCGACGTCAAAACTGCAAAAAATTTGGTTTTTTTTAGGCGTTTTCGAAATATTGGGCTAATTTCGCTGATCACATAGATTCATTTACCATTTTCAGGACTTAATGTGGAGAATGGGCGAGCTTTGACGCTGATTCAGAGTCTGACAGCGGTTTTGTTGCAGGTAATCATTAATTTCAAGCACACATTAGAGGAAATAATGGAATTTATATGTTTTTTTGCAGGTTCGACAAATGGGAAATTCGAAGATTTCGGCGCTTGACTTGCAGGCACTCAGCGAATCGATGAGCTCGATTCGGAATCAGGTTTTGTTTTTTAAATTTTTTTTCAGACGGTTTAGTCTGATGAGGTCTTTAATATAGTCGAAATTAAAGTAGATTTGAAAAAAAATAGAAGCCCTGTGTGTCGATTTACGATGAAAGTCTGATTCCCATTGTTGTAAATCGAAATTTGAAACGTCCGCGAAAATATTCGATGGTCCGTAAAAATGGTGAAAGGTTTCGCTTATTTGGGAGAGTCACAAAAACCATGACGTGGAGCGAAGTCTCGCAAGTGTCGATGATGCTATGAGAATTTCGTGCTGCGGACAATCAAAAATGGGAAAAAAAAAGTAGAAAATTGGTCGACGGTATCATGGAATTCTCGGCGTTTGTCGTATCACAAATGAAATTTATTGAAAACTACAATAGGCGTTGAAAATTTCGCGCTGTGAGACCAACATTTTCGAAGCGCGTTCGTCGTGGACGATTTGCCAAAATTGCAGATCTCGCCGCGAAATGCCGCCTACTTCCAAGACTATGTCGAGGTGCACATGAAGCAATTCCACGCGATCATGATCGAGGACGGTGCGATTCGTTCGGAGGTCCTGCGACGATGATGGCCACCGCCGCCCAGAGAAGCACCAGAGTGTACAGAACGTCTGTGTGTGTGTGTGTGTGAGTGTGTCGGATTGTGATCCGTTTTGAAATTGACGGCGCCAATTCAAAATTGCCACGCCCCCAAAAATTATGTACCCTTCTTTATTTCTTTTTTGTTGTAATTTTATTTTCTTCTTCTTTTTTTTATTTCTTCTTTGTGTCTGTATGTCTGTGTGCCTCAACATCGTCTATTCAATCCATTGACAGTGTCCCTTTCCATTTCATTTTCGTTTTTTTTGTTTTGTACCATTTCCATACAAGGCTGTGAGCCAACTGTGCATTTTTAATCGCTTCACACACAAGCCTCTGAAAACCAACAACGAAAAATATATGCAAAAAAAAAAAGATTTAGCCACAAATGTATTTTTTTTTCAATTTTCGGGGTGGAGAACGTTTGCAAATCTTATTATCAATTTATTTCTTATAATTTATACATATATCTCTTCTTTTTAAATAAATATGATAGAAAAAAAGCTCGCCATATGTGTGATGAGGTGAATGAGAGGGGGATGTGGTGGGAGTTGAGCAAGAATGCAAATATTGCACTGGGGGTCCTGCAGCGAGTGAACAACTCGAGGTGAGTATCAAACAACGAACAAGAAGAAAAAAGAAACAATGTACAGGGATTGGGAGGGCACTTCGAATTTAGGCGACCGCCGACATCACCGTGTTGAATTTGATTTTGGTGCACACGTCTTGAACGTCCCAATACGAGCATTTGCGCATTTCGCGTATCGCGTGCTCGACGCAACACGCGGCGGTGCCGTCGACGAGATTCTGTTGCGCCATGAATTTGAACACCGACTTCCATTTGGCGATGTCGTCGCGTCGCGGCTCGTCGAGCATGTTGGCGATGAGCGCGGCGGCGAGATCGGCGAACGCGGCGCCGATTTGTTTCGACGGGCATCGCGTCGCGTCGCCGTAGCAGCGGATGAGGCGAACGTAGGTGTCGGCCTGAAATCCGTCATTTTTTTTTGTTTCACTTTTGTTGCTTCAAAATGCAATTCTTACATCGTAAATGACGAACGCGTGCGATTTTCGGTGCGGATCGACGACGACGTAATGGCTGGAGACGAACGGCACCGATTGCTTCCGATCGGCGATCACCGCGAGTTGGCTACCATCGGAGCCGGCGATTTCGACGGGAACCGTCCACGTCTCATTGCTCAATTGCTGGAAATCGACAATGTTTCGGCGATTCTCGGAAATTGCCGAAGCGACAAACCTCAAATTCGACAGACTGCGAGAGGACGGTGGCCTTTAGGACGGGTCTCGTCGCGAGTCGCGTATACCATTCGGCGATCATCGTGCCAGCTTCCGGTTTGCCAGTCGCCTGCTCGGCGGCTTGCTGCCAATCCAAAATCGAGGCGGTCGCAAACGCGAATTTGTCGAATATCTAAAAATCGCAATATTGAGCGCGTTCCCCGCGATTAGTGCGTACCACTCGAATCATTCCAATGACAGTTTCGGGACCATACGTCTCATCGAGCGTGTAGAAGACCTCGACGAATCGCGGCGAGCACACCGTCGCCGCCGATGATGATGATGACAGCTGACGAATGACGCGCAACGGATCGTGCGTCTCGTTGAGATTCCGCGGACGGATTCGAGCGATCTCCGCCTGGCGCGTCTTTTTCACAATGTGCAACTCCTCGTTGAGCTTCCACTCCAAGTAAGCGATGAGAGCCTTCTGAAACGACAACACAACAGATTATAGTTTATGTATCTAGCAAGGTGATCTGGCGAGTGGCGATTGCGCAATTCCGCACAGCGTCTGGCCGATTTTACGCACTTCGTGGGGGCTCGTTTTTTTTGCGCGCGGAAAACCGAGAACACTTGTAACCGGACCCCCCCCCCCTCACACGTTTTTATTATTCGTTGCGAAACTCGACGCCAAACAGTTGCTCTAACTAGCCTAGTTAGAGCAAAAAATGTGCGGAGAGGGGGGGGTGGTCGCCGCTCTCAAAATTGAGCTTATTCGCGGTGGGGCAATTTTAAACATTTTTCCGCGATTCAATCCGCACATTACACTTTTATATGTATGAATATCGATGATCGATGGCGAACTATCATAACATATGTTTAGCGTATCCGATTTCGGCCGTTGAGCTCACCTCGAAACACGTGTTGTCGGTGCTCACAACACCCTCGAGCCATTGACCGATGACTTCCTTGATGAGCGTCTCGTGCGTCGTCGTGTGCTTCTGATAGGCGACCGCTTGCGCGGGCAACGTGATGACGCCCAACGCCGAATGTCCCGTCATCACCGGCGCCACGATGATGGAGAGCCGTGCGAGCGGATAGGAGAACGCCGACCATTTCGTTAGCAGCGCCATCACTTTCGACGTCTCGTTGTAAATCCATTCATATTGCCCCCGACGGAAGTTGGTGTTCAAATTGACGACGAGCTCGACTTCCGGCATATAAGCTCCATCAATTGAGGTCTCGTTGAAGAACAGGCTTGATGTCTGATAGAAATTTTTTAATATCGAAAAATAAATAAAAAATGAAGTGTCTTACCTTCTCATAAGCAACAAACGTCATTTGCTGGGAAGTTAGTGGAACCGTTCTCGCAAAGCACGACATCGATCCGTTCGATTCTGTGAGATTCGCATTCGAAATCGCCTTCATCGACGGTCCGTGGGATACGCACAAATCCAACGTGGCTTTCTGATTGTGATTGTCGAACGATGGGAAGACAGAACGCGATGAAGTCGGCTCGAAGACGGTTCCGATCATCGTCGGCACTCGCCATTTCGCCGTCGGTATCTGCTTGTACACGTTGTTGCCAGCGTCGGCCGAAATGAATCCGTTGAGGTCGATTCGAAAGTTGGTGTTGGCCGGAATCGATTGCGCCGTCTCGAATGTCGCCGTCGCGAGTTTCTCGTCGAGTTTGATCGATGAAATGCACACCGTCTCGCCTATAAAGTTTGCTTGGATTTTTTATTAATTGGTGGTTTACGGGCGGCGGCGGCCGCCAGACGTTTCGTTTCGACGGCTTGTAATAATCGCGCACCGCCGTCGACACCACACAGCTTTTACAAATATTTATTACACTGGATCCGCTTGGGAAAACATGCCATCAACTAGTTGGAAAATGACGTCAAATTTGGGCAAAACGAAACAATTTTTTCGAAGCCTCAAAAGTATCAGAACACGCCACGCAAAATTGCACCAAATCTACTACCGTACCACTCATTATTTTAATTGTTCGTAATTTCGCCTAAAGTTAGCTATGCCATATATTTTTTACTGAGTCATCACTTTCGGACCGCCCGCACCTGTTTTCCATTTAGCACAAAACACAACATTCTTTTTTTTTGAAACACATCGCATTCATCAGTCGATGGACAGCTGTTAGGCAGGGCGAAAATTTTTCGCGAGACGTTTTGGAACAAAAGCTCACTACACGACAAAAAAAATCATAACAAAGCTAGCAAAGTTCGGCAGCGAGGGGGGGGGTCTCGAATTTCGCGAAAACTGATAAATTGCTGAGTGGGACACGAAAAAAAAACAAAACAGAGGTGACAAGTTTCTCGCGGTTTCTGCACACTTTCTTCTTTACACCGATGATAAATTGCTCTTACCGGTGTCGCAGTTGATGATATGCACGCGTTCGCGGTTGTCGAGGTTGTGCAGTTTCGCGGCGTGAACAACAATTCCATGGGATTCCTGCAAAAATGAAATACAGAGGATGAACGTCAAGCGGACTCGAGCCTTCGATGCAAAACGCGCACAATGTGGCGCATTTTCAAAATCGACCATACTCGCCGCATGAAGTCAAACGGTAAATGGCATACAAGTAAAGCGACACGCCTACCTTCAACGCGACACCATACAATTTCGAGGATCCCTCGATCACCGGCTTGCGAACATCGCGAATCGTCAAATTCATCGAATAATGGATCGGCTTGAAGTCGATCACCTGCACCTCAAGCTCATTGGGAGCTGTTGGAGCGCACGAGACGGGAAGCGCCTCAATCGCGCGGCACTTTTCAACAATTTCGGCGTCTTTGGATTTCGCTTTCAATAGCGAATCGATGTCGACCGGCATTACGATTTCCGGTGGAGGTGTCGTCGTTGTCGTGGTGGTGGTGGTGGTAGTGGTAGTAGATGTAGAAGTAGAAGTAGAAGTTGACGATGAACTCTGAGTTGACGTCGACGTCAAACCCGGTTGTGTCGTCGTCGTCAAGATCGCCGGCGTCGGAATAATCGGATGTGTGGAATTTTGAAAATCTAAAAAAAAAATGAATGAAACAAATAGTAATAATAATAAATAAAAATTAAAAAGAAAAAAATGAGCTTGTCAAACCTTTATCAATATCCGGTCCGCTGTCGTTGTGTCGAATCATCGTCAAATAAAGAATGATGGCGGCGCATAGGCAGATGCAGACGACGACAGCCGCGAGAAGGTAAGCGAGAAACGGCGATTTCGCCTTTTTCGTCGGACTCGAAACCGTCGCCATCGTTTATTTTTTGTCAATATCGATAATTAGTGAGTATACACACGCACACACACAACAAAAAAAAAGTTGGTCGCCGAAAATCTCTCTATCGAGTGTGTGTGGCGACGGCGGGGGTCCGACGAACTTGTGGGCGTGGCTCGACGGATCGCCAGATGCCCCACGCGATGTCTGCGTCTCGTTTTGCGGGGCCGAATTGTCATTCGAGCACTTTGAAAGGTACTTGGGCGCGATGACTCATATCACACACACGCATAGAGCCATTGGATATCACTATACGCCCTACTATTACTACCGCGAGAACAATGACCGCAAAAGGTATCAAATGGCACTTGGGCAATTGATACCGTTGATGGAGAATAGATATGGAATCGAATTCTTGATTTATGCCATCCAACGCGAATCTCCAGGACTTCAAGGGCCCTAGAAGATTTCCAGAATTTCAAAATTCATTCCGGAATCAACGCGATTGGAAATTTTACGAATAATATTGTAAAAATTGATTTTTTTTCTTTCGTATTCTCGGATTCGATTGATTTTGAGTTACCAATTCATGTGATCCTCGATTTTCCAATCGAAACCCACCTCTGAGATTGTGCTTTAAAAAAACACCACGAGACTGGTGTATCAATCCAATTCCCTCTTAACATATAGTTATAATAGTTAGCGTTATCTATTATCGGGGGCGGGAGGGGGGCACAACTTTAAAATTGTTCTTTTACGATTTGACTGCGTATCAAGACGATACAGTATCCAAATTAAACTGTTAATTTCGCGTCAAGACGCAAAAAAAAACCGTTTTCTTTGAATTTCCGACAATATCATTGACTTCCCTCTAATAAACTTTATACGATATTTCGGATGATCCTAAATCGAAGCACAATATGATCAATACAAGATGAAAGGCGGTCGTGTGGCGAGTGCATGTTTCGCGCGCGACTCTTCGCTCTTCGTCCGTCGTCGCTTCATCGGCGGCGAGTACAACGGGCGGTACTAAAAAAAAAAACGCATACATACACACACACGCATTGCAACGTTTGCCGACGAGCCCCAAGTACACTTCATTTACCTGATACACCACATTCGGCCGACCATTCGCCGTGTTCATGTGCGATCGATAATGCGATGTGAAACCGTTGGCGATTGGGATTTTCGAAGCGCTCGCCAACGCCGTCGTCGGCGTCACGTCGTCGTCGTTGTCGTCATCGCCGTTGAATGAGGCGGTGTCGCCGAACGATTCGACGTCCGGATCACTCAGATGCGTCTCATTCGCCGGCGGCGGCGGCGGCGCGGGCGATTCTGGAGACGCCTCGACTCGATCCAGACGGCTGTCATCGTTGTTAGCAGCCGCCTGGGGCGTCTCAACATCTGGAGTAGTTTCAGTTTCCAGCTCCTCCTTCTTCTCCACAGATTCATTCAAAGGCTGCTCCAGCTTCTCAATTTGCTCCTCAACCGCTGCCTCGATTTTACCTTCATCTTCGTGGACCTCGTCCTCAGAATTCTCAGTACCTTGCTGATCAACTTCAGATTCCTTCACAGTCTCGCTTTCTCCTTCATGCTCATCCTCATCCCGCAGTTCATGCTCTTCAACGACATGATCCTCTTCCGCAGAAGGAGCTGATGGCTCCAGTTGAGCAACATCTCGATGATCCGGCTCGTTGACACGCTCTTCCTCACCATCCAATGGCTTGACGCCCTCTTGCGGCTCTTCAATCGCGCCGTCGTCGGATTCCACCGAATTCACGCGAATCTCCACCGTCGATTCTTTCTCGTTGAGCGACTTCTGAGCAAAATCCATCAAATTCTGCAAAAAGTCCTCTTTGGGATAAAAATATTAACGGGACCATTGTAAACCTTCAAAAGAAGCATATCGATCGAAACCTTAGGACCATTCCTGTCGACTGAGACGCTCGAGCGGCCGTCGTCGACAAGATTGGCCTTCGCGATAATGCCGGCAATCTGAACATACAAATTGCATCTGCGGACAATTATTTTCTCACCTCGTCCTCGATTCTCTCGCTTCGCGTCGGACTCGCCGCCTCAATTCGACTATTCTTCCTGCTCGCAATCTGTGGACCAACAATTGCCAGATCCAAAATACGGACCATCGCCTACCTCGTTGGCAATATCGTTGCCGGTGACCTCGAAGACGAGCACCGAATCGGTGCGTCCAATCGTCGGTTTCGCATCAAACGCGAATGTCGCGAGGTTTTGTTGAAAGCCTTCAACGAATCGCCGAATTCGTTGAGTCGAACCGTCGTCGAGTGCCGAAATTGTCTAGAAATCTCATATTTTTGCGATGAAAATTCCCCCCCCCCCAAAACTCACCCCTATTGCATTAATTTTTCGCTCCAATCTCGACAAATGGTACGATAATTCATGTTGGATCGTCTCAATCTGCGAGATACACGAATCAAAGTTCTCATCGATGCTTTTCTTGCGCTCCTGCAACAGATAGATTGGTTTTTTTTCACAATACTTCATGGCTTACCGCTTTCATTTCTGGCGGCGGCGGCGTCGACTCGACGCCCTTCTCGATTTTTTCGATTTCAAACGCCGCCAGCCTCAAAATCGGCGTGATGCTCGGCGGCAGCCAATGTTTGCTCATATGCGAGTCGGCGAATTGCTTCTTGAGATCATCGATGGCCTTGAAGAGCAATGACGAGGTGAAGCTCGACGTCCGAATCGTGTCCTGAACCCAACTCATCGCTTTTTTTTTGCCGCCCCTAGGCTCCTAGTGTCAGTACCCCGAACTCACGGCTCCATTGCGTGAACACATTGCACACTTGGATGTTCTCTTTGGCGTTGGCGGCGGCGTCGCGAATCACCGGCAACACCACTTCGAGCTCTTTGATGAGATCGCCAATTTTCTCGCGTCGACTCTCGCGCACGAATCGCTCGATGCGCTCCATCAACGCGTCGCCTTCCTCGAAATCGTTGTCGATGAGCACCGACTCGCAATATTTTTCGATTTCCTAGAAACAACACACGATGTGTGCGGGGCCGAGCGCGTCTCGACAAAACTCACGTCGAGCCTCGTCGGCAGCGGCACGTCGGCGGCTCGACACATCGCCGTGAACACCTCGCCGTATTCGCGTTGCGGATGGCGAATCGCTCTGCAATAATCCTAATTTAACAAAAAAACACCATCTGCCGACAACCTACCGGTCGTTGAACACTTTGAGTTGATGCGCAATGGCACCAATGAACGCGCGATACGCAGTCAGCTCGAAATTTTTAAGCGGCGGCGGTATGACGTGCGCGATCGGCACTAGCGGCTCGAGATGGCGAGGCGGCGGAATTTGCGACAATTGACGAATCTGTCAAAAAAAAAATATTGTGATCTATGATGAATGCAAACGCGCTTCACGGTACCCGCTCGTCTCGTTCAATGAGTTCGGCTTGAAGGCGAACAACACGCTGCAGCAGATTTTGGCCGAGTGATCGATTTGAGGAAAGAATTTGAGTATTTTCTGGAAAACTGAGCCGGTACCGTCGAGGATTTTTAAATTGCAAAAAAAAAAATAAAAACGACGACATACGATGCGTCGATGATTCGGTGGATGAGGCCGACGAGCGCATCGAGACGCCGGTGCTCCGCGAGCCGTTGCGACATTTTGCCACCGGTGTGATACGCTTCTGAAATCATTTTTTTTCGAACAAGAAGATTGAAAATTTTGTTTTCGCAATCACCCCCAACACCGGCAGAATTCCGTTGGTGTCGGCGGTTTTTCGAATCGACGCGGTTTTGGTGCTGCCGGGTCTCGAGCCGGCGAGCCATTGGCTCTCAAACACCAACGTCTCGCCGGCGCCCAATTGAATTAGATCGCCGCTACGCAATTCGGCCTAGAAATTGTGTGGTTCGATGACGAATCGGCCGCCTCACTTGTCCGACGACGACGACGCCATTGAGTTTCGTTATGCCGGCTAGCGAATGCTCGTGAAGCCAAAACCCGCTGCGATTCGCTTCAATCGAAGCGTGAACGTTGGAAATGCCGCGACCCTGAGATTTTTTTTTTTGATGAATAGTCAGCTAATCCCTATTCTTCAATTACTCATTTGATTTTAAGCAAAAACAAAACGGCGGTGAATATAAATATGCAGATATTCGAAAGAAAAACGGCTAAAATTTGTTCTGTAAGTATATTAATTCCTTCGACTCTCGGAAAAAAATTAAAGCAACTATTAAATAGAGCGCAGCTTTTAATCAAGATTTGCTTAATTTTTAAACTCGGTGTGGCTAAAAGTGAACGAAAATGGCGAGGTTTAAAAAAAAATTCAAAAAAAAATCGAAATTCAAAAAACCATTTTCAAACTGTCCGCATACACCGCGTCGTACAAATGCACACATTTTCAAAAATTTCTTGTTCACGATCTCGCTCACCTTCACAACAACATCGCACGTGTCGCCGGCGCCAATCGTCGTGCGTTTCGAGCTGAGAACAATCGTGTCGAGACATTGCGAGTTGTATCGTCGCAGCATTGGCGGCTGAAGAAGGCGAAGAAGAAGAAGAAGAAGAAAAAACAATGAAATCAAACTCGATGCCGATTTTGGGGCGAGGCCGGACTCGAAATAATTTCGTGTTGCTACGGAGACGAGAGCCGTCGCGACGACGGCCGTTAAGAAAACGCCCGACAAAACCTCATTTCATTGTGTGCTCATAAAACAAGCCAAGCGAACGCTCAACCTTTTATTCACTCAATAAAGAAAGAAATACTCCGTTTATTTGCAAGTTTTCTTTTTTTCTAGAAAAAAAAACGTTGTAAAAAAAGAAGGTTGGGAGAATGGAATAATAATAATTACAAAAATCTCAAAACCAAAAAAAAATCTACTTTGTTGACGGATTCGCTCTCTATTCTTCTAGAAACTTGAAAATAATACGAATTACACATACAAGTCACTCTACAAAAAAAAAACTCATTGCGGGGCTCGCCGAATTTAATTGAATGCCACGTTTTTGGCGGATTCCGATCGTACTTGACTGGTCAGGTTCTTCTTCGTCAATGGCGGCGAACTGCAATTAAAAAAAACATGACATTTCCGACAACCGGAAAAAGTGTCCGCAGCACGTTGTCCTTTTAATTGAGCGCAACTACAGGAGCTTTAGGAGTTTTGATTTATCGTGAGGACGCAAAATCTGACAGTTTTGCATTTCTTTTTTCAATGTCATCAACAAAAATACTAAAATCTCACATTTTAATAGTTAAATTGAGCAAAATATGCTCCCAAGAGATTTCAAATCTTTAATAAATGCCGCCCAAAATTCGAATGTCCTCGATTTTTCAATTAAAAAAACGCGAAATCAAAATTCAAATTGTCCGCAGCAATTTTTTTTAAAATCCCATTCGTGATTGAATCTCTCATTATGTTTTTAAATTTTTTTGAAATTCTTTTCTTTTCAGTTCAGTCTCCCTCCACAAAAATTTCACATTATGAGCTTCTTCAAATTGTTAGTAGCTGGTTTTTTTTTTGAATCGCGAACTGGAATAGAAAATGACATCATCAGTATCATCCCCCCCCCATTTGAAATTATCCGTGGAATACCCAAAGAATACTCAGATTATGTTCAGAACGCGCCTTCTTCAAATTGTCGGAGGCTAGAAAATCAACGAATAGAATTTCTCACCGAAGTGGAAGCGGCGGTTGCGGGAGCTCTCCGTACTGCTCCTCAAAGTATCGATGGAACGAGCGATAGAACGCCTGCTGTCCGCCGGCATACTCAAACTCGGTCAATCGGCGAACGCCCAAATCGGCGAGTGTTCGCTCACCAGTAAGCACATCATTTTGAACCTCCTGCAATGTTTGAAAAGAGTTTTAAATAATATGTATATATATATATGTATATATAATGTTGTCCCCTACAATAAACTCCATCCATTCGCGGTTGAGCGGCACTTTGCATTTGAAAATTTTGCCGTAAAACTCGGTTGCCAATGTCAACGCCATGAAATATGGGTCAGGGAGTCCGTGACGCTTGTATCTGAAAAAAACTCAATGTCAATTTTGGTTTTTCAAGGAGCACGCCACCTAAATCCGAAATCGGGGAGGCAGTGCGCCTTCTTGTACATGAAATCAATGAGCTCCGAGAGCTGATAGCAATGCGGACCAACAAACTCATAGATGTGGCCTTTCGCGGTCGGATCGTTCACAACGTTGCTGATTCCATGCGCGACGTCACCAACCTAACAAAAAACCGGTTTCTCTTTTTTGGTTGGAAATTGTTTAAAGGCGCATCATCATTGTATGTTAAAAACTTCCTCTTACCCAAATTGGCATCTTGTACGTCTGCTCGCCTTTTTTGTACAAGTACACATGATCAAGCGGTGTTTTTCGCCATCTCGACACATAATACTGAATGAATCCGTCGAGTTCGCCATAAATCACCGATGGACGAATGATGGTGGCTTCCGGGAACTCTTCACGCACCGCGATTTCTCCAAGTCCCTGCAAGAAGACGAAAAAATGATAATGATAATCATTTTTCCCGAACCTTGGATCGCAAAAATTCGCTCTTGCTCACAAAATGGCCTTTCGGCGGGTCTGGTGTTGCTCCGAGAGCCGACAAATGGATGAACTTCTCGACGCCCATCTCCTTGCAGATTTTCGCCAATTTGCGCGCTCCCGTCTCATGAACATCGTAGTAGCCGTAATTTTTGGTTGGCACCCGTGTGCCGATCAGATTGATCACCACGTTCGAGTATCTCACGGCTTTTCGGATGCTCTCCTCGTCCTTAAGCTCGAATGGAAAGTAGAGCACTTGTCCGAGCTCGCCGAGCACCTTGTGCTCTCTCATGTAATACGGGTCTTGTCTGGAAAAATTTGGATTTCCCGCATTTTTTTTTCTTATTCAAAATTTACCGATATGGAATAATGATTTGTGAACCATTCTTGGCAAGTCGGTTCACCACTGGAAGACCTAAGAATCCTGAAGCTCCGAAGACGGTGACGACGTTTCCGGAGAACGAAGCTCTGAAATTGTGCGCTATCATTTCGTCAATCGATTTTTGTACCTTCCGCCAGCTCCTTTGCGGAATTGCGCGGATTGCGAGCTGATTCTTGGCGCTGGATGAGCGGATTCTGGTGTCGTCACGGCGCCACTGCTGTACGCCTGACTGGTGACGACAACGACGCCTTGGCGCGCGTTGGCAATCGGGAACGCAGACTTACCCAACACGGAGAGCATTTTGCTGTAACGTGTGACTTTAATAATGTCAATTAATAAACAAAATACGATAGTTTAATTAGAAACGAGCTAATTTTGGAAGTTATTAAAAAAAATTATGCAAATTTTTATGGATGGTAAATTTATTAACATTTGATTAATTTTATTATATTTTGGCTTTTCAGACATATATTGAATATTATTTCCATTACCTGAATAAGTAAAATAATAATTAAACATATTTAAAAACGAAAAATGTGAAGAAACGACAAATTTCAATTTTTTTGCATTTTCTTCAAATTTTCCAATATTCCAACAAAATTTTCCATTAAATCCGCATTTGTTAAACAGTTTTACACGTATTTTAAGCATTCAGAATGAAAAACGTCAAAAATCCTCGATGAACAATCGAAAAAAGCGAAAAACCAACGTTGCGCCGCCGAAATAAAAATAATTCGACGTGTCCGCAATAATGCGGCAAGTGTGGCGCAGCGGCCGTTGCGCACCGTACTCGCCGCCAATAATTCATTCATTCGTCTCATTCCAATCGCATTGCGATACACAACAGGAATCGATTGGCTGCAAATTAATGTGAGGGCGCGAAAAATTCAACAACAACAAAAAAAGAACCGATAAATGCGAACAATGTTTCGTTGATGATCGAAAACCAATTGTCAAAATCGCGCGAATTCCACGCCCCAAAAATTGTCTCGGTTGGGTCAGCTGTTCGCCGGCGGTTTTTACCGTATCGAGATACTGTAAACGAATGGAAGCGAAATGCAATTTTTTGGGTGTGGTTTTGTGCGGTTGTGTGTTGTTGATATGATCATTAATCAAAACAACAAGACGACAGGCAGCATGGAATGCGCGCCGCCCGAAACCGATTTTTTTTCTTGTCATTCCCCATCGCCGCGTTCGCTTTGATTCCCCTCCATTAATTTATTAAAGCACCATTTTTCAAATGAATGTCGTTTAAAGGTGGTCAAAAATCCCCCCGGCTTCGCCCATTTTTGGCGGTTCCCAATGAAGACGAAGAAGAAGAATATTTCGATTGTGCCACACCCAATTCGTTATCGGTGACACCAGACAAGAACAAAAAAAGTGATGAGTCGTTGGGCTCCTCTTCATTTTAGCTTCATCACAAAATCATTTCAACAAGGCGTTTTTTTTCGTGTCGAGATTTTCGCCAAACATTGGCTGTGTTCAACCACTCCAAACATTCCATTTTGCCCCACCTATGTGTGACAACAATTTGTCTAAAATGCCTCGATGTTTGTGCTCACTAGGCCATTTTTTTTTCAACCCATTATTGATAAAGTATCGAAAAATTCCCATTTTTTTCTATTTCATTTGGTTGCGCCAAAAAAAATTATTTTTTTGATCTCATGAAACCCCCTCTCAATGCGCCTTTAACCATGGTCTCACTGGGAATCGTTTTCTCGCTCTCTAGGGCTTATTTCAAATAAAATCATCTGGAGCGTGTCGAGACCATAGCAAATTTTCGTAAATTTACCCAACGCCTCTTTTTTTAATTCACATCAAAATGATTGGGCCATAGCAGCATCCCGTTTTATCAAAAAAAGGCTCTCACAGCGAAAATGTGGGATTACGGTAGGAAATTTGAGAAAAAACAAATCAAAATTCTCATTTTTCCATAATTTCATTTTTTTTAATGGAAAAAAATGCTTTTTGAATTTTTTTTTTCACAAATTTCGAGTTGGATTCGAATCGCTTGCTAACCAGCAGAATCCAAAGCACGGCTCGACAATCACCGGCGCAGGGGACCATCAATGTCAGACCCCCCCCCCTTGTTGAAAAATGCCGAAGCGTCTCACGTTCATTTATTTCACCAAAAACCATCATCGAAAATCACTGGCTCAATTATTATTGGCTCGTAGTAAACGGGTCCGTAAATTAGCGGGTCCATGACGACTATTGGTGGCGCGGCGGCTACCACAGCTGGACTAGGGACCATCATTGGCGCCGCTTGCTGCAAATCATATTTGTCCAAACATTTTCTTTTCCATCTTACCACGACTGGCTGCTGGTAGTATTGTGGAGCATTGGGCTGCTGATAAACTTGGTTTTGAGCATGAACGTGATTTTTTTGATAAGCTCGTTGAGCATGCTGTCGCTCTTTAGGCTTTTGAATTTGCTCATTCGATGCTCCATCAGCATGATGTTTTGGGTATATCGCGTGACCGTGTTTCGCATTTTGAGCGGCGTGATGGTTATAGCCATGATTTGGCGCCGGTTTAGACGAGCAGCATCCCATTATTAGAAATGAAAACAAAAACAATTTTGTAGGCGCGGGCTCGTGCAAAACCCTCCCTCCGCGCCACAGTCGGCGACACAACCCACTGCGCCATACAAGCACATCTCGCCCACCGATTATTTCCGTATATCCATTGCGCAGCCTCCTCTATTCAAAATTTGCATTCATTGAAAAGGCTTTATTAGGAAAATCAACATTAATAACAATTCGAGTATTCCGCTACCAATAAAACCCATCGTACCCATATCCACCATAAAAACCGCAATAGAACGGATCATAGTACATGGCATCGTACCAATATGGATAAGGTGCCATTATAACAGGAGGCGGGGCCATTATAGGGGTTTGCATGACGACCGGGCTTTGCTGAAAATCGTCATTTTGAAAAAAAAATAATGCGAAAAAATGTTACTATAACAGTTTGCGGGTACTGATAGCATCGCTGCTGATAGCACTGCTGCTGGTAGTTTTGAGCAGGAGAGATGACTGGTTGCGGAGGTGTAAATGTCGTCAACGACGCTTTAGTGGATTGAGATTTTTGCGTGACGTCTGGCGTCAGCTCGATATCCACGTTCGTCTCGCTGCTCGCTTTGGCCGGAATTTTCGGCGATGGCGTCGGACTATAAGGCGGTGGTGGAGTTGGTGGTCGTCGAGTTTGCTGATAATTCGCCGGCTTTTGCGTATTCTGCGTAACTGGAGGCCGATTTTGCTTCCTCGCCTGTACTGGTTTTGATGGACAACATCCCATTTTGAGAAATTCTAAAAATGAGCCAAGTCCTCATTTCGCTTTTAGAATTCACGTATGGAGCACGTGCCGTGAAATCCAAGCGTGAAGCGTGAACTTATACGGCGTTCGATCGCGCCTGCACCGCATCCTCAATGGTCAAGTGGTTCGCGTGTACGACTGACCCCTCGGTGAAAATTAGCGGGCCCCGCGCGGGTGGAAATGGGTGGTTGGACCCGCGCGGGGCCAGCGTGGGTCCAAATTATGACCAGCGCGGGCCCAAACGGCTATTTGGGCCCGCGCGGGTCGTATCTGCGGGCCCCGCGCCGGTGAATATCTCAGAAGGGCTCGCGCGGGTGGTTTGCGTTCAATGGGAATGGAGGGGCCCGCGCGGGTGAAAATAATGCGGTGTTCTGAGGGGCAACTGCGGGCCGTAAGCGGGGCTCTCTAAGGACTCTCGCGAGGCCATCAAATGCGAGGGACCGCAATATATCAGCGTATTACAGTTTTCCAAAAACAATTTTGCAAAAGAATTAAACATGTTGTGTATCAATTAAAACATTGTTCAAAGTGTTTGAATCATCACGATATGTTCTAGCAACGCCAAGAACGTTAATAGAATTTTTTGAAACTTGAAAATAATTGTGAAATGGGGTGAAGGATCAATATTTCAGAATCTCTGTGGCTTGTTTTCAATTGTTCGAGTACTATTGTTAAACACAATGTTGATTTTTTAAGTTATTAAAATAATTTGCTCATTTTCGACTCTTCTTGCTTTAGTATCTAAATGTCTGACTTCATGCATAGGAATGAGAGCCCTCTTCAAATGAAAGGCCCTCTTTTCAGTCCAATAAGCTTGCCTGGAATATCTGAAGCATCAGCTGAAACTCTAAACATTCGCAAACATCTTATAAGGGGCCATCACGGTTTGAACAACGGCCGTATTCTTTTCGGATGTGGTCGAATTCGATTGGGAAACAAGACATTTTGCGTTCGTTGGAATATTTTATTTATTTTAGTTTTTTTTATTAATATATTTATTTTCTTTATTATTTTTTTTTGAATAATAGGCGCATTTTTCTTATTGAGAATTTCTGGACTAATCTCGTTCACAGAAAAAAGTTTTAGTGGAAACACAGTGTACGATACTCCGCCGTTAACACGTGCCCACTGTTTATCGTATTTTGTTTCAACCGTTTTGAATCGTTCGTTTCAATCACATTTAACTCGTCCAATTAATTGGCGAGTGTCTAATTTTTTTTATTAGTTTTTTCTTACTTCTAAATTTAATTATTTCAGTCATATATATGGTAATATGCTCCAAGCGCAATGTCGAACCAAAGAAGAAGAAGATTTACATTTAGTAAGGAAATGCAAAAAAATTAAATACCGTGCGTTGCAGAATAATGACCACTACACGGTTACTTTTTAAGATACTAACATAAAAATTGGTACATATAGGTAATTTTTCATGCTGAACACGATTTTAACACTGCTTAGTTTCAAAATATCGAAACCTGTGCGGCACTCTAATTCGGGGGTGGCTTTGTAATTCTGCAACGCACTCACTGTATATATAAAATACAATATTATGTTTAGATAATGTGTCAACAGTTCGCAAGGAAATGGAATATAGACTACAAGAGAAAAAAGGAAAAATCAGACTAGCTGTTGCTCGAGAAGACGGTATTGGTTTCCTATCCTATTAAGATGTTAACTTCAGCGGGTTGGAACTTTTAGTGATTTCCGTATTTGGGGATGGTTCATAATTTCAAGATAAGTGCGGTGCAGAGGCGCGCTGGGGTTAAGCGAAGGTTTCGAGATAGTACTCAGCCAAAGATTTTTGCAATGAATGTACAAACGGTTCACTATAGACTTATCATAATATGATAAGTCTATATAGTCGGCGTCCGTCGACTGCTGCACGCGGGTAGATTTACGCGCATGCGCCTTTTCTTCTTGCATTTTCTTGCCCCAAGATAAACGAGCATCGCCGTAAATCTACCCGCGTTCAGCAGTCGACGGACGCAGACTATATCATATTATGATTCCTATATTTCAATATTCTATTTGTGGTTTTTCAGGAACATTATTCTCCACAATTAAAGAGTGAAATTCGAGCCATGTGGATGCATAGGAATGTTTAAGTGTAATTTGTTTTTTCGTTTAATAAATGTTTCATTAAGTATATAATTGTTAATTAATTGCAATATGAATCTCATCTAGAATTTTTGGCCACGCAAAGGCGATATAAGGGCCCCGCGCGGGTGAAACACAAGGGCCCCGCGACGGTGATATGAGGGCCCCGCACCGGGGATATGAGGGCCCCGCGACGGTGATATGAGGGCCCCGCGACGGTGATATGAGGGCCCCGCACCGGGGATATGAGGGCCCCGCGACGGTGATATGAGGGCCACGCTCGACGAAAGTGTTTGCCCCTCAATTTTCACCCGCGCGGGACCCGCAAATCGTTGTTTTCACCCGCGCGGGGCCCGCCAATTTTCACCGAGCCGCTGGACCTCTCGCGGGTTCGTTGCCGGCCGGCGGTCACTTTCAAGGTTTTTATTGTTTCGATGCGCGCCTTGTGTTTTTTCTCGCGCCCTCCACGCCGTGTGTTGTTTGCCTCATCGAATTCGATTCCCCCCCAATTCGGTCGCCTTCCTTCCCCCCCCTTCCCGCCACACCCTGTTCTTCATCATCATCATCATCATTCTCCTCCTCCTCTTCGTCGGTCGGTCTTGTCGTCGTCGTCTTTTTCTGTTTTGTTGTAGTACTGTGTCGCCGTCTTCACTTTTTTTTTGTCTTGCGCGAATTTTGCCGCCCCTCTCCGATCGATCGAAAACCGCAAACGTTTGAGCTCCCGGGGTGTCTTTTTTTGTTGTTATAATTGCTTTAAGAAAAATAAACCCTCTCCCCCTCAGACCCCTTTATCCACAGAAATTTTATGGGTCTCGAAACGACACACGCCGACAAACCGACACCCTCTAATCGGGGTACTTATCAGAACGGGTTCCAACCATTTCATTGATTTTCTCAATCGAATCAACAAGCAAAGCAAGCCAATGAGAGACGCCATGAAAAAAAAACCGATCACATTTTTTTTGGCTGCTGCCCACACACAGCTGTGTGCGCATTTCGGGGGCCACAAAAACGCCTTATCAAGTTTTAGTCGTCATCGTCTTTCAAAAAAAAAAGAAACCGTTCTTTTTTTTTGTAAATTTTCCTTGTCTTTAGCCTCACATTTCAGAATGTTCGAGCCGGACGCCGCGCCGGGCTCGGTGAGCACCAGCGAGTCGGTGACGATGCGCTCGTCGCGCGAGCGCCTCGTCCACATTCCCAACAAACCGCTGCTGTCTATCGATCCGTCGGCACGTGCCTCGTCGCATGTCTACCTGTCGCCGACGTTCCTTCAATCAGGTAAGGCTTGCGGTCTTGCTAATATCGTGCTTCCGACATTTCACGGGTCAGGCGCCCTCCCACACCTATACCGCGTCTCCTCGCGCGTCAACCTTGTCCCCTCTGGCCAAGTGGTTCCGTCGCGCGGTTTGCGCAACCACTTTTGCGGGTTCGACCCCACGCGGTAGCCTCGCGGTTTTTGTTGACCTGATAAGCACTTTATAGCCCTAGTAAACCGCGTTTTCAAGGTTTCGCGTGTCGATTTAACGACCCATAGTTGTTGTTTTTCTTTCAGCATCATCCGCTTGCGAAGAGAATGATGACATTTCGAGGAGGATTCGCGAAGCGACGCAAAGCTTCAATCAATTTGGCTCGCAATTTTATGAAAGGTATCGATCGACAATTAATGTATTTTTGGGGGAAAAAAAACTTGATTTTTGGGCGTGGTGTGTATTTAAGACGCACTTAACCTTTTATGATCAACGTTGACGTCATTTCTGATCGATATGTGTCTGTCGGAATCAAATTTTACAGGTTTCCCCCCGAAAATTGTCCGCAGATGGTTTTTGTGATGACGGCGAAAAAAAAAATAAATTTTGCGTCAAAATCGTGAATTTATGCAATTTTTCACAAAAATTCATCAGTTTTCAGTCTTTCCATGAGAAAATCCACAAAACCATCAATACTGCCTCAAAATTTTTAGTTTTGACTACACAATGTCGAAAAATTGTTCAAAAATGCGATTTTTCGACATGAATCGATCAAAAATGGCAGAAAATGATTGAAAAATCGCGATTTTCAGTGTTCTCGAGTTGTCGAAAGGCAGCACAGCGTACGAGCGCTTAAAAGCCAACAGTTTACGGCGAAAATTGGAAAATGTGAGTTTTTTTTTGGCTTTTTTCAAAATTTTTATCTCTTTTGACCACAAAAATAACCGCAAAAACGCCTTTTTGAGGGGTGGCGGGAGCGCCGCGTCGCTTATCAGAGACCGACGCCCATGTTCGTCTCGTCGGACCGGCCCTCTCTTCACTTTTTCGGTCTCCTCCTCCCTTCCTCCCCCCTCCTCCTCTTCCTCCAACCACACCCAAGAGAGGAACAGACGCCGGTTGACCGCAAGCGAAGAAAACCAAAAAAAACGTTTCGCCGAAAATTTGTTCCTAATTAATCTTTCGTGCTGCCGACATATTGCGGGTTTCAAAAAATTCACAAAATATTGATGAGAAGCTGGTTTTCTATTAGTTCGATGCCGCAATAATGTCCGCAGCACGATTTTTCGAAAAACCCGCGAATTGTCGGCAGCAATTTTTCGATGAATTTCAAACTCGCCGGCTTTGCTGCTTTTAGGAACCGCCCGTAGGTGATGGGGGATGTCCGCAGCACAAAAATATGAAACAGTGCCTTAATTCTCATTCAACTGTTCTCGCGGCCCGTAAGACTGTCCGCAGCATCTATCTTATTTCTGTGGGCAATTTTCGTGTTCATAATAGTCCACAAAAGGAATATAAGCGATTTGAGAGGTTTCAAACGATGATCGTTGCAGCGCGATGATTCTGGAACGGCAACGACGTCAGGCTCGTCGATTTTCGCCAACGATCGCCCAACAGGCACCCCAATTTCACACCAAAATCGCCCAATCATATTCCATTTTTCCAGCATTCTCGCCGTACCGCCAAAACGCCTACGACTCGACGCAGAGTTTGAATGTCGCTGAGCGTTTGGAGCGAATCCGAAGCGAATTTCTCGCCGAACATCAAAGTGAGCGCAAATATATCAACGAGAAAAAATCTGACGATTCGTGTGATTTTTCAAGAGCCATTCACCGCGTTCTCCGGCTTCAACACGCCGACGACGGCTCTCGGCGCCGCGTTTCAAGATTTGAACATGAAAAGCGCGTTCGCGCCGGTCGCGTCGAGAAATCGAATCAATTTCGACATTCCGCGAAGAGGCGGCCATTTGATCTCCGATATTCTGAAGCCCGAGCCAACGGTGGTTCGAAATGTGCCCATCAAATTGATTTCATCAAATATTGGTGAGTGCAAAAACTCTCGGTTGGGCGCGGGCTCGAACCCGCAAAACCACCTGCGCAATAAACAATCACCTTACCGACTAGGCCACACAGATAAACAGCGGCATAGGCACAATGGAAGCATAGTGGAACGGCTGTGGATATCATAGGAATCTTATATGCAAGTTATATGGAAGCATAATGGAAGCATTTTTTTGCGGAACTGCGTGTTTCGTATATGGAATGAGCCGTATGCCTTCCATATGGGAAAATAAGAAAACAATTTGATTGCTGTATTCAAAATTTATTTCATATTAACACATTTATTTAATTTAAAATAAAAAAAACAACAATGAAATGAATTTCAATTAAGATATAATCAAACCATTAGTTACTGGCAACTGCCGAACTATTCGAATCATTGTCAGTACTGACATCGAGCGGGACGCTGTAATAAGTAGATTATAATGGGCCTATTAATTTGAAAAACTTGTAAACCATTGTTACGTAAACTAAATTTTTCGAGAAAATACAATCAGTTTTTTTACATCAATAATTTTCTTAAAAATAAAAATAATTTATTTTTATTGCATTTTTGGAAACCCTTTAGTGCACAAAATAAAAAGTGAATTGGCGGAAGAAAGAACAACTCCAAAATTTGAAGCAAAAAGGCATTTTGGTTAAAATTTCAAAGACATATGAATACTCACATCTGAGGGTTGCTGGTAGAATCAAGCAGCTTCCTTAATTGCGCCGCGAGCGCTTCCGGCGCTACACCAAATTTCCTTTGAAGTCGTTGGCGCATTCTATCGCTTAATCAAATAAATAAATTAATAGTCATAGTTCAAAATCTTACAGAAGATTATCCATGACTTCTCGAACCATGCGTAATGCTTTCGCTTTGAAGTCATTTGTCGGTTGTTGCCCAAAGCCATGGATAAGAGCATCTGTAATATAGATATTTGCAATAAAGTATAGGATCTTTATATAGTCGGCGTCTGGCGACTTCTGTACTAGAGCCCCACTTAAAAAGATAAATGCCACTGAATGATATTGGTACGAAGGCTGTACGGCAATCGGAAATTTCGGCGATTCGGCTAATGGCAAATTACCGATCGAAATTTTCTTCGGCAATTTGAAAAACCGGCAATTTCGGCAATCGGCAATTCCATTGCCGCACAGCCCTGATTGGAACCAAATAATCAACAAGCTTTAAACTTAGGAAGTACTTTATAAAGACTTCATTGCGCATATTTTTCTAATTGAAACCATTTCTGGAGTCGAACAGGCCAATTTTTGATGATAACAACTTACAAATTGCGCGTACGAAGGTTTAGGAATTGGCGTTGATTTTGTTGTTTGTGAGGACTGTGGAGAAAAATTTTTTTGCTGAGTTGGCGAGTAAATTGGACTATCTGGATCTGAAGTGTCGAGCGAATTTGGTTCCATGTTAGGGACTTCTGGTTCTTTGTTATTGACTTCTAGAGCAGTTTCAGTTATATCTGACAACACTCTCGATCTTGTCTTCATCTGTAAAAAATTTCAAAACATTATGTTTTATTAAAAGAAAAAAGCGAGCGATAATAAAAAATATGTTAAAGTAAATAAAAATAAAACGGATTCGATGAGAAATTAAACACAATTCGATTGAGAAAATATTTAAATTCGATTTTAAAAGTGTCGGAAACGATTTGAAAACATCGTATCGATTTTAAAATTTTCGAATGATGATAAACATGAAAATGATAAACATGAAAATTTTTCCTTTATTTTTTAAAAACATTTTTCCTTTAATTTTGAAAAAAATTCATTAATTTTTGACAAAAAAAAACACAAAAAATCTTGAAAATTCATTGAGAAAAAGCAAAAGGACAAAAATTTTGAAAACGAATTTCGAAAATGTGAGGCGTGGCCGCATTGTGCAAAGCGGCGCACGGTTTTGCAATGCTGCGGCACGCCTCTTCTACGCGCGTCTGCTACCAGTTTGGAGCAAATTGTGAGTAGTTTGCGATGCCAATTTCAGAAAAACCGGCAAAAATATATTAATACGACTAAATTGTAGTTGGCAATCTTTAAACAAAGTGAGGAACAGTTGACTGAATTAACATAAATCTGAGTAGCATAAGTCATTAAATGGTAGAAGCTAAATTTCGTATGTTGTGTATCATGTAATTTTCAAATTTTCATTGTTTATATGATAGCATAAGTTTTTTGTATTGATTTTTCTAGAAATTGTCTTGGTCTGCCGTCCAGACGCCAATTGTATAATGTTTATTGACATATGATTATTTTATCCATATTCCATCCATATTCGTTCCACGGCTCGCAAACACCGGAAGCATATTCATCCCGTTTTCATTCCATCCATATTCGTCCCATAATTCTTCCACAGCCACTAATAATTACATTATGCTTCCTATATGGAAGCATTATGCTTCCGTTCCACAGATTTCCCACAATACTTCCATTATGCTTGCGTCGCGCTTAATCAGTGCACACATGCCACATGCCGTGGTGGAGTTGAAGTGCATATAAGAAACCCCTCCTTCAAATTTTGCAACCAATCTTCAATTTCAGACATCGCCTCGACGAGTTCGGTGGATTCCGGCCATCAGGATGATCATATGAACACGTCGATGGATAGCCCAACAAGTCCAGTAGTCAAAAAGCAAGCGCTTTCGGCAAAACGTAGTCCAACAAAAAAGAGGACCCGTTGAAAAAAAAAAGTGGAAATTTTCAGCGTCCAACGAGCCATTGAGTGTTAGCGTCGATAGTGTGTCGTCGACGTCCGATTTGCCGTCGTCGATATCGTCGTCGAACTCGTTCGTCTTTCACAATTTCGATGCGTCGGATGTCGAGCGACAAATCGAGGAGCTCAAAACGGCGTCGTGTCTCGCGGTGATGCCCGACGCCAATGGAATCGTCGACGCCGAGAAGATCCGCGTTCAACTTGAAGCCGTCCGAAGGCAAATGGAAGGTGTTCAGTATATGATCAAGGAAGCGCAAGGCGAGCTGCGATATGCTCAGCAGCAGCAGCAGCAGCAGGATTCCGAGCCATCGCCAAGCTCGTCATATGATGACGCGAAAGATCGACGTCTCCACAATTGTACGCATCCGAATTGCGGCAAAATTTACACCAAAAGCAGCCATTTAAAGGCGCATTATCGTACGCACACCGGCGAGAAGCCATATGAATGCAGTTGGCCGGGATGCGAATGGAGATTTGCTCGATCCGATGAGCTCACAAGGCATTATAGGAAGCATACAGGTAGGATTGAACACGCGAAAACAAATCATCAAAGCATTCTTATATAATTTCAGGTGATCGCCCGTTCAAGTGTCCCGAATGCAATCGCGCGTTCTCCCGCAGCGATCATCTATCGCTTCATGTAAAACGACACCAATAATTTAATTAATAATTGTTTCTCATTTGTTTTGTCTATTTTACGGGTTCCCCTCCCCCTCTCTTGAACATAACCTCCGGTGCTTCCCCTCGCCCCCCCACCACACATCCAAAGAGTCACGGAATAAACGAGTGACGAAACTTCTAGTTATGATATATATATATATCACTGACGAGTTGGTCTTGCCTAGAATTCCGGGTAAAACCAATTAATAAAGAATAATGATTCATGATAACAAACTGTAAATAACAATCAGAAGAGATTCGCGTATATGTCGTCGCGAGGCGGCGGCGGCGGAATGTCGGCGGCTGGAAGCACGTAGAGCTCATGCTTCGGAAGCACGATGGGCTTTGGGCGATGCTTGTGCTTCTTCTCAATTCTCCTTGGCTTCGGCTCAATGAGCATTCGAGAAGGGGCCTGTAATCGAAAGAAAAACAAAGGTTTAGAAGATTTTCAAGAATTTCCAAACCGGTTTTTTCATTTTGTGATATTTCTTCTTTCGCTTCTTTTTCGGGCCCCTCTTCCTCTCGTCCGATTTCTTCTCGTCTGACTGCGAATCTGAATGAGGACGACGCTGCTGGTGTCGTCGCGGCGTCGGCGGAGAATCCTGCAACGAACTATTCGACGATGCCTATGAACAGCATCACGATCGTACGTCATCGTCGTCATCCTCTTCGCGACTACGCGCTTGTCTTGAATCACAGCAACCCATTTGGAATAAACTTTTAAAAAAATTATAGAAATGAGACAAATTGTTTTCGATCGCCGAAAGGTCGAACACGCTCGATAATGCTTGAATGTGTGTTTTTCCTGCTGAATTCAGTCGTTGGATTTTGACGATTTAATTTGGCCAAGTTTCCGCAATGTCAGACCCTCTCGTAAAATTTCGTTTTTTTTTCGAATTCCTACATCAAAGTATACCTGCACTATCAAGTACAATGTTCGGGCAGAGGTCGGCGAGGTCGATAATTCGAAGACTATTGAAGGCCATTGGAAATTTAAAACTGAAAACCAATTAATTTAATTAATTAAAAATATTAAGAACTTATAAAAAATTTGAAATAATTTTTTCCCAAACCTTCCATAAAACAGTGAAGTTTAATTAAATTTTCGAAATTTTAAAATAATTTTTACTCAAATTTTAATAAATTAAAGTTTAAATGAATCGAAAAAAAGAACAATGATATATTTTCAATAAAAAATGGAAAAAAATAATCCCAAAAATTATTTTTATTTTGCACAGTAATCAATTCAATTCGTGACCGCGAAATAAAAAATCTACGCGCCTTTAAATGTGTTACGGTAGTAAAATAATTTTCAGCGATTTTTTCCAGGTTTCTTCGATTGGAAAATCGCGAAAAAAAACTATCCAACTACTTAAAATGTTCAAAACACACGCAAGCACGAATTTATTTGTTTTCTCTGGTATGACTCATTTACGCAACGTTTTATTGATTTCCTTCCGCATATAATTTTTTAAAACAAAATTTGAGCACCCCTCTTCCAATCCATTATATATCGTTTTTGTGTAAAAATTTGCATTGCGCACTTTTTGCCAAGATTATTCAAACAACGGCGATTCGTCGGGTTGGCCACGGCGAGATCGGCCCCGACTTTACACTGTGCTCTATGGCTCCGGCGCGGCTCTCTCGAACATTCGCCATCATCCACTATTGCATAGTGACATTTTACTCAATTTACCATTTTTTAATCGAATTTTTGCCGAAAAATTGTTTAATTTTCGAAATTACAAAATTAATTTTCTATTTTTCTTTGTTATGGTCCTTCAATCTTTTAAATATTTTAGGCCCATCATTTTTCTACTAGAATGAAACAAAAAACGTAGTAAGGTTGTGCAAATAAACCAGAAATCTTTATCCTGCTTTTCAACACTTACTTTTGCGCCATCGGGAACCTTCCAGACTTGTTGCAACTCGATGGTGGCCGAATTTTCCGAAATTCCGTTTTTTTTTTCAAAATCAAATTAATGAAAATTTGAGGACAATTTTCGGTGCAATATATTGAGTAGTGAATGCGGATTTTTCAAACTACAGTACTCATATTAAACAATCCCGATTATTAATTTTTCCGTCCTTTTTTGCTTTTCATTGTTTCTCGTAACTATTTCCGTTCTACTTTTTTTTAATTTTAAGTAAAAATCACGTTTCAAAACACAATTTTATCATTTATAGTACGCAAACAGTAAAAAAAATAGTGTCGTTGTGGCCTAAGAAATATCTTTGGTGAACTTCGTCCATTGGTTGAAGGTCACCATAATTCAAATTTATTTTTTTTTTGAACTAGAAATGTACTGATTTCAACGCGATTTTGTCAACGAAATTTCATAGAACTTTTACAGCGTAATGGTCAGCCAAATCCAAGGCGCCGAACAAATACGCGATGAAGGAAACGAGGCGATGAAGGCGCAGGAATACGCAAAAGCCGATGAGCTTTATACAGAGGCTCTTCAGCTCACAACAGATGATGACAAATCGCTCAGGCCGGTTTTATATCGAAATCGAGCTCTGGCGCGTCTGAAGCGCGACGATTTCGAAGGAGCACAATCGGATTGCACAAGAGCGCTCGAATTCAACGGCGCCGACGTGAAAGCACTGTTTCGCAGAGCTCTGGCTCGCGAGCAGCTCGGACTTGTAGGTCCAGCTTTCATGGACGCTAAAGAGGCTTCAAGACTCTCCCCTGGCGACAAGTGAGTGTAATTACATTAATTATCTAGTTAATTAGTTGCAGAGCGATTTGTGAAGCACTCCAAAGACTGGTTAAGGCGAACAATGAGAAAATCAAGCAAGCAACATCAATGGAAAACAGGGTAATTGGCTAATTGACTAATTAGGCAAGCTAATTGAATAATGATAGGTTGATGAGATGCAGCGGCTCGCCTTCAAAGGTGAAGCCAAGGATTCCGAGCAGAAGCTGACGGCAATGAGCAACTTGTTGGTGTTATGTAGAGAATCCGAGTCGGGAGCGACAGGAGTCTGGAGAAATGTGAGGCGAAAACTTGAGATATTTAAACTGAGATAGTAAACGATTTAGGGTGAGCTGGTCCCATTCATTTTTGGGCTCATCAACGATCCGAACGAGAATGAGGAGGTTGTCGTGACGGCGACGCGCGTTCTCGACGAGACCCTCAAGAATCATGCGCGATGCATGAGGTTCCTCGCGATGCACGACGCTGACGGTTTGAGGTCGGTGAGAATTGTGGTCCGATTGATGTGCCGAAGAAGCGCCAAAGAGTTTATCGACGCCGCTGGATTGATTGTTCAGCGAGTCTTCAACGCGATGGTCAAAATGGATCGTCAGAAGGAGATGAAGCCTGATCCGGAGGTTGCTGAAGGTAAAACCATTTTTGATTCTTCGATCTGAACAGTCTCGCTTACAGCTAATAAGCTATGGATCGTTCGAGTGCTTCTCGAGCTTCAAGACATGCTCCACGACACGTGCGTCAGCGCCTACGCGCGCGAGACGGTCATCGATTTGTTCCTCAAAAACCTGATGCATATGGACGGCGGAATCCCGCGCGGTTGGTCGTGGAAGCTCACCGAAGAGCGCGGTCTGTTGGCGATGCTCGACATCGCCGCGCAAATTCCCGAACAGTGCGACTATCCGGTGTCGTCGGAAACGCGACAGCATGTGGCGATTTGCTTGCAACGATGGTACGATGATATGGTGTTTGACACGAAGCGCGCGATTTTCAAGGAGAAGCTCGACTCATATTTCGGGTAGGATTGATTTCGATGCCTCGATATTCATGAATCCAACGTTCAGAAGCTTAATGTCCCAAGTCGGTCAGGATAATCGTGATGGCGAGCGGGCGCGAATCAAGCTCGCCTCGTTTCTGATCACCATGCTCCAGGGACCCGTCGATCTCGGCATCGAGCTCGTCACCAATGACCAAGTCACCGCTGTCATGCTTCAGATGGCCTCGTCGGAGAATCAGCTCATGCAGCAAATCGCCGCCGAATTGATTGTGTGCACCGTCAGCAAACACGAGCGCGCGACGACGATGCTCAAGGTTAGGCAATAAAGAAAAAAAAAATGTGTGGAACGTTCGAAGGCAATCCGAATTGTAGGTCGGCATTCCGGTGCTTCGCGCTCTTTACGAATCGCCGGATGCGAATGTGAAAGTGCGCGCGCTTGTCGGATTGTGCAAAATCGGCGCCGCCGGCGGCGACGACATCTCAAAAGCGACGATGCGCGAAGAAGCGGTGCTGAATCTCGCGAAGACGTGCAAGAAGTTCCTTCTCGATCCGAACAAGTACTCAGTTGATATTCGGCGATTCGCGTGCGAAGGCCTCTCCTATTTGTCGCTCGACGCCGACGTCAAAGAATGGATCGTCGACGACTCGCTGCTTCTCAAAGCGCTCGTGCTTCTCGCCCAAAAAGCGGGCCCGTTGTGCGTGTACACGTTGGCGACGATCTACGTGAACTTGTCGAACGCTGTCGAGAAGCCGAAAGTCGACGAGGAGATGGTGAAGCTCGCGCAGTTCGCGAAGCACCATGTGCCCGAGACGCATCCGAAAGACACCGACGAGTTCATCGAGAAGCGTGTTCGCGCGCTCGTCGAGGAGGGCGCCGTGCCGGCGTGTGTGGCCGTCAGCAAGACGGAGAGCAAGAACGCGTTGGAGCTCATCGCCAGGTCTGCCAATTATTTTTTTTTTTCGCGAAGCATCTCCCAATTGAACGATTCAGAGCGTTGCTGGCGTTCGCGGAGTACGAGGACCTACGCGGTCGGATCATCAGCGAGGGCGGCAGCAAATTGTGTCTGATGCTCACCAAAGAGGCGACGCCCGAAGGCAAAATCAAAGCGGCTCACGCCATCGCGAAACTCGGCGCCAAAGCCGATCCGACGATCGCGTTTCCCGGCCAACGCGCGTATGAAGTGGTGAAGCCGCTTTGCGATCTACTCCATCCCGACATTGAAGGCAAAGCGAATTATGACGCGCTGTTGACGCTGACGAATTTGGTAGACTACACATTTTTGCAATTTATCATGATGGTCCCCAACCGTTCTGAATTCTAGGCGAGCGTCAGCGACTCGATTCGCGCGCGAATTCTCAAAGAGAAAGCGGTGCCGAAAATCGAGGATTTCTGGTTTATGACGGACCACGAGCATTTGCGCGCCGCCGCCGCCGAGCTTCTCCTCAACCTGCTATTCCATCCGCAATTTTTCCAAGAAACTATCAAACCCGGCACCGATCGCCTCAAATTGTGGGTGTTGTACGCGGCCGAGGCCGACGAGCCGCGATTGTCGAGAACCGCGGCCGCGGCGTTTGCGATATTGACCGAAGATGATGGTATTCCTTTTTTTGTTGGTTGCGTTTCAATGAAGACGAAAATTCAGACGCTTGTCAGCGAGTGCTCGACGAGATCAAATCGTGGCCGGAGGTGTTCAAAGAAATCGCGATGCACGAAGACGTCGAGGTTTTCCCCCGCCAAAAAGCTCGATGGCCCATTTCGTTTTCTTTTTGTTTTCCAGACTCAACGACGCGGATTGATGGGAATTGCGAACATCATGGTGACGAATGAGAAGCTGTGCGCCGAAATTGTCGCGGTGAGACCCGAGCGAAATTTTGAGAGAGATAGAAAAATTGCAATTTCAGTCGGAGATCTTTCGGATTTTGGTGGCCGTCACCAAATTGGGATCGATGAATCAGGAGAGAGCTGGAGCCACCGAGCAGGTTTGAATTGATGACCCACACGATGATGTTGGACGGTTTTAGGCGAAACGCGGTCTCGACGCGGCTGAAAAGTTTGGATTGATAAAGGCGACCGATCGCGAAATGTACGAACGGGCCAACAATATGAGCACGATACGAGAGGAATAGCAATGCCCGAAGTTTGAAGCATAAATTATTGTGATGTCTTTCGTCGAACCTAGTCGCCTACGCTCATTGATGATGATGCCTTATTGTATAAAATCGGTTTTGTTGATGGAAATTTGATTTACTCATAATTTGAAAAAATGTTTTTTTTGTAGTTTTCACCGATTCTGAAGCCAGCTTTTCCTTTGACATCATAAAGATTGAAGGGATTTTAAGTTGGGTGGGTCATCCAATTAGCGGTAATTTAAATCTTCATTGTTAAATTATTGAAAAAAAATGTGGATGGCGGTAATTCGAATTTTGATTTAACGACCCCCCCTTTTTTTTTTCATAGAATTTTGATTTCCAATTTGGTTTCTATGATATTTGAGGCTACCCGCCTCCTCCCTTTAAGGTTCTCAGTTTTTTTTTCAAAAATAAACACGTAATCGCAAGCAAAATCAAATTTTGATAGCCTTTGTGGCCGAAATTGTGTTGCACGCGAAAAACGCCAACAGCAGTTCACTGGCACACTTTGAGTGCGCGGTTTCGTGACATTTCTCTCATTCGGCCGGTGCAATCATCGAATTTCGTACTCGAGACTAATATTCTCGAATTTTTGGGGCGTTTTCGCCCCAAATAGGCGCCAGAAGGGGAGGTTAGTCTTTTTTGAATTTTCACGCAAGATTTGAACTCATTTTTTTCTAATTATTAGAAGAATATTTCGCGTCGCAAGACCACAAAATAAAATTAAAGGCGCACGCCGTTGAGTGGTCTTTTTCGCACTTTCAAAGCGTGCGTTTAAAGGCGCATGCCGAGTAAATTCTGGAGGAAATATTGCGATGAGATGGGAGGGGTCTCCAAATTTGGCGAAACGAGCTCATGCGAAATAATACTCGTTCGACTCGTTCACTGGAGCGCACTTGCTTCACTTTTTGTTTTTATTTTTTTTTTCTCACGTGTTTATTAAATTATTTTCAGGATAAAAAAATAATAGTCGGATAGGATAATTGGGCAATTAGAAGATCGTCCCTATTTCCCGGACCATTGATGTTTCCGTCATAACTGTGGTAGTGAACACCCCATATTTGGCAGCAGAAGCAGCACCGATCCAACAAGGGACCAAAAAGGCGCGCTAAGCAGCATGGGCGAACATCGCCCCACCGTTCCTCTTTATGGGAATAATTACAGTGAAGGTGAGTTCGAGAATTTTGCAAGCCTTCTGGAAATTCGATTTCAGAGTGAGCAAACTCGAAAGTTTTTTTTTGGGCATGACAATGGCATAACAGCCATAATTAGCGATGGTTCCCTTATATGGGAAATAATAGAAGCTAGTGTTGGCTCAGGAATCACAGTAATTAGAAGATCAAGCCTTAATTGGGCAATTAGAAGATTTTCTATAATTGGGAAGAAGAACAACCTTCCCATTTATGAAGAAAATACATATAGAAGCGAGCTTCGGCTCAACAATCCCAGTAATTGGGTAATTAGCAGCAACTTTAATTGGGCAATTAGATGAACGTCGAGAGTCCGACCGTATGGCCTCAAAACGGGATTTTAGTTGCCGAATGGAAAATGGTAAGAATTTGAGACAAAATTTTGGAAATATTGAGATTTTCAGATAACAAATCATTTCCCTTAATTGGGTAATTAAAAGAAGAAGAAGCCTTAATTAGGCAATTAGAAGACCATCCTTAATTAGGAGGAAGAGATCAATTAATCCCTTATGGGGTGAAATATAGAAGCGAGCTTCGACTTAGCGATCCCAGTAATTCGATAATTAGAAGCAGCAACTTTAATTGGGCAATTTGAAGATCGCCCACTAATTGTATTCCGATTTGAACATTTTAGGTAATTTTTCGTCAATTTTAAGCCTAATTTAAAAATTTCAGCCAAATCTAGAAATCCAACAAATTCGAGAATGTTTCCCTTAATTGGGCAATTAGAAGACCCTCTCTCCAATCAAATGGGTTCAGTAGTATGGTCTTTAGACCAAAAAGCAAAGAGAAAAAATTTAAGGTAAATTTCTTGCAGTCTTTATCAAAAAATATTGAAATTTTCCAGGAAAAGCTGAGCAACACGGCGATTTTCGCACCGAGTCGTTCAATTTTGACTTTTCGATGTACGAAAATTCGGGTTTAAGCTGAAACTCGAAAAAAAAAGCCGTCACCGAAAGGCAGGCCACCGCAAAATATCCGCTCTGTCTGCGTCTCGTTCCATCACACGCTCTCTCGGTTGTACACACTGTTTCATATTCAATAAAAATTGCATTCATTTTAATTATTTTCTCAATTTCAGGTCATTTTTCATAGTTTTCAATAATTAATATCAAGTTTCATCAAATTTCCGTAAAATTTAAACCAAAAGCAAAAGAAAGAAGAGGGAACAAATTAATTTTGGGTATTTTGATGGTAAGGGACAATTATTTTCAATATTTTTAAACTGTTTAATTAAAAAGATTTTTTTTTCGAGTTAATGCTGTTTGATAATTGAAAAAAAAAACAAAAATGTTTATTAGAAGAAATAATAAATATTTTGACTATTCATTCATTATTATTCTGAAAATTTGAAAAAATATTCAAAAAAAACTCCTCGCAAATCTCTCACTTACACTCATTTTTCCATCATTTTGAAATGTCGACAGAAATTTTCGAATAAAAGTGTCGGAGTTGCTCTTCCACGAGCTCAACGTGTCGCGCACCGAATCCATCGCGTTCTCAATCTCGTATTTTCGCGCCTAAAATCGATGAGCCAATTTGATTTATCGTATTCGAGAAATTCGAACTCACCGCAAGGAAGCCGACATTCAATTCTTTTGGCGTGTAGCCGCGTTGAAGATTCCGACGAACATAGACATCGTAGTCTTTGACAATTCGACAGACGACGTCGCTCGTCGAGACTCCGTCGGTTCGTTTCGTTTCAAGGAACATGCCTGAAAATGACAATCGAGATTGAAAAGAAAAGTTTTTAAAATTTGTTAGAAACAGAATTTCGTTTTTTTTTTAATTTCATACAATTTTGAAATTCCACAAAGGATAGTCTGAAATATTAAAAACTCTAAAAATTGTTGGTCATCCGAATCGCCCAAAACTCACCAGCTTCTTTGAATGGCGCATAGACGTCGTCCTCTCCTTGGCAAGCATACGGCAACGCGTCATGTGCAACAAAATCAATCTTGAAAAAAAAACACACACCGAATTATTTAAAGCAAAAATTGAGTGCTAGGCAACCTTTAATTCCTTCACAAAATCGAGTCCAATTTGGAATGGCGAGTTTCGATAAACCTCGTCGACATAACGGCAATGTCGGACCGCTTCGAATCGCTCTTCTTCCGGCACCACCGTTCGTCCTTTGTTCACATGAGTGCCCTCGTCGCCGCAAACTAAAATTTCGGGAATTTATTGAGAAAACAGAAAAAAACGGGTTTCAAAAAGGTTTTCACAATAAAATTAAAAAAAATTGAATTTTTGCTTCAAAAAAAAAACAACAGTAGTTAACATTTGCGCGTCAAGAGCCTTGAGAAATTATGCGCAATGCGCCTTTAATCGCATTACGGTAATTCAATTTAAATGTTTGTCAAAAGCCAAAGAGGAAATAAAAAAGAAAAATGGAGAAAATTTCAATGCTGAAAATATCTATTCGTTTTTTTCTTTTTTTTTATTGTATTGGCAATTCAGAAAATAAATGAGATTTCTTATATTTTAGGAAATTTTAAAATCCAAAAAAAATTCAAAAACAAATTCGACGTTCGTCTGTTTTTAAAAATATCTCGAAAATCACATTTCATTCAAATCGCCTCACCGCCGGCAATCAAGTAGACCCTCGGAAACATGCTTTTCGCCTGTCTGAGCTGATTGGCGTGGCCGTGATGAAACAAATCATAAACGCCATCCGCATAAATTCGAATCGGCCTTCCCGCTGAAATTCGCCAATTCATTTATGCAAGAGAGAGAGAGAGAGAGAGAGAGAGAGAGAGAAAGAGAGTGCGATGCAAATGCGCTCTATTGCAAATTCCATTCGTTCTTATTTATTTCCAATTTTTTTTGCTCAAATCGCCAACCTTCATCATTCTTGGCCATTTCCATCGTGATCCTCTTGGAATAGTCGATCGTCTCACGCTCAGCAACAATCGCCGGATCATCGCTGAAGGGAGCCGGCGTGCCGCCAGCCAAATCCAGTGCCTAAATCAGAAATTTTTGACTGAGCCAAAAAAAAAACTGAGGAATGCCTACCTGACGCTGATCGAATGGGATTCGCACGTTCGTCATTGCTGAAATTAATCCATTCGGATTCTGTATCGCGCCTCGTTTATATAATAATTTTGCGAGATCAAAGTTCAATAATTGGGATGGGCCGCGATTCTAATCGCGAGGCATTGGATTATCTGACAGTTGGATCGGATCGACAAAAACTACCCAGGAACCAGCTCAAGTGGTATCGCATCCCCGTCAAAGTCTAAAACACATTTTTTTCCCAGAAGGATCGGACGATGTATTCTCGTGGATCCTGTTTGGAACTTTGACAATCCGAAAATCTCTTATTAGACAACCTTTCATCTCCCCAATATTGATTATTCGAGTTTACCAGTTTCGCAAAATTCCATTCTTCACGTCCAGTGGATCAGTGAAGGCCGTGTCATGATATCATAAAAATAATATAATTTTTTTAATGTTCAAGTCGCCTCTCCGTTCGAAAGAACTCTTCCCCTTTGAATTTCATCTCAACATGATTGCAAAAAAAATCGGCGAGAAGAGGCAACGAACCCAACTCGGTAGAACTGATTGGAAGCCGCGCGGACGAAAAATTCAGACGCCACGCAGACACCAGGCGGACACCATTTTCCTTCCGCGCGGTGTTCGCATAGAGCGTCCGCGCGGTGTTCGCATAAGACGTCCGCGCGGTGTTCGCAAAGGAAGTACGCTCGGTGTTCGCAAGAACCATCCGCTTGGTATCCAAAATGTATTTCCGAAAGATGCTCGAATTAATGGCTAATTGTAAGTACACAGAAAGTAGATAACAACATTTATTTGGTTAAATGAAAACAATCAATCAGAAAACATAGATTTACACACACAATCGAGGCTTAGGCGAATTCTTGTTCCCTGAAATCATTTTATACGCATTATTGAAATTCAGTTTATGTACCTATCAGATTCAAACACTCAACTCGATAGAGCTACAGTGTTGGCCATAATTCTGTCCAAAACCACATTTTCAGCCATAACTTTTTCCAAAGTTGTCCGATTGACCTGAAATTTTAACAGAATACGCAGAGCAGTCTTTCGACAGTTTGTATCTTTTTAAAATTTTTCTTAAGTTTTAAATTTTTTTCTCGAGTTTTGGTTTTTTTGAATTTTCAGTTTTTTCTTAATGATTATTGTAATGTATAAGACGCCTCTAGCAGGTCATAATATTTTGAAAATTGCTCAAAAACATGGTCAAACCTTCTGGCAACAATTTCAATGCTCAATATCTTCTGTTTATAAAGCACTGAAACGTTATTTCTCAAATGTAACGGTTGTAACGTCAACTAACATTTAGACTCTTGTAACTACAGGGTCGGGCATAATTACCGGTAATTTTTTTGCGCCATGGTGACTCATGATGTCGCGTTTTTTTGTGAGCTCACAATTGTTTTCCAGTTGTTTAATGTGTTTTCTATTGTTTTTCCAAGTTTCGGACAAAAATACTAATTTTCTGCCAAATGGTAAAGGCTAGTATCCATCGAGTCACTATTTGCTCGCTATTCGATCAATGAGTCAAAATTCCCTTAATCATCAAGCGCCTCAAACTCCCTCCGAACTAGGGCTGTGCGGCAATCGGAAATTTCGGCCATTCGGCAATTTGCCGATCGAACGTTCTCTTCGGAAATTCGGAAATTTCGGCCAATCGGCAATTCCATTGCCGCACAGCCCTACTCCGAATACCGTTTATTCGACGATTTGCCGATATCAGGACACTGGAGGACTTGATGACAGGTCTGGGAGAGGAAGAAAAGTTTCTGTTACGACCCTAACTAAGGTGAAAGCCGTGAAGGAACGAGAGAGACGAAACGCTCATCGGAGCCTCACAACGAGGGCTCATGAGATGGGAATGTCCCGAAGGTCGATAACAAGGATTGTCAAAGATAAATTGGGTCTCACCCCATATCGTGTGCGAAAAGAAGCTATTCTCTCGGCAGCCAATAAGCAAAAAAGACTCGAAAAGAGAAAACTTCTTGTGGAGCGCACGCGAGCCGGCGAACATTTGGTTACCGTGTTCTCCGACGAGAAGCTTCACAGTCGAGCAAGAATTCAACTCCCAAAATCAAAGGGTTCTTGCTAAGACCTCCCAAGATGCTTGCGGTGGTGGATGATTACCCAAAACGTCTTCGAGCCGTCATCAAGCAGAAAGATGGCCGAGTTGAACAACTTTAGTATTTATATGTTTGTTATTACCCAGATAAACTTTAAGTTGAATCTCAACTTGTTCTGACTTTTACTTTTTGAAATTTAAAGAAGTGGATTGGTAAATTAGTTGGACATAGCATCAGACTCAGGTAAATCGAATAAAATATTTTGAGATTCATTGAGAAACTAACATGTCTATTTTAGAATTTTCTCAATCAACTTTAGAAATTATTATAATGGACCTATTCATGCAATGAAAAAAATTAAAAAAAAAAAAAAACAATTTTTTACATTTGAATTCCCTATGCACGCAAGTCGAAAATTACAAAAAATTGACGCGATACCACACAGAATGAAAAATAAAAATTACAGTATCGACTTTGTGTCGTGACCCGCGCAAATTTTCGCGTGCGCCTTTAAAAATAAATAGCGGAGAATTACGATATATCGCGTCATTTTTTTGTAATTTTCGACGTGCGTGCATAGGGAATTCAAATGAAACAAATTGAATATTTTTCAATATTTTTTTTCATTGCATGAATAGGTCCATAAGATTTTAGAATTTATTGAGATAATTTAGAATTTGCTCAATAAATTTTAGAAAATTTTATAAGATTAAAAAAATATTTTTAAGTTTAGCGATTCTCAATAAGTTGATTCTCAACATATTTTATTTGATTTGCCTGAGAGAAACATTGTTAAAAAATTTCAGATCAATCGGCCAACTTCGAAATAAAGTTATGACTGAAAATGCGGTTTTGAATTTTTATATGGTAGTCAAAAATGTTTCTAAAAAACTTTAAACGGGTTTTCAATAATTGATGAATTTTGTGTCACAAGGGATAATTTTTTCCCTTTTCCAGTTTCGCGTAAAATAGAGCAGAAAAGTTGTGGAGAGAATTCCAAAATTTGAAGCAAAAACGGTCTTTTTGATTATAATTTAAAAAATAAAAGAATACTCACATCACAGGATTACTGGTAGACTCGATCAGCTCCTTTAATTGTGCATCCAGCGCTTCCGCGACATCTGTAACATAGAAATTCGCAATAAAATATAAGACCTTAATAAATACACACAAAGTAGATGATAGACAAATTTTTTCTTTAATTTTTGAAAAAAAAAAACACTGAAAAATCTTGAAAACTCATTGTAAAAAAGCAAAATTAAATAAAGTGTTGAAAACGAATTTCGAAAATGGGAGGCGTGGCCGCATTGTGCAAAGCGGCGCACTGTTTCGCAACGCCGCGGCACACCTCTTTTAAATCAGTGTTGTCCAATTGGTTACCGCACATCTCAGCGGTAACTAATCGGAAATCACTTATAGATGCCTGCAGGGCTATACGCCAGACGAGCAGACAAATTTTTCATCGCGGTGTCCGTGCGGACGGGATCTGGTGTCCAATTGGTCAATATCGTCCGCGCGGTTTCCAATCAGTTCTACCGAGCAAAATCGTTTGCGTGACAGCTTACGCGCAATCCCCTGCGCCATCGGTGCTCCACTGATTAAGCGCGACGCAAGCATAATGGAAGCATTGTGGGAAATCTGTGGAACGGAAGCATAATGCTTCCATATAGGAAGCATAATGTAATTCTTAGTGGCTGTGGAAGAATTATGGGACGAATATGGATGGAATGAAAACGGGATGAATATGCTTCCGGTGTTTGCGAGCCGTGGAACGAATATGGATGGAATATGGATAAAATAATCATATATCATTACACATTATACAATTGGCGTCTGGACGGCAGACCAAGACAATTTCTAGAAAAATCAATACAAAAAACTTATGCTATCATATAAACAATGAAAATTTGAAAATTACATGATACACAACATACGAAATTTAGCTTCTACCATTTAATGACTTATGCTACTCAGATTTATGTTAATTCAGTCAACTGTTCCTTACTTTGTTTAAAGATTGCCAACTACAATTTAGTCGTATTAATATATTTTTGCCGGTTTTTCCGAAATTGGCATCGCAAACTACTCACAATTTGCTCCAAACTGGTAGCAGACGCGCGTAGAAGAGGCGTGCCGCAGCATTGCAAAACCGTGCGCCGCTTTGCACAATGCGGCCACGCCTCACATTTTCGAAATTCGTTTTCAAAATTTTTGTCCTTTTGCTTTTTCTCAATGAATTTTCAAGATTTTTTGTGTTTTTTTTGTCAAAAATTAAAGAATTTTTTTCAAAATTAAAGGAAAAATGTTTTTAAAAAATAAAGGAAAAATTTTCATGTTTATCATTTTCATGTTTATCATCATTCGAAAATTTTAAAATCGATACGATGTTTTCAAATCGTTTCCGACACTTTTAAAATCGAATTTAAATATTTTCTCAATCGAATTGTGTTTAATTTCTCATCGAATCCGTTTTATTTTTATTTACTTTAACATATTTTTTATTATCGCTCGCTTTTTTCTTTTAATAAAACATAATGTTTTGAAATTTTTTACAGATGAAGACAAGATCGAGAGTGTTGTCAGATATAACTGAAACTGCTCTAGAAGTCAATAACAAAGAACCAGAATTCCCTAACATGGAACCAAATTCGCTCGACACTTCAGATCCAGATAGTCCAATTTACTCGCCAACTCAGCAAAAAAATTTTTCTCCACAGTCCTCACAAACAACAAAATCAACGCCAATTCCTAAACCTTCGTACGCGCAATTTGTAAGTTGTTATCATCAAAAATTGGCCTGTTCGACTCCAGAAATGGTTTCAATTAGAAAAATATGCGCAATGAAGTCTTTATAAAGTACTTCCTAAGTTTAAAGCTTGTTGATTATTTGGTTCCAATCAGGGCTGTGCGGCAATGGAATTGCCGATTGCCGAAATTGCCGGTTTTTCAAATTGCCGAAGAAAATTTCGATCGGTAATTTGCCATTAGCCGAATCGCCGAAATTTCCGATTGCCGTACAGCCTTCGTACCAATATCATTCAGTGGCATTTATCTTTTTAAGTGGGGCTCTAGTACAGAAGTCGCCAGACGCCGACTATATAAAGATCCTATACTTTATTGCAAATATCTATATTACAGATGTTCTTATCCATGGCTTTGGGCAACAACCGACAAATGACTTCAAAGCGAAAGCATTACGCATGGTTCGAGAAGTCATGGATAATCTTCTGTAAGATTTTGAACTATGACTATTAATTTATTTATTTGATTAAGCGATAGAATGCGCCAACGACTTTAAAGGAAATTTGGTGTAGCGCCGGAAGCGCTCGCGGCGCAATTAAGGAAGCTGCTTGATTCTACCAGCAACCCTCAGATGTGAGTATTCATATGTCTTTGAAATTTTAACCAAAATGCCTTTTTGCTTCAAATTTTGGAGTTGTTCTTTCTTCCGCCAATTCACTTTTTATTTTGTGCACTAAAGGGTTTCCAAAAATGCAATAAAAATAAATTATTTTTATTTTTAAGAAAATTATTGATGTAAAAAAACTGATTGTATTTTCTCGAAAAATTTAGTTTACGTAACAATGGTTTACAAGTTTTTCAAATTAATAGGCCCATTATAATCTACTTATTACAGCGTCCCGCTCGATGTCAGTACTGACAATGATTCGAATAGTTCGGCAGTTGCCAGTAACTAATGGTTTGATTATATCTTAATTGAAATTCATTTCATTGTTGTTTTTTTTTATTTTAAATTAAATAAATGTGTTAATATGAAATAAATTTTGAATACAGCAATCAAATTGTTTTCTTATTTTCCCATATGGAAGGCATACGGCTCATTCCATATACGAAACACGCGGTTCCGCAAAAAAATGCTTCCATTATGCTTCCATATAACTTGCATATAAGATTCCTATGATATCCACAGCCGTTCCATTATGCTTCCATTGTGCCTATGCTGCCGTTTATCTGTGTCGTCGCGGGGAGCCCTCGGCGCGATATAAGTGCAAGGAGTTGTAATTGCGAAACATAAAAGCAATGGTTCAAAAATTCAAATTTCGGATTCATCATTTTTCAAAAATTCGAAGAAATTCCCAGCAAGAAAAAGTTTCTCGGTAGATAAAAAATGAAATATGGAAATCTGGAAGCGATTAGTGATGACGTAATCCGGAAAATGTCTTTTAATTGTGAATAATTTTGTTTCGGACTAGCAGGGGGGGGGGTATAATTTTGGAATCAAAAGAATTTGGAAGAAAGGAAGTAAAAATGCTCCAAAATGAGCCAACCACTAAAAACGCGGTTGCTCGGCGAGAGAAATTGGCCGGAGAGGAGCCTGATAAGACCAGGCGTACTAAATTGCGAGTTCTAAGATTAATTTGATAAAATTCATTTTCAAATCGAGTCATATTTTGGGAGGGCGTGCGCCTTTAAATTTGCTATCCAACATATTTTTTAAAGGCGCATAGCTGAAAGCTCGATGGAAATGAAAAATCTCCAAAAAAATAAGTGGAAATTCCAAAAATGCTCGAAATTCGACGCGCACACGCGCGCGTGTTGAGACCACGTTTAAAGGCGCATGCTCGTAAATCGACATTGGAGCAACCAAAAAAAAGAGAGACTGGAAATTTACCTTGAAAAATGTGCGTTGAGCAAAAATGCGAAAAATTGTTGAAATGAATGACGTGTCACTTATTTGGTGTCACGTTCGGCTCATTTGTCGACAATTTTCAACATTTTCATTAAAGGCGCATCAGCGGCGTCTCGAAAGGAAAACCCACCGGAATCGATCGCTTCGAGACCCTATGAGCCCAATTTTCGCATGCGCCTTTAATATTTTTGCAACCCAATTTTTTTTGAGAATTTCGAGAAAATCGACACTAAAATTTTTTTCAAACCAGTAAAATCGCGATTTCACATTAAAGACGCATAGCGCGAAAATCGAGTTGGGTCTCGCGCCGGTTGGAATTCTGTGGGTCCTTTTTTTTTTCGCAAGCTCACCAATAAAAACAAGCAATTGTTGACGTGAAAAACGTTCACACGTGGCGAGACCATTTCGAAACGGCATCCCCGTAAATCGACAACAGTCACCGAACGCCGCTCCGTGATTAAGCTGTGAAAGGGTGATGCTGCACTGTGTGACACTGGCTATCAATTTATAGCCACCACTGTCGAGAGGAGGCGTTTTTGGGCTCATAGTCAGCTCGGTAGAACTGATTGGAAACCGTGTGGACGATATTGACCAATTGGACACCAAATCCCGTCTGCACGGACACCGCGATGAAAAATTCGTCTGGCGTATAGCCCTGCAGGCATCTATAAGTGATTTCCGATTGGTTACCGCTGAGATGTGCGGTAACCAATTGGACAACACTGATTTAAAAGAGGTGTGCCGCGGCGTTGCGAAACAGTGCGCCGCTTTGCACAATGCGGCCACGCCTCCCATTTTCGAAATTCGTTTTCAACACTTTATTTAATTTTGCTTTTTTACAATGAGTTTTCAAGATTTTTCAGTGTTTTTTTTTTTTCAAAAATTAAAGAAAAAATTTGTCTATCATCTACTTTATATGTATTTATAAAGGTCCTATATTTTATTGCGAATTTCTACGTTACAGATGTCGCGGAAGCGCTGGATGCACAATTAAAGGAGCCGAGTCTACCAGTAATCCTGAGATGTGAGTATTTTTGTATTTTTTAAATTATAATCAAAACGACCGTTTTTGCTTCAAATTTTGGAATTCTCTCCACAACTTTTCTGCTCTATTTTACGCGAAACTGGAAAAGGGAAAAAATTATCCCTTGTGACAAGAAATTCATCAATTATTGAATACCCGTTTAACGTTTTTTTAGAAACATTTTTGACTACCATATAAAAATCCAAAACCGCATTTTCAGTCAAGATTGATCTGCAATTTTTTGACAATGTTTCTCTCTCCCTGCTGTGAGGTCGTGGGTTCGATTCCGCGCTGCAGCCAACTGTTTTGCTTTCTCGATTGTAAATAAATTTTTTATATATAAAATATGTTGTGCAAACATCCCAAAAGCGATTTCATATTTTGACCATCAAAAATAAACGTTCAATAATTTATGAAAAATCGCAAAAACCAAGACAAACAAACAAATCACCCGCAAAAAAATTGTAAAAAAAGGCACTTTCATGTTTTTCTTTTTGCAAATTTCCTAATTATTTCGAATCGTCGCCATGTATTGTTGGCATTCCGACGGCATCGGCTTCATCGATTCGCACAAATTCTGGCTCAAATCGTAGAGCGCGTCCGAGTTTCGGCGGCCGTCGATGACAATCCACGGGATGAAGTCGATCGGCGGCTCGAGACCCGCGGTTTTTTGGCCCGACAACGCGAGGAGGCGTCGGCCGCGTGGTCCCGTCGCGCATTCGCGCATTCTGCAAAATCCCACACAATTCAAAGTGTCACTTTGGGTCTCGTGTGGAAAACAATTTGGGTGGGGACCCCTTTAAAAAGCAACAATCAATTTTTTTTTGAAAACTGAGATTTCAATTGAATTTTTTATTCTGAAAACCCTTCAAAATCCATTTTCAAGTGCTAAAAATTTCTCGAAAATCTTCAACAATTTCAAAATTTGAAAAATGTGCTCTTATCGCTGAAAATCGTCCAAATTTCCAATTTTCAACTCAAAAATTGTCCAAAAGTCTGAAAATCTTAAAATTTGATCATTTTTATTAAAAAAATTGCTCAAAAATTTTAAAACTATTTCAAAATCGAAAAAGTGGGCTCTAAACGCTGAAAATCGTCCAAATTTCCAATTTTCAACTCAAAAATTGTCAAAAACCCGAAAATCTTAAAATTTGACAATTTTTATGAAAAAAATTGCAAAAAAATTCGCAGAATTCTTAAAATCTTCCAATTTTATCAGCTAGGGTCAAAAATTGCTCAAAAATTTTAAAACTATTTTAAAATCGAAAAAAGTGGGCTCTAAACGCTGAAAACCATTCAAATTTCCAATTTTCAGCTCAAAAATTGTCCAAAAGTCTGAAAACCTCAAAATTTGACCATTTTTATGGAAAAAATTGCTAAAAAATTCTCATAATGCTTAAAATCTTCCAATTTTATAAGCTAGCGTCAAAAATTGCTCAAAAGTTTAAAATTATTTCAAAATCGAAAAAAGTGGTCTCTAAACGCTGAAAATCATTCAAATTTCCAAAAATTTGTCGATTTTCCGCCAAAATCTTTCAATTCCAAAAAATCGCCAAAATCACATACCGATTGGCCTCGACGGGCAAATACTGCTCGACGCATTTGAGGGCTTCATCAATCGAGTGCTTGCCCTGCATACACAGAATCGGCGCGATGTATTTGTCGGGGAATCCGATGCGATCGATCACACAGTTCATCAGCTGATTGATGTCGCATTCGAGCGCGCCGTGCTGACATTCACACCTGCAATCCAATCGAGTCGAGTCGAGTCGAGCACAGCGCGGACTCACTGGAAGTCGGCGGACGTCTCGACGCAGCGCGCTTTGCCGAACGGCACGATCGTCAAATCGAGACGCGTTCGCGACGCGCCCAACACGTCCCACGCCTTGCGCAGCTGCTGACGGAAGAAGCGCGTCGTGTCGGGACACAACGACTCCATGTAGATGTCCAATTTGACGGTGCTCGTCGACGCCGTCATCATCGGTTTTTGATTGACGACGTCGCGTGCCGACGACGACGTCGCCTCATTCGTCGGCTCGATGATTCGGTAGAGGAAGAAGACGGCCAACGCGATGAGACACGCATAAAGGTATTTGCGGAGGCGTGAGCGCGTGTGCGGACGAATGTGCGCTGCAACCATTCGCTTTTTGCTTTGCCTGCTGCCGACATGCTAGCGGGACGGGGTGGATATGATTTACAATTTGCTATCTGCCGACACCCTTGCGGGTTGTCATTTATTAGCTGTGGATTGGTTTTGTGGAGTTGCAGCCGAATTCGATGTTGGGGGTGGGGGTTGTCTTATTTTTCATCTGCGGACATCCTGAGACCCCCCTAAAACTCACGTATAAGCGGCTCGGTGGACTCTCGCGTCAACTTCTTGATCATTATCAAATTGCAATAATAGAGTGCGAGGATGACGAGCAGAATTTTTGAAAAGGGTTCGGCGCGAGCGCGCCGGCGACACCGTCGTCGTGAAACAACCCGTAGACAGATTATGTACACAAACGGAGAAAGAGAGCCTGAAATAATACAATGAGAATTGCAATCAAACGTCAAGTTGTCAATTTCGACGCCAAATATGAGTGGCGACGACGGAAATTTGAGGTTTTGGAAGGTTTGAATCGAATATAAGAACCCGGGAGGTGTCCGCAGCACAAAAAAATTATATGGGGGATAATCAAGGGTTCGGATCGAATATATAAACCCGGGAGGTGTCCGCAGCACGAAAAAAATAATATACGGGTTATCGGAGGTTTTAATCGATTAAAAAAAACCCGGGAGATGTCCGCAGCACAAAAAAATTATATGCGAGTTATCGGAGGTGTTAATCGAATAAAAAAACCCGTGAGGTGTCCGCGGCACGAATAAAAACAATATCGGGAGTTTCAATTTTAGAAGTTTTGTTCAACCAAGAAATTGTCCGCAGCACGAAAAAAAATATTTGAAATAGAAAAATTGACTAATTGTCTCAAAAATTTGATTTTTTTCATTCTCAAAAAATATATATAGTGATGAGCGGGATTTTGAATGAAAAATTGCAATTCGACTAATGTTTAAAGGCGCATAAAACATGCGAATCGCTGTTCAATGCGCCTATAAACAAATGAAGAAATAAAACAAAAAAATATTGTGTCTCATAAATTTTTATGGGATTCCCACGATGTTGCAGGTCTGCAAAAGTGTCCGCAGCACAAAATAAAAAAAAAATCGAGCTACCAGTGAATTGTCGGCAGCTTGATTTTTTCATCTCTCTCTCTCAATCATTTTTGTTGCTTCGCCGCAACAACCCGCAAATTTGTCGGCAGCACGAAATCGATCAAACTCGAAACACAATTTCAAGGGGGTCAGATTGTAATAACAATGAGCATTAAAAAAATCGCGTTAGGTGACCACCGAACGAAATGAGTTGCGGCGACGAGATCGACCGGGGGGAGGCGAGAGAGCACGCCGAATCGAGAGGGTGCGGCGAGACGGCGAGAGAGCGGCGGCGGCGTGAGAGACGCAGAGATGATAGAGCGCGTTTCGGTGAGCTCGTCGTGGGGGCCTCGTTAGTGCTCATCTCATTTTCGAATTTGGTTTAAAGGCGCATACCGTACTTGGGGGAGAATTTCGTCAAATTTTGAGAGCGATATTTTTGGAATTTTAAAAATTTTTTGAAAAAATAACTAATGAAAAATTTAAAGGCGCATACCGTAATATTGGGAATTTTTAAAGGCGCACAACATTTCGAGGCAAACTTTAAAGGCGCATACCGTACTTGGGGAAGGATTTCGTCCAATTTTGAGAGCGATATTTTTGGAATTATGAATTTTTTTTGAAAAAATAACTAATGAAAAATTTAAAGGCGCATACCGTAGTATTGGGAATTTTTAAAGGCGCACAACATTTCGAGGCAAACTTTAAAGGCGCATACCGTACGAGGGAAGATTTTTAAAGGCGCACAGCGATTTTGTTCGTTTTTTTTTTGGAGACGCACACCCAATTTTTTAATTGAATAATTTTTGGGAACTAAATAAAAAATTTAAAGGCGCATACCGTAATATTAGGGATTTTTAAAGGAGCACAACGATCCGAGGCAAACTTTAAAGGCGCATTCCGTACGAGGGAGGATTTTTAAAGGCGCACATCGATTTTATTCAATGTTGAAGGCGCGTACTCAAATGTTTTTTTTTTTAAATCGAATTTTTTGTGAACTAAATGAACAATTTAAAGGCGCATGGCGTTAATTGTGAGGATTTTTGAAAGTGGGACCCTTCAATTGTGTTTCAAATTGAATGAATAAGTTCAATAATACAGAAAAATGTGGAAGACGCTTAAAGGCGCATAGGAAGAGACGTCGAGATTTGGATGATTTGAACGAGTCAAAAAATGCGGAATCGCGTTGAGAAGAGAACGACATCGATGAAAGCGAAAGGCGATGGCTGGCGATCAGCAGGCCTCCGTCGTCTCGATGCGCATCTTAATATTACTCGGACGCTAAAGGGGGGGGGGGTCCGATTCTCCTCCCCCGATGATTGATCGATCGAATCGATATGTTTATTAAATATCGCCGAGCGACCCGTAAACTTGTCGGCAGATGGGAACTCGTAAAACCACTTCCTGAAAATTGTCCGCAGATCGATTTGATAAACGGGTACTCTAGTTGGTTCGATATTTCTTGCAGTTTCATTTCTTCCCGCAAAATGTCCGCAGATGGAGTTTGGATGAGCTCTGTCTGGCATTTTCGGTGGGTGCGGGGCCCCGACGATTGTCCGCAGATCGATTTGATCAACGGGTACTCTGCTAGTACGATTTTTCTTGCAATTTCATTTCTTCCCGCAAAATGTCCGCAGATGGAGTTTTTTTTTGCGCGGCCCCGATAATTGTCCGCAGATGATTGCAAAAATTATGCAATGACGAAAAACGCTCGGCAAAAATTGAGTGGTGTCATGGCTGACTCGAAGCCTCGTTGAAACGCGCGACAATCCTGACGACTTGCCACTCGGCCAACTCGTCGATTGACCAGGCCATCTGAGAATCGAGAGCCAAAAAAATTGACCTGGGGAAAAAAATTCCCAAAACGCGGTTTTTTTTGAAAATGATTTTGAATCGAGTCAAATTCGTGTCGGCCAAGATTCGAATATTTGACGCCGGGGGGTGCTCTCAAGTTCTGGCGGCCCAAATATGGTATTGTGTATTCATGTGGAGGCCATCTTGAAACTGTGACACAATGCGGCCGTTTCGATTCTCCAAAAGTACTCACGACTCTCTCTTTTCGCCTTTTTTTTGTCGCGCGTCGAGCAACGAATTCACCATTTCGAGTTTCTTCGGCAACTCTTGACACTTTTCGCTTCGAGACCCCCACCCCCTCTTTTCCCCACCAGGTTTCGCCACAAGACCTGTGGGTCATCGTTTCAATGGTCCGCAGATTGAATGTGAAGTCGGAGCGCCGGGAGAAGACTCGTTCTCGACTTTTATAAAGTCGTGCTGCGGACAAGTGTCGAGGCCGGCGATTATTTCTCTCCCTTTGAAATCTCATAGATGGACTGGTGAAAGTGTGTTAATTTTTTTTAGAAAATTCATCTCTAAAAATTTTACCCGCGAGTTGTCCGCAGCTTAGAAAATTCATCTCCAAAAAATTTACCCGCGAGTTGTCCGCAGCTTAGAAAATTCATCTCTAAAAATTTTACCCGCGAGTTGTCCGCAGCTTAGAAAATTCATCTCCAAAAAATTTCCCCGCGAGTTGTCCGCAGCTTAGAAAATTCATCTCCAAAAAAATTACCCGCGAGTTGTCCGCAGCTTAGAAAATTCATCTCCAAAAAATTTCCCCGCGAGTTGTCCGCAGCTTAGAAAATTCATCTCCAAAAAAATTACCCGCGAGTTGTCCGCAGCTTAGAAAATTCATCTCCAAAAATTTTACCCGTGAATTGTCCGCAGCTTAGAAAATTCATCTCCAAAAAATTTACCCGCGAATTGTCCGCAACTTAGAAAATTCATCTCCAAAAAATTTACCCGCGAATTGTCCGCAGCTTAGAAAATTCATCTCCAAAAAATTTACCCGTGAATTGTCCGCAGCTTAGAAAATTCATCTCCAAAAAATTTACCCGCGAGTTGTCCGCAGCTTAGAAAATTCATCTCCAAAAAAATTTTACCCGTGAATTGTCCGCAGATTTAAAATGTTATTTCCAAAAATTTTACCCGTGAATTGTCCGCAGATTTAGAAAATTCATTTCTAAAAAGATAAACCCGTGAATTGTCCGCAGCTTCGAAAATTCTCCTCCAAAAAATTTTACCCGCGAGTTGTCCGCAGCTTTTGATAATTCGCCTCCCTCGCGTTCCAACGCCGCCATCAATCGCTTTCGTACAGTTTCGCGAGACGGTTTTTGGCAAATTCCGATAATTGCGCCGAATACGGTTATTATTAAAAGCATTATTATGAAAAGCATTCATAGTATTATGCAATTTCGATGACTTCATTCTTCATTCCGCCGTTTTGCTAATGTTTTGATAGGTTTTCGTCGGATGTCTGCCAACTCACTTTTTTTCGCCTCTATTTTTCGCATTTTTTCCAAAATCCGAGATTTGTGTGCATTTTCTCGTCTCGGTGTTTGCACACATACATCTACAGTACCCTATAAGGCATTACACGAAATTCGTCAACTTCCCCACCCTTCCCACCCCAGAATATTGACATTCCACGATTTCTGCATTTTGGCGACGCGGTGTTTGCACACCATGGCGGCGCCCTCCTTTAAACGCATCAATTTGATTTTTGTTGGTCCCTATCGTTGGGACCATCGAATTCGTAGACGATTTCCCACAATCGACAACGCATTTTCCCAATGTTTATGCCGAAAATTTTTTCGCGTTTTCTTGGCTATTCGAAAATTCGACATTTCAAATTCGGACCCCCCCCCTCCCCCCTTCCCCCATCGACCGTATTGTCCAAAAATCGCGACCTTTCCGACACATGCTTACGCGGAAAAAGTTCAAGCGCATTAGCATACAACTATAGTGCAATTATAATACATTGGTGAATAGTAATACAAAAGTTCCTATAATCCGCGCTCGCATAATTAGCCCCATCACATTGTGAGACACATGCGCGCGCGCGCTCGGTTCACCGAGCATCTCATCATCGGGCAAAAGGAGCTCCTTGTTTTTGAATTGCCGACCTGTCAGAAACACGAATTTCTTAAGATTCAATTATTCTGCAATTTCTTTTCATTCGCGCGCAAAAATGGGGTGAGCGTGTCGCGGAGTCGAAAACGCCGACCCTCGCGCGCCAATCCCACGCGCATCCAACCGCGCCATTTCGCTGTTGCGGTCGGCGCGGTCGAAGTGAGTATATCAAAGGTGTCGCGCGCTCACCTCATATCACGTTCCACTCAAATTCAGAAATTCCA